ACCCGATGGGGTGCGTGTAGAGGACGGCGAGCCTAACGTCGACGATGCCGAGGCGGTGCATCTGATACGCCGCCTCGCACCTCGATCTCCCAACGGACGAAGGCCTTGGGATATCGTTGTCGCTCAGCTCTTCTCCATTGAAGGGCTGTACGGTCTCATCGTCGAGAACGGACACTATCCCATCGGCGACGGACGAGCGACAATCCCGTACGCGTGGAACGCCTCCAACGCTACCATCTATGATGCAGCGCGGTGGTTCGCCCGCATGGGTATCCAGCCCGGCGAGGCACAGTTCCTCACGGACTACGCTCGGCGACGCCGCAATATTCACGAGAGCCGGCCTCTGGATGAGGGTGCCCCTTTCAGTACCTTCCCCATGAGTCCGGGCGACGTCAACATCGTGGACGTGCCCGATATCGCGCAGTTGCCGGCAATCCCGCCTACGGTGCACATCCCGACAACGGTTGTGGATGTGCCCATGGGAGACGGCCAGGCTGAGGAGAACCCCCAGCCTGCCGCGGATGCACCTCCCCCTGATGAGAACCACCCGGGGGATGGTCCTTCTGGCCACTCTGACTGATCGTCTCGATCGTCAGGCTGCTCGACACGTACCATGTCGTCGCTGTACCCCGCACTTACGGGCGCGTTGTACTTCTCGATCACGGCGTCGCGAACATTCCCGTCTCTTCAATTCCGTCCGCAATAGACTCACTGGCCGGCGCGTCGCTGGCGCCTTCACCTCATCATTCCTATCACCGCGCAGGCTGTCGCCGTCGGCACTCACGTCGTCGCCGTCGTCATCCTGTCGCTTCGCCTCATCATCACGGTCCAATGACCTTATATATTCGCGCATACTCTACTATCGTGGACCCGTGGACGAGTCCAGGGAGGAGGAGTGTAACGGGACGTTACCGTATGGACGTGTGTAATCCCGTTATGGACTTATTGGATCGATATGTTTGTATGTATATACGTTTGCGTGTGTTTGGCGTCGTACCTTTATAGGTCGTCGCCCGGCGAGTTGAAGGACAAGTCCTTTAACTCGTCGTCCTCCGGATACATCGCACTTCTCAATGGAGATTGGTGCACTGTATCTGCGGGATTGAGTAAGGCACGTTACATTCAGGGTGACTGAGGTAGCCATCAGCATCATCGTCACGAATATAGAGTTACATGCCCAATACCACATACATGACGGTCCCACTGAGGAATTTGGGCGTCGGAGTGACTTCCTCGCCATGTGCATTCCGTGCCTTGCGAATGTCCATCGTCGCGATGATGCTGGCTGCAGGCGGCATCAGGAAAACCTGAATTCCCTAATGAGAGGTAATTTGGGTATATGAGACAACTTTTCATACAATTAGAACAAATTAGAAGGATTAGGCATTAGCCAGAATTCCTTTACCCCCAAAATAATTAGTACTAATTAGTCCCTAATGATGTCCTAATGAGCTCTAATGTGAGCTACCTGAGGTGTAATCCTCTGACAATCCCATATACATTAGCTATGATCCTCCACCATGAGTCCTCAATACATTGAGTAGAGGAGAGTGAGCACATGCCCAGCCATCTCGCACAACAACAATAACATATAAATCAAAGACTGTATTCCAGATGCATATATACTGAGAAACAACAGTGCACATAGTAATCTATCGTACCCTCAGCCTAAGACGTGTCGTCTGCCTGCCCGCTTACCTGTACGTGCACACCTCTGCACGTGCTCCCTCTCGTTTACCTGCTCACCCGCCTGTGTGCCCGCCCTGCCTGTGCGTGCGTTCGTTAGCCCTGTTTGCGCGCTGGGCATTTGCCCAGTACACTCACGGTGGCCGCGCTCATTTGCCTGCCCCTCTGCGAGTTCTCCCGTCCGCGAGTCCTCCCGTCCGGTTGCTCGTCCGTCTGCCCGCTCGGTTGTGCGCCCGTTCGTCAGCCGTGTCTACGTGCTAGACGTTCACCCAGCACGCTCGCGGTCGGCCTGTGTAGTGCTGCTCCGCGCCCTGTACCCGCCCGTCCGATTGCCTACTCACCTGCGCGTCCGCACACCCGCTGGCCCACCTGCCGGAGTGCCCGCTCCTCCACCTGCTCATCCACTATCTGGCGGCTCGCCCACCTACCCACCGAACGCCCATTCGCTGTGTCTACACGCAGGGCCGCATTGGTCCTGCGTGCTCCGAGTCGCGGTCGTCGTGCGTGTTGTGCTGCATGCCGCCGCACCCTGTACAGGCAGTCAGCTCGTTCATATGTCTATGTCTGTACTCACCGCCGCCCATTCGTTGACTACAGTCCGTGTTCCGACTGGAGTTCCGACTGGAGCTATTGGTGTGCTCGTGGTAGCGCACGCCCGAACGCGTGCACCGTTGCAGAAATGTGCTGGATGGGTAGGTCAATATCAATACAGGGCAACTCTAATATACATACCTCGACATCGTCGGGGAAGAGATACCGGCGGTCGCGCAACAGCATCTGCACACTGAGAGTTAGTGCTTCGTGAATTGTCTGCTTGGTGTCCGAGTCGAAGAGCGTGCGAAGGCCAATGAGCTTGAAAACGTTGCCATCAGATGCGAAGTTGTCGCCATTGACCTCCTCGTAGGCAACCCGAGGGCGTGCAGAGCAGGCGAGTGAGACAGGTCGAGCAGGCGGGATAGGCGAGTGCAAACGGGCCGGCAAGTGAGTTGGCAGGAAGGTGAGGGTGCGGGCAGGCAAGACAGGCATACAGGAAAGACATGCAGACGGGAAAGAGCGGGCGGACGAGCGAGCTAGTGAGAATGCAAGGGCGGGCAGACAAGAGCTAGCAAGAGGGGCGAGTAGGCAAGAACGAAGGGGCGAGTGGGCAGGAACGAGCGGGCGAGCGAGAGCGGGAGGGTGGGCAAGCCAGCGAAGAGGCGAGACTGGGCAGGCGAACAAGCTACCGAGGGTGTGGATTGGCAGACGGCGGGCGAGACGCGTGAGGGCGGGCGGTGAGAGCGGGCGGGCAGGAGAGAACGGGCAGGCGCATAGGGGAGAGCGAGAGACTAGGACGGGCACGTACTCGAGAACGGTGAGCAGCAGAGAGCGGTGAGAGCGCCTGATAGGCGGGTCCCAGTGGGCGAGACGGGCGATGAAAGTACACGAGGCGGCGCAGGCTGGTGAACAGACAGGGGCTGGGGAGCAGGCGGCGAGAACGGGTGAGCGGGCGGCGGGAGCAGGTAGGCAACAGTGGGCGGGCGGGTGAGAGCGGGCGTAAACGAGAGGGGAAGCAGGCGCCAGAGAATGGGCATGCATCGGAGGGTGGGTGTGTGCGAGAAGGTAGGCAAATCATCGAGAGGGCGGATGCAAGCCAGATGCGTGGGCGGATGCGCTGGCGACGTGGCACTGGGAGACGTGAGCCAAGTCTTTAGCGCCCGAACCTGGCTCTCGACAACCGCCAGAGTGGCAGAGTCCGAACATCACCCAAGTCCCATCTCGCCTGTCCGCCCACTGCTTGCTTGCGCATCGACCCATCTATCTACTCGCTCGCCGTCTTGGCCATCCGCTCGCCTGCCCGTCTCTACGCCTGGTGATCCGCCCATCTGCGTTGTCTGCCCGCGGCCCCGCACACTTACTGGTTCGTCATCCCCGACTTGCGACTCACCCGCCACTGCTACTACCAAACACCATAGCCAACCCCCATGCATCAAGGCTCCCGCGCCATCCGCTGGTCATAAGAAAACGAACGCGGAGGGAGGAGATAGAGAGTGTGTGCAACGTGAAGGGCGACTCGGAGAAGAAGGAGCGCAAAGGCTCGGAAACCAAAGGTGCGCCGCTTTCGATGTATCTTCCCTTCGCTGCGGTTGGTAACTCGCTATGCCCGCTCACTCGCCCACTGTCCCACCGGCCCGACCCCCACTTGCTCGCCTGCCCGTTCAAGCGTTTGCATGCCCACTTGTTCGCGACCTCAGTCGAGACTCATCCGCCCGCCTGTTCAACTATCTGGTCTGCTCACCCACACACCTACTCGTTTGTCTGTACGCCCGCTCATCCGGCCCTTCGCTTGCTCGCCCACTTCCGCTTCAATCCGCCGAAAAGCCCGTGCACGCACGCGCCCTGCGAGCACATCGCGTGCCATAGCTACCTCGTCACTCGCTTTCGGGGGTCGCTGGCCGACGTGCTCGCCGTGTTCGCCGGACGACAAACTTCTGCCAGTACTTGCGCCCCTCTCTAGAAGCCCTCGACTTCTCAAACATCTGTCTCGCCTCGCTACGCCTACCATGTCCTCTTCTACCTCGCCTCGCTCGAAGCACGCCTGTCCCAGCTTGACTCCCCCATATCTTTGGAGTGAGTCAAGACGACGAGACGGATTACAGTCAACTGAAGCTGCTCTCACATACCCGACGTACCCGGGTTCGATGGGATCCTCGCGTGCGCATACCCGACATACCAGTTGTGCGCCCGCACCTTCCGGACCTCGAACCGACATGCACGCCCGCTTCGATGACGTCCGCGCTCGCGTCTCTGACATCGACTTCCACCGGCCGCTCGACTATGTCACCACGCTCTCCGGCTGTTGAGCTCTGCGCGCGGATCGACTACGTCAGCTCTCTCGTCTCCTCCGCATCCTCGCACATGACCAGGTGTTGCACGGCTCGAAGGCCAGATAATGACGAAGATGTTGGAAATCCGCTGTGTCGTTCCGCGAGGGCGCAAGCTAGCTCACGGTCCTCATCACCTCGGACGTGTCTGCGCGCCGCGTCGACTACCAGCACGCGCGTCGACTACCCTCACGCGCGTCATCCCCATCGAGTGCTGATATATGTGCACCGTGCCAAGGGTATGATCAGTGGGTGTGTCGAATACTCTCGATTTCTCGCATCTTAGCATCCCATTTCCCTGCCACACTGGCCTGACACTCCCTCGTTTGTTTTCCTGCCGACCCATTCACTCGCTCGCTCGCTCGCTCTCCCGCCGCCTTGCCCATTTCATTCACGTCGTTCACGTACCCATTCATTCCCTGCTCGTTCGCCCGCTTGCTGGTTGGACACTGCTCAAAGGACAATGAGCCACATGCAAGTATACTGTTTCGACCAGCCGCTCTCGATGTCCACCCCTGTTGCATACCTGTATATTAAATAGAGCTCATGTACGAGTTGTTGATATCATACTCATTATACATTCTGCTTGTGATACCTATGACCTGGGCCAGTTGCACCGTGCAAATGGACCACTAGTATTGTTTCAGAAGCAATGATCTACTTTGCATGTTGACCAACATCTTGACAGACATGGCTGTACAGTAGACATATTAATGTCACAATGTGCTGAGGATTATGAACAAGTATGGCTAACATGAATAAGACCTTCAAAGTATGAGCTAAAATATGTGTATCATTCTGATTAGTACTAATTATACTCAGTCAGAGTGTCATTAGGAAGATGAAACTAATTAGAGCTAAAATAGTCAAACTTAGGGAATCTGGATTTTCCTGATGAGCAAGCCACACATTGTTGTCAGCAAAGTATTGTCCTGGACAGACTCTGTCCCAAAATTAGTCTGGAATGGTATTCAGTGTGCCGCAGCCTCACCTCCGTCCAAAGCCGAAGACTATCTTCTTCGGATCTTTCATGACTGACTGCTTGTCTGTAGCCATACCGAAGAATCGCTCAGGCCTGAAGACGTCGGGCTCTGGGTATACCTCGGGGTCCCGGAGCATTGCCCTGAAACTAGGTTCAGCGAATCGCACAAAGGACCATGATTTTACATACCATATGTTTGGAATGATCATCGAACCTTTGGGTATGTAGTACCCGCGGTAGACATCGTCATCTGCGGCCTGATGCGGAATCGCTGAAATCGAAAGTCGGGCCCAAAGAATGACAAGATATATCAACGCAATCTACCTGTAGGGACTGCTGGGCACCATCTGTGGATCGGATATCAAGATAGTATTCGTCGTTGACTGTATATCGTGCCATACCTGTACACCTCTTTGATAATGCACTCAAGATACGGAAGCGATGCCCTATCCTCGTAGTCCGGGAGCCTTGTGTCGCCAACGACGCGCAGCAACTCGTCTTGAGCCTTTCTGAACACGTCTGGGTATTGCACCATCACGAGGACAAATACGATCATGCTTGTTAACGACTGTATTTCATGAGCCTTTTGCCAATTGCGTCATGATTTCGCCAGATTTACCGTATCAGTCCCCGCTAATCAAAGTGGGGGTCACAATTGTGCGTAGATAGGTAAATCAAGGAAACGTGCCTGAGTACAGAGTACCTGCAGCGCCCTTGATATCAGACTCGTCCTCCTTGGTTAACTCACCGTTCTTCATACAGTCCTCGATCATGGCTGTCGTGAACGAGGGTTTTGCGACGCCAGATTCCTGGGCTCAAATTCAGTACACTCAGCCAGTGTCAACAAATCATCTGTACGTACCATGTCGTGCTTGACTGTGTTGTAGGGTATATCTTCCATGGCCGCAACAGCATCCCGAGCCATTGAGGCCCCCCGTTTGAAGCCTGCACCAGGCATCCATGTCGGTATATATTTCACTGGATATCGGCAATGAGAGTACCCCAGGACGCGATGAATAATTACTTACACATCGGAAAGAAGTCTACCAGCGCTAAGCCGGAGCCACTGCCTCCGAGTGCTTCTGTTATTCCAGCCTCGACCAGGCTCCTAAAACCAGCCGTCCATGGCGTTCTCGCTCCTACATGTCGATAGCCCACCATATGCTGAATCCGAAAAAGGCAATTGTGTTTAGTGTTATGTAATGTCCGAAGTTTATGCGACTAAGAGGAGGAGAACGCCATAGGACGGCTGGCCAATTTCGTCCCCGAGGCCACCCCGAGGCATGCGCGCTTCGCCCTCAGGCCAGCAGTGCGGTCACAGTAAGTGACTGAGCGCCTTTCAGCGAGTTTCGGGGTCCCGCTTGGCTCGCTTGCCCCGAGTCATCCAAATCAGGACATCGCTCGACGCTCGTGCGTCGAGGCGCGATTCATGATGGTTTTCGGTCTCGTATCCCTCCAATGGGAGGATGTGGGACTGACAACACATTTGGGAAATTCAGTGAGCATTTCTTTGGTGCCTCGCGTCGCTGCCCCAAAATTTGACAAAATAAATGAGCGGGGACTCGAACCCGTGCACCCAAAAAGGTGATCGGCGGCCATGACCACTGCACCAAAGTACCAACACTGCTTCATTGACGGCACTAAATAAGAGTACCAGCCAGCTCGTGGGACCCATTTATGGCCACCCCTATGTGATGATGATGATGAACTCAGCATTTATTAACCGCAACAAGCAAACAACGTGCTAAGACGCGGCGGACGCCGGCCTGTACAAATGTGGGCGTTAAAACGCGCCACCCAGACCTGCGTCCCGTTCGAGGTGGTATAGTAGTCTATAGACGTGATGTGTGTATAGTAATGGGCAGGCAATCTAATCGGGTTGTGAGACGGGGTCTAATGGTGTGGTCTGAGGTCGGGACGTAACACGCATGGTAATAAAGATAGAGAATAATGAAGAAGCGAGAAATGAGGGGAAAGCATACGGTCCATATCTCGGCACTCCGGTGTCTTTCTCCTAGGGGCGCAAGCCGGGATTGCCCCCCTAGTGCACGATGTGTCGATGGTGGTGTTGGGTAGGGTGTGGGGACGGTACTTCGCCGTGCAGCTAGTACCGTTTAGTCTTCTTCGCCCTCGTCGTTCTCCGCCTCTCCTCCGTCCTGGTCCTGGTCTTCCTCTCCGCTCGGGTCTTCGTCGTCTTCGTCTTCCGCATCTTCTTCTCTCGCTTCCTGGTCCTGGTCTTCTTCGCGCCATCCGCCTGGCGGGTCTCCCGTCTTCGTAAACGCGTTGCTTTTTCCGATGAACTTCGCAAGGGCGTCTATCCCCTCCTCTGTGCCGAGGATGGTCGGCAAGTCGATCGTCGTGCTCACCGCGCGTAGGATGTGTCGGTGCTTCTCGTATCGTGGGCAGCCACCCCTATGTAGCACATCACGACGTGCATACTGCAGTGACCGTGTGCTTCGCTGACGTGCCGGGCAGCGCATCTGCCACATGGGGCACTGACAATGATTATCCCGTCATTTATACAAGGGTGGGCGTGTACTTCGGAGTTAACAGGCAATGGGTCCCACGAGTCTGCCACATGGGGCACTGACAATGATTATCCCGTCATTTATACAAGGGTGGGCGTGTACTTCGGAGTTAACAGGCAATGGGTCCCACGAGCTGGCTGGTACTCTTATTTAGTGCCGTCAATGAAGCAGTGTTGGTACTTTGGTGCAGTGGTCATGGCCGCCGATCGCCTTTTTGGGTGCACGGGTTCGAGTCCCCGCTCATTTATTTTGTCAAATTTTGGGGCAGCGACGCGAGGCACCAAAGAAATGCTCACTGAATTTCCCAAATGTGTTGTCAGTCCCACATCCTCCCATTGGAGGGATACGAGACCGAAAACCATCATGAATCGCGCCTCGACGCACGAGCGTCGAGCGATGTCCTGATTTGGATGACTCGGGGCAAGCGAGCCAAGCGGGACCCCGAAACTCGCTGAAAGGCGCTCAGTCACTTACTGTGACCGCACTGCTGGCCTGAGGGCGAAGCGCGCATGCCTCGGGGTGGCCTCGGGGACGAAATTGGCCAGCCGTCCTATGGCGTTCTCCTCCTCTTAGTCGCATAAACTTCGGACATTACATAACACTAAACACAATTGCCTTTTTCGGATTCAGCATATGGTGGGCTATCGACATGTAGGAGCGAGAACGCCATGGACGGCTGGTTTTAGGAGCCTGCTTCCTATGGCGTTTCCATCTGTTGTCGTATTGCATGAACGCACTGTTTCCTGACCAACCGATCCTAGACACCGAAGGATCAATAATTCGAGTTACATGCCGGGATGTGACAGACTGCACGCACATATCGACAATCCTCACGAATCGTGGCCGCTCAGAGTATCTCGCGCTGCGCTTTTCCATCAGATCGTATGCGCATTTCACGGAATTGACGATGACAACGGGTTGAGTGAAGAACTCTGCGTAGACAATATCGCCTATCATCGAATCAGTAAATCAAAGGAGGTCTACGCATCAATACTGGAGACATACCATACTGCACAGCCCATCCCGTGAAAGTTTTGTGCTGGTCGATCGACGGCAGCTGAAGTATATTTCCCAAAAAAGGGACGCGTGGGGGCCCTGGAGGCAGATCATGCCGTTTAGCCCTCCAAAGGTAGAAGCAAAACACGAGGCATAACACGACGGGGGGGACTGCGAGATATGCAGAGCTGATACCGAGGAACATAGTGCAGCTGGGCATGGGCGTAGACAGAGAGTTGGCTTGTTTGTTATGAAATATCCTGACCTGCTGTCAATGCCTCGAGGGCTATAATGAATTGGACTTATCCCTGACCTATCAGGGATGCTTCAATGGCGTCACGCAAGGCTCCGGATGCTGAAGATACTCAATTAAATTTGGCGCGACACTTGCAGCTGGAGGAGGAGAGCATTTACGATGACTCACGCCGTGGAATTCGAGAACGTTGCCGTAACAGCAGTCCCACGAACGAGATATCAGCAAACTCCGCACACCGTCAACTGCAGTCTCATACCGACTACCCCGGGTAAGCCCCATCGGCAACCTTGACAGCTTTGAGCTGTGGAAGATTCTCAAGACGCGGGCACCATTAGCGACTCCAGTGTTCCAAGACGTCACGGCGACAGGGATAGAGTTGCGGGAACTTGGCATCTGTGTGATGGCTATGGAATGACACCTCAACGAACAGTGAGGTAAAACGAAGCACGGAGACACATAGTCATGCCTTACTCAGACGTACATCTGCGAGTAATCTGGCCTCTCATGGTGGTGACTTGGACGTTGGTGGGTACCGCCAAGGTAAGCAGCGATCGGGCGAGAGCATGCAGCACAAGTGTAGTTGTGAATGCAATCTGCAGTGTTGCAAGCTATGTGTCGGAGCGTTGCACAGAGGATCTGCTTCCAGTGCACGTCACTGTCCAAAGCTGCAGACACCATGTGACTACGCCACTCAGTATACTGATTTGAAAATGTGCTCACCATCGGTCACCGCGCGCTGATCCTAAGGACGTCTTGCGTTCACCGATTGCTTGAGAAAGGGCGACCGCTTGGGGCGTGAGGAAGGTTCCGATGACGGTACCGAGAAGATGCTAGTTTGAACGATAACCACGTCTTCCGCGCCGTAGAGCAGTACGGGTGCTGACCAGTCGCGGGGTATGACATCGTATTCATGCTCCTGGTGGACGCTGACCGCACGACGGAAGCGCTGACCTACTCCTCGTGAATGAACTTTTGTGAATGGGACGTCTGGGCAGCGGCACTACAGACTACATACCTCTGCTGCCCTTGAGCAAAATAAGCATTGCATGCGTGGCACGCACAATCTACTCTGGCAACATCAGCACGGGCCAATCTTCACTCAAAAACGACCTCGGAGCTGCGGGTCAACTGCGGGAAGCCAAAACGACATGTAGGTATGTTGCACCACTGAAAGTGGGCAACATTCAGAGAACTCAGCTATCAGCTGTTTGCATAACGAGAGACACGCTGATACGTACCTGAAGAACCCTCTTCATACCCTAACGCTCATGTGACAGGGAAGGGGCTTCCTTTCGCATGTCGATGTCGGAACTAAGTTCAAGGGCAAAACTGTTTCCGTGAGGGTACTGTCCTATCGATCTTCGTCAAGGGTGCATTATCGCTAACATCCATATGGATGTACGACGGCCGCTTCTCCCTACTCCGCGCCGCAACTGACATGCGTTCTGTATCATCACGCCCAGGGACGCACTAGAGCTAGCCATTGGGAGCGGCCAGGCCTTGTACACATGCCATGAACAACAGTCTGTATACGAAAGTCAGGGCTGTATCAGCATCACTCATCGCTCATCTGACGAGTTACAACAACGTCCGCGGATCGCAAGCACTAGAGCGTGCGCTGCATATGAACACCAAGCGGCGAGAGTAGTACCTGGCCGCTGTGTATCATAATTGGAGCAGCGTTGACGCCTCGCGGGAAGACGCTGCTCAACTCAAGCTCAAGCCAGCCAGAATGTCCGTAGCCTGCATGCGCGGCGTGATCAGGCACCTGAAAGGCCGGGGGTGGCTAGCAGCAGACGTTAGTACATTCGCCTTTGCAGGATGCGTCCACGAAATCGCTCACCTCACTGCACCAGGAACAAATGATAGCGGGGGCGTGATCTCCTTTCCACCTGCGTCTCGTGCTTTCCGGATGTCAAATGCCGCGACGATGTTCGCCACGGCAAGCCAGACGCTGACGTCCGCGAACCGACGACCCGGGCAAATTCTGGAAACGCAGAAATGGCAGACGTCGGGTAAGTACGCAGCACTCAGTCATCGGCGCCAACTGGAGCGGAGGACTAAGCTCACCGCCTTCCGTGACCGAAAACGATGTTACGAGGATCCAACTGTTCCGCCTCTTCCCCGGAGAGGCCCAGGAAGCGTTCTGGGCGGAAGGCGGAAGGCTCAGGGTATACCTCTTCATCCACCGTCATGAGCCTAGCCGCAGCAGAGTCAGTCGGTGTCAGGTCCGGATTGCACGCTCGTATCCGGAGGTGTAGGAGGGCTGACCAGAGATTGGGAATGACCATGCATCCCTTCGGTATGTACCACCCTCGGTACTCGTCGTCTTCGCTCAGCGCGTGTGGGACCCCTGCCAGTCCAACACTCAGACTCGTCCACAATGCGCTAGAGTTGCCCTACCTAAAGGTACAGGGCAATTCCATCTAAGTACACGCAGTCAGACCATGGCTGACAACTACAGAAGACAGCGACCTACCGGTAGACTTCCTTCAAGAAACAGTCGAGGTAAGGCAGCGCCTCTCTGTCCGGGACGTCGGGCAACCGGGCGGTGCCGACGACGCGATCGATCTCTTCCTGAGCTTTGGTGTACGCTTCGGGGAACAGGACAGCACACAGGATGAAGTTCAGAAGGACAGTCTTCGTCTGGCGACGTTGACTTCCGCTCAGCGCCCTCACTCGATGGGACTACGTACGTATACTTACCGTGTCGACGCCAGCTGGGTATGCTGGTCAAATGGGGCTCGACGTACATAGCTGAAAGCGCGCACCGATGTAGCTCACGGCTCCTGCGCTCATGATGTCGCGACGTTCTTCGGCTAACGTCGCCTTATGCTTGTACTCGTCGATGAGGTTCCGCACGAGTGATGGCTTCTCGTCTCCCGCGGCCTGCGACGCTATCAAAGGGCTGTCATCCTCATATGAGCATCACTCCGAACATACCATTGCTCTCTCGACCATCTCGTACGGCTTCACATGCGCTTCCTCGATGGACACCTTCACTTTCGCAGCCTCGCGTTTGAATCCCGCGCCGGGCATCCAGCTCGGTATGTGGCGGACTGTAAGATCGCGTCAGGCCAGTGCCTGCTTGGAAGATGTGGACAGTGTACTCACGGAAGGGTAAGATATCCACGATAGCCGCGCCAGGCGACGCGACCTCTGTCGTGCCCTTCAGCGCTGCCTCTGCATAATGCAGGTACTCGTCGTCGTCCGAGGTAACAGTATGTCCATAGATGGACTCCATCATCAGCGATGCGGTCAACCTGATCGCCATCATTGCATCATGATCAACGTCGCACGTCCACGTGGGGGATGAAGGCAGTTGGTACTTGCCTGTGGAGGTGAGCAGCGTACTCATCCGGCGCGTGTAGCAGAGAGGCGAGGAGGACATCGACTTCTCTCCGTTGGACAGAGCGAAACTTGTCAAGTGCGCCTTCGGCGAACAGGACGGAGTGGAGCCATCGTCGATGCTTTCGGAGCCGCTCGCTCATCTGCATCACTGCCAGCACGTCTCCCCACCCCGACCTGGCGGGCGAGTCCATCAGTACAACCGCAGCACACTCTAGTATGCTTGCTCACAGCTCGGAGAGCAAGACGGACGGTGGCCTGCCGGAGCACTTCAGGCTGTGTTTCTCCATGAGATCGCGCACCGCTCGCGCAGAGTTTAGGAGGATGATTGGCCGATGGAACACCTTCACAAAGATGACATCGCCTATGCTGCGCAGTGAGCACATACCAAGGGTCACAGAATCACGACGGACACACCGTACTGAGAAGACCACTCGGCGAAGGTCTTCTCGCCGTACTCCAGCGGCATCTGATGTGCATTGCCTATGATTGGCAACGGACGGGGACCTGGAGGTAGGTTTTGCGAGCGTGAGTACCAGCCGTTGAGTGCGTAGTACGCTGCCGTGATGAAGAAGGCCAGAGTTAGAATAGCCGTGGAGTCCAACATCCTGAACCCTCAGGTTGCAGCGTCGGTGAGTGCCTCTCAATCAGCGTCCGTCAGCCGCAGTCGATGAGCCAACGGGCGACAGGCCGCAATGAACTTAAGTACGCTTCCAGGCGCCAGCTCGCACGCTTTAATGAACTGTCTGTCGTGTTTCGGCGCGCTCGACGAACGGTGCGAAAGGAGCACCGGAGCCGCAGGTTCCAGTTGGCGGTGAAACCGCAAGAGAGGCCATTGCGACTACTAGAAGACGTCCGCCACGAGTCGATGAGTCGAGATTGACTTTGTGTTGATCCATTGGTGCTCACCTTGCTATAGTTGTGTGACTGGAAGGAGGTACAATGACGGAGCCTCGATGATCAACCAATGTTTGCATGCTCACGCGGCGCTAGCGCTTACTGCCAGTCCCGGGCAGTTGTGATTCACGTGGCTCCCGCGAACACATTCTGTCTCCCACACCGATCGCCGCGAGGCGACAGGACGCGACGTGCATACTTACATAGGAGAATCAGGTAGGTCAGTACTGTATTTTCCTTGAAGATGAGTCACTGACTCTAGTTTGTAGGAGTCCTGGATACCGGAGGCTGGAGCTTGTGCTCTGGCCCAAACGTGTACTTACCAGGCACGCCCAGGCACGCACATACCGGCGGCTGAATGGGATCTCGGGAGGAACGGAGGATCAGCCCAGCAACGCGTTCATTTATCGACCGACGACGACCGTCGTTGGGTTGCCGTGTGCAGTCTCTACACCAACCGGGCCGCGTCGCACCATGCGGTCTCCTGATGTTTGCTTATAACATGCCCTCGCGCGGCCAAGGACTCTCCCATCGCCCTTCGGTTGCCCCATTTCCTTCACGTTCGCTCTCGCTCGCGTTTGCGCTGCCTTGTGTCGTTGAACGGCCGTCCCTTCGCTCGTCATCCGACCAGGTGTCCCGGTACCGCCTCTAGCTAGGCTCTCCTCTTGCAGTCTCTTCGTCTCCTCTATCGCACGCCGCAGGCCAGCAACACCCTCCTTTGATCGACTTCCCTTGTGACCAAACTTCAAAACCAACGATGTTCTCCAAGGTTGTTCTCGCGCTGCCCCTCTTTGGCCTTGTCCACGCCCGCCCGTTCCTCCATGACCGCTCCTACGATGAGTGGGCCATTAACAATGTCCGCGATGACTCCACGTGCGCCATCGTCACTGTAACTGTTGACGAGGCGGCGACGGTCACTGCTACCGGAGCTGTTGCAGCGGTGCGTTGCCATTGTTCCTGTGTTCAAGCCAATTGAAGCTTTGTGAATAGGCGCCACCGCTTCCGGTGCGACCGCCACTGCAGCGGCTGCCGCCGCATCTTCCACGCTTTCCTCGTCGCAGATAGGCGATTTGGCTCTTGCACGGTTCCCCAGATTGCCTTCGCTGTCGGCTTCGACAACCGCAAGGAGACGAGCTTCGAGCCCGCCGATCTGACGAGCTACCCCCACAGTGAGTTTCAACATTCATGATCCCTTTTCAGTGTGTGACCATGGCTATCCTGCTAGGCTCCGCACAAACATCGACATCATCACCCAGTTCATGTGCGACCAGCTCGTCAACTCCTGCGGCGCGGACGCCTTGCCAAGCAGACCTGCGCGTCTGCCAAGGCTGCCGCTGACACCGTCACCGCCAAGACCGGCGGCCAGGCCGACGCGTTTAACGCTGTTTTTGGTATCCAGACCGACTTCGCAAGCGTAGCCGCCGTGAATGACCAAGGTGTCACCCAATCTGCCGCCGCATCCACCGCTGCCGCGGCCACGACTAACGTCGCGATTGCGAAAAGCAGCGCGGCCGCCGCTGCGTGTGCGGCCCCGCAGACGGCTACGGTTACTGTTACGGTGGATGCGACTGAGACGGCGACGGCGAGTGTGAGCGTGACATCGAACGTCGCGGTCGCTTCTGCAGCCGCTGCGTCCAGCACCGCGAGCTCGAGCGCTATCGGCAACTTTGGTTCGTGCAGCGTTCCCGAGATCATCTTCGCGCGGGCCTAGGCGGGCGAACCGAAACTGCGTTTGAGCCTAAAGACCTCACGTCGTACAACCATGGTCAGCGCGGTTCCGCGTTCTCGGTCGTCTCAAAAATGTTCTGACACACTTGCTCTCGTTTCCGCAGGCTCCGCGGACAACATCGCCGTCATCACGGGCTTCATATGCAACACGCTCACGAACAGTTGCGGCGCGGACCAGACCGCGAAGGACACCTGCCAGACCGCTGCCAGCGCCGCTACCGCCGCCACGCCCGCGCTGAGCGGCGCGCAGGCGGACGCGTTCAACGCGGTGTTCGGGGTCCAGACGGACTTCGCGAACGTCGCGCAAGTGAGCAACACAGGTGCTACGCTGGGCGCGGCAGGTGCCTCCGCCGCGGCGGCGGCTACATCGAATGTCGCTGTGGTGAGTGACATCTTCAGCTGAAATGAGGAGGGTGGCTGATGGACTTGGGTAGGCGGTGCCTGCGACCTCTGCTGCTGCTACGGGTAGCTCGACCGCATCCTCGAGCGCCATCGGTAACTTCGGCTCGTGCTCTGTCCCCGAGATCGTCTTCGCCACGGGTCTGGACGGACGCAAGGAGACCGCCTTCGAGCCTAAGGATCTGACGAGCTACGCCCACGGTGCGCCCAGCGCGTCTGATACCTCCCGCAGCGTTTGTACTGACGCCGTGGCTTCATTCCAGACTCTGCGCAGAACATCGACATCATCACGAAGTTCATGTGCGACACGCTCACGAACTCATGCGGCGCGGACGCTACCGCCAAGTCGACCTGTGCGTCCGCCATCACCGCCGCCGACCAGCAGACCGCGAAGACGGGCGCGCAGGCGGACGCGTTCAACGCCGTGTTCGGGATTCAGACCGACTTTGCGAACGTCGCGGCGGTGAACGACCAGGGTGTGACTCAGGGCGCGTCGGGTGCCGCGTCGACGAAGCTGCTGCCGCCTCTGCGACTGCTGCTGCCTCTGCAATCGCGAAGACGGGCGCAAGGATGCCACTACGGCCGCTGCCACCGTGACCTCTGCTGCTGCTGTCGCGACCTCTGCCGCCCGCCGCCGCCTCTGCTGCTGCAACCGCGGCTCCACGGCTTCCTCGAGTGGCATCGGCAACTTTGGCTCGTGTCAGTTCCGGAGATCGTCTTCGCGCAGGGCTTGGACAACCGCAAGGAGACCGCGTTTGAGCCGAAAGACTTGACGAGCTACGCCCACAGTAGTCTTCCCACTCGTGTTCTGAGCCATGGCTGCTGACCATACCGCTAGGCTCCGCGGACAACATGATATCATCACGCAGTTCATGTGCGACACGCTCACGAACTCGTGCGGCGCAGACGCCACCGCAAAGGCGACCTGTGCGTCCGCCACTGCGCGGCAGACAAGCAGACCGCGAAGACTGGTGCCCAGGCAGATGCGTTCAACGCGGTGTTCGGCATCCAGACCAACTTCGCTAATGTGCTGTCGTGAATGACCAGGGCGTCACCCAGGCGGGGCTGCCGCCCGCGCGCTCGAGACTGGGTACCTCGCCTGAGTGCCGTTCCCTTTCCCTCTCTCCTCGCGCTGAACCCCTCCGCCACCCGGCTGCGACGTTGACTCATCGCGGCGGGCAGCGATATTTATGCATCGTCAACTTGGTTATATTTTGGTTACTCTGGAGATCTCGAAGGTCGGTCTGTTGTTTCGCACACCATTGCTGCTGTTCTGTACGATACTCCGCGAGACGAAGCGCGCACGCGCATGCACTGCCATCACTGTATTGATACGGAGATACCCTTCCTACGTACCCTGCCTGCGTCCATGACTTTGTTGTTCATTGATACATTTGACAATTGGCATTCCTTTTCGCGACCTGTTCCTCGGTGTGATCATGCATATGCATATGGGCTGAAACTGGCCCACCCCTGCTGGCAAGAGCGGTTGACAAAAGCCTGTCGCAGTGTCGGGGCATCGGAGAGCCGCCATGTAAACCTTCCTCATTTGGTAATGCGCCTTCCTAAAGTCGTATCTTCGTCTCCTCCTCGACTTGGACCACCACTAGCCACCACTACTTAGGCCTGTCGATAAACCTCCGTCCACTCTCTGTAGCTCTTCCTGGTGATGCAGATGAGTCTCCCCGCATCGGCATGTACCCGGCCGCGTCGCCCACGTCTGCATTGGCTCCGTTCTGTCCTCTGCGCGAGCCTCAAGTTCAATACCGGCGAGCGACGAGCGACGAGCGCGTGTCGAGTCGGGCCAGATACTGAATAAGTTTTCATAGTGTGTCAGTTGGCTCAATCTTCTCTGCAGTTCTTTCCCGTTCGTCGCGCCGACATCCTTGCGTCCGGCCTCGACTCGTCTACGTACCGCCCGCCAGTGCGCCAGGTGTCGGGATTGTTCTACGACGTGCTCATATACCCTCCAATACCGCGAAGGACACCTGCCAGATTACAGCGGATTCCAATACTGCCGTTGCGACACTTGTTCCCTGTGGTGTACACGGCGGGACAGGCGGACGCGTTCAACTCCCAGGTGTGTGAGCCTACGAATGGGCCTTCGGGACGTAGGCAACTGACAAAGGTTCGGGATTCAGGCGCATTAAGCCAGCGTCGCGCAGGCAGCCCGCACCGATCTTATCCTCAACGCGACTCTGGAAGCTCCTTCCCCTGTCTGTATCGATTGTGGCTGTGGTGAGCGTTCTCTTTGGTTGACGGAGGGTGGATGAAGGTTTTAGGTAGACAACCTCGCGATCGATGCCACCATTACGGGATTGCTATGCGCACCACGACCTCTGCTGCAGCGACTGTGAGGTCGGACTTCGAACGGCAATTCGACATCCCTTTCTGCGACCCATTGCTTGGTGTGATATGCAAGCCGAGATCAATCTCGTCTTGCTAGGTGTTATGCCATCACTTTCAATGACCTTCGAGCTTTTCTGGTTGACTCGCCGAGTACCTGGGCGGATTCTATCGTTGCGGAAATCAAGATTGCCTGCGGGCTTCAGGACACTAATAGGATTGGACCATCTGCCGTGGCGCCGCACAGTCAAGAGTGGTCACGCAACCCACCAGCTATGTACAATACTCCCATGTTAGCAGCACCGGCGTATAGTCGCAGTGCTCACGGGGAACGTGGTATGACATGCAGGTCTTATCAGCGATGCGGAATCGAAGGTTGATATCGCGCTACTAAGCAGGCCTAGGCTACTTACCATTGATCTGTTCGCATTGCTTGCGAACTCTATTGCATCCAGGGAAGGGCAGCGTCACTCACCATTCTTCCCATAGTTAAGCCATGGGACGGGGAATAACTCGTCGTACATATCACCATGTCCTTGCTTGGCTGCGAGCCCCTGCGAGCTCTCGTTGCTACTGTCTCGGCTGCTCTGATCTGCTGTGTTTTGCTCTACGCCCGGTTTACACGAGCGAGTGACCTGCCTCCGGGTCCTCGCCCTCTTCCATTCATAGGCAATATCCATCAGGTCCCGATAGATGATGCAGAGAGAACATATGCTAAATGGAGCAGTCAATACGGTCGGTTTCAGGCTCTTGCAGCAGTCCGTGCTCAGGCGCTAAGGTCGTATTCCACAGGAGATATCATCTTCCTCAAACTATTCACGCGGCCGACGTTGATCGTCAACTCTACAGCGGCCGCCAGAGAACTTCTGGAGAAGCGAAGTGCGAAGTACTCCGACAGGCCACCGTCAGTCCTCCTGCGCGATCTGCAAGTGGACTTGCCATTGTTCTACACGTTGACTCGCTAACCAGGGGATTTTGGTAGGTTTGGGTGGGGAGACATCATTGGAACCCAACGGATGGGCGAGCGACTCAGAAAACATCGGCGATGGATCCATTCGACATTCTTTGCCAGAGGCGCGCTCGATCAATTGACGCAAGCCCAGTCAAGGGAAATTCGAACCCTTCTCCGAGGTCTCGTGTATAAACCAGAACAATATGTGGCCCACTTGCATAGGTATGGATCATCGTTGTACCGAGAAAGATAGTCTCTGACGTATGCACCAGGTTCACGTCTTCCATTGTCCTGGAAGCACTCTACGGACACGCAATTACATCCGATGATGACGAGTATCTCACCTACGCGGAACGAGCTCTGAAAGGTACGACGGAAGTTACGACGCCTGGTGCCGCAATTGTAGACTTCATTCCGTTCTGTGAGTGTCTCGAACTCTATCCTTTCGGCGCGTCTAACGCAGACGGATGGTTGCGATAGTACGTCATGTCCCTGCATGGTTTCCGGGTGCAGACTTCAAGAGGCAGGCAGCAAAGACGAAGGCTGCAGTGCAGCTCGCGCACACGAAGCCATACGAGCTGGTTGAGAGACTCATGGTACGTGCGGGATATCGTATGACGGATCTTCAAAAGCGAGCTACTAATCCACTGACGAGAGCATTTTTTAGGCTTCGGGAGACGAGAAACCATCGCTAGTTAGGTCTCTTATTGAGCAGTGTACGGCGAAGGGTACGCTGGCTGAAGAACGATATGACATCATGAACGTCGGGGCAATAACCTATGTCGGTACGTGTCGGTAGTTATTGAGGCAGCGGCACTCTTAACTCAGACGTCTTGTAGCTGGAGTTGATACTGTTCGTTCGCCGTTGACTACAAGCGCCATCCCGTTAATCCCTCAGACAGACACAATCCGTGTTGCTAAACTTCATGTTAGCTGCGGTCCTTCACCCTGAAGCATACGTCAAAGCTCAAGAGGAAATCGACCGCGTCGTTGGCAACGATCGCCTACCGGATCTTAGCGACAGGAACTCACTACCATACCTGGAGTGTATGCTAAGAGAGGTTTATCGGTAAGTCGCTCTTGGTGTCATTATGACGACGTAGCCTTACACCAACAGATGGAATGCCCCCGTACCTCTAGGTGCATAGCGCCTCGGCTGTAATGATGCATGGACGTGACCCACAAGTTCCGCAGGTATTCCGCATGCACTCAGTGAAGAAGACACGTACCGAGGTTACCGCCTGCCCAAGGACTGCATGATCCTTACGAACCTCTGGTTCGTACAATGCTACAACGACGATCATCCCGGTCGCTTACTGCCTGCCTGTCAGGTGCATGACTCAAAATGCGGAGCTCTACCCCGACCCGGAGACATTTCGCCCGGAACGCTTCTGGGGTCTATCTGAGGAGGATTTGGAGGAGCTGTGTCCTAGCAACATCGTTTTTGGCTACGGCAGGCGGTGCGTCGGGCAATTTTAACCCACTCAGAACTTCCGACACTGAGATCAAACTTTGTTGCTGCAGGATTTGTCCGGGTCGCCGATTTGCTGATAGGAGTATCTGGCTGTCTATGGCCGCTATGATCGCTACTTTGGACATACAGAAAGCCCGCGATGCGTCGGGCGGGGAGATAACTCCCCCGATGTCCTTCACTTCTGGCTCAGTAAGGTGAGCGCGAGCGCGACCGTCTCACATGGTGAAATGGACTCTCTAAAGGGGGTACGGTGCAGTCATGCCAAGGAGTTTGTATGCTCCATCAAGCCTCGCGCTGCCGCTGCGGGCCTGATAGCCAGTTTCGCCACATCGACGACAGCCTTCACCTAAGCTCTGCTATTCGGTGGGACCGACGGACCTGTTAACCGTGAGTCTGTCCAGAAATGTTATACTCATAGTAATTCAAATGGCTGGTAGTGACGGTTGTGCTTCTGGAGTGCTCCTGGATAGGTAACTTCGCTGACGCACTGCCCTTTTCTGCATATTCTGCATATACGATACTTACATGAGACGGACCGAGGCGCCCAATACGGATCGCGCACGCATGTGCTGCTAGTGCGGTGATAACTGACCTCATCAATAGTAGGGAGCTCGGGGATACCATTACCTCTCGCAGTCGTGAATATGCCGTTTAGTACCACTATCACCGCTCGGGCGCAAAGTCTCTGCATGAGTTGACGGTATGAGTTGTCATCTGCTCCCTGTTCAAGCACGGTATCTGGCATTCTTATACGGTGTGTCTGCCGAGCTTGGTCTCGCGGCTTGTGGCGGTGGTCCCACTGGTCAAACGAGAGAGGAACCGGAAATCGTGATTCAGGCGATGCTTGCCCATGATTTGGTACAAATTACAATGTGGTGTCCCCGTTCCCTGAAACTCTCTCAGGGCACACCAGCCTTTTCGACGCGCTTCGAGATGTGTTCCGCGATTGCAGTGCTCCAAGGGTCTTATGATGTAAGTACAAGGAGCAAACCGCAACCCTCGACGTGCATTTGTGAGCCGTGCGAGCAGCGTGGGTGACACAAACATTCATTTACTGCCATGCTCCGAGTCACCGACCGTACGCTGATGCCGTTTTCAGGCCGTAAATGCGTAATACTTACGTAACGGTATATGGACTCGGACAACGATAGCGGAGCAGTGTCTCAAGCTCAAGGTTCAAACGTTCAAGGTTCCAGCTATTTGCATAACGATAGACACCCCCTGGGTGCCGTACATGCAGACAAACTCCCAAAACGACGCTTAGCTTGAGAGCCAGTGCCAGCCTCCGTCGTGGTCATTGACCGCGCGTTATGCAAATAGCTGTCAATATCGGTCCTGTAATACGACCAACGTCAGACCTGTAGGTCTGGCTCAACGGCGCGGCGGCATTGGTCTCAGGCTCTCAAAAGTAGGCCATCGCACCAGATTAGGATCGCTGGCCATGGTCAGCGTCTTCGTGAGGTACAAATGCTGGTTCGTATACTCCTATCGTCCGACTAATCATGTTTCTGTTCATCAGTGCACCTCAACAGGCTCTCGCCTGTCTCGTCTTTTCCGCTGTCTGCTGCTGTGTCCTGATCTTTAACCGATTCAACCGATCGCACGGTCTACCTCCTGGACCTCGTCCTCTTCCGATCATCGGCAATGCTCACCAGGTCTCGATAGAAAGCCCAGAGAAAACATTTGCGCAGTGGAGTAAACTATACGGTGTGCAAAGTTCAATGATAGCACACAGGTCCCGGTCCTGAATGCTCAACATGTCTTGCACAGGAGACGTCATCTTCGTCCGGATGTTCTCAAGGCCAACTCTGATTGTGAACTCTAGGACAGCTGTGCGAGAGCTTTTAGTAAAACGGAGTGGAAAGTATTCAGACAGGCCTCCGTCAATACTTATGTCCGAGCTGTGAGTGGTACTGCTTACATTTAGAGCGAAAAAATCCTGAGTGTTCTTGCATTCACAGGCTAGGATGGAGAGATGCTCTGCCGTTCATGAACATGGGTGAACGACATAAGAAACAACGGCGATGGATACATTCAACATTCTTCGCTAGTAGCTCGCTTAATCAGTTCACTGCGGTTCAGGCCAGAGCCGTCCGAGTGCTTCTTGTGGGACTCGCGCGGAGACCGGAGGATTATGCCGCTCACCTCCATCGGTAGGTGTCACAATAGTAACAGCGACTGGACCTGAGCTGTATATTTGATCAGGTTTTCGTCCTCGCTCATGCTGGAAGGGCTTTATGGACATACTGTCACTTCCGATGATGACGAGAACCTCATTTATGTTGAGACGGCTAGCCAAGGAACTTCGGAGATCGCAACCCCAGGTGCTGCAATTGTAGACTTCCTGCCTTTCTGTGAGTGCCCCGAATCATGGTGTCCTGTTACCAGTGAGACAATGTTGATTTACGTGTGTGGAACATTTGCCGACAGTGCGATGGGTTCCAACGTGGCTTCCCGGTGCAGACTTCAAGAGGAAGGCAGCCAAGGCAAATGTCGCTATTCACATGGCACACATCAACCCATACGAGCTAGTTGAGAGACTCATGGTGCGCTCGTAGTGCCATCTGGGCTATCTTGCAAGTATGGCGAGCGATTGATCACACTAGTGACTTCTGTTCATCTAGGCTGCAGGCGAAGACAAGCCTTCACTCGTGAAATCTCTTATAGAAGAGTATACATCGAAGGGCACGCTAGCCACTGAACGACAGGATATCATGAGTATCGGAGCCATCAGTTATGTTGGTACGTGTATTTGGGATCATATGGTCAAAATTCGACTGACAGTCGTATGACTTTAAGGTGGGGTTGAAACAGTTCGTCCGCTGATATCTGAATAATGTCTGGCTGACACAACACCACATCATGACAGACACAGGTGTTGCATGCGCTCATCTTAGCCATCGTTCTATATCCCGAAGCTTTACGCAAAGCTCAAGACGAAATTGATCGTGTCGTGGGCAATGATCGCATACCAGACCTTTGCGACAGGAACTCGCTGCCGTATCTAGACTGCATGCTGAGAGAGGTATACCGGTACGTCGTGTGTGTAATGATGTCGGCTACTACATTATCTAACTATGCCGATAGTTGGCATTGCCCTGGGCCATTAGGTGCCTATCATGTCACGCGTGAGTGATATGTATTGAAGGAATTTGGTAGGTATCCCGCATGCGCTAAGTGAAGAAGACGAGTACCGGGGTTACAAAATCCCAAAGGGTTGCATAATAATACCTAACATGTGGTCAGTACGCAACAATATAGTATACGAGTGATACGGCCCCTGACTTCTCTGGGACACCAGGTTCATGACTCGGGATGCAGAGCTCTATCCAGAACCGGAGGTGTTCCGGCCAGAGCGCTTCTGGGGCCTATCTGAAGAAGAAATGGAGGACATGTGTCCTCGTAACATCATTTTTGGTTATGGCAGGCGGTATGTCCGAGACGTCGACTCGTACAGAATACGATGAAGTCCTGATACCACTCCCCCTTGCAGGATTTGCCCTGGCCGCCGATTCGCTGATACGAGTATTTGGCTATCCATGGCTGCTATCGTCGCCACCTTGGATGTTGAAAAGGCCCGTACTGCATTAGGCGAAGAAATAACTCCCTCGCAGTCCTTCATTCCCGGGGCAGTTCGGTACGCAGTGATGCATCTTGAACGACTGAGGTCAAGTGCTTACGGGGACCCAGCCACGTAGAGCACTTCGAATGCTCTATAAAGCCGCGCGCGGTGGCTACGAGTCTGATAGCCAGTCTTACAACATCGGTAACACCGTGAATGAGCCCTCTTCTGTGATCTTGTGCGCAGGTAGAATGTCCCGTCTTTTCTTGAAATACTAATAGTATGTCGTTGTCAGTTATGTCGCTGCTGTTCACATTACGCGTGCATCGTACTATCCGTCTCAAAGTAAATGCCATTATGTCCCATTGCACGGACCGTTGCGGATATGCTGAAACATCGTAACACAACATCCTTACTCGTGGTTAATGCTGTCTCGACCCTACCACTTCATGTTTGCATCGGTTATGAGTTCGATGGCTTGCTGAGATCGTGGCCTGATGGTGCATTCAAACTGATGAGGGTGACTGAGTGAATACATCAGCTTAGCAGTTCCTCCGATAGGAAACGCATCGTACTTAATGAGACCGGATGAGAAGGTCCCCGACGGCGTGATCTCATTGCCCATTGCATCACGAGCCTTGCCGAGATCGAATGTTGCTACGATGTTGGCCATCGCCTGCCAAATTCCGATTTCTGCGAAACGGCGACCAGGGCATATACTAAGAGCAGCGAGATTAGTTCATTAAACAACAGAATCAAAGGCGTCAATTACCGCCGACCAAAACCGAAGACGATGTTTCGTGGATCTTCTTGATTCTCATATAGCCCATTGAAACGGTCTGGACAGAACGCCTCCGGGTCGGGATAGGCGTCGGCATCATGCAGCATAAACCTAAACAGCACCTTGTCAACGAGTAATGCTAGAAATGTTTCAACCACGTTGACCATAGGTTTGGAATGATCATTGTCCCCTTCGGTATCCAGCACCCACGATACTCGTCGTCCTCGCGCAATGCATGAGGCACACCTGAGGAATCAGTTCGATGGCACCTAGTCGGTGAGGCACAGAACACAAGTACCTAATGGTGCAGGGCAGGAGAACCTATGTTGCCGCAGTGAGTTGATGCACTACTAGTCAATGATGTCAACCGTCACGTACCGGTACGTCTCCTTGAGGATGCATTCAAGGTACGGTAGTGCATCCCTATCGTTGACAGTCGGAAGCCTTGCGCTACCGACCACACTGGCCATCTCTTCTTGCGCCTTCACGCAGACATCCGGATACATGATCATAGCAAGCAGGAAGGCCATGAGCACGGTATGCGTCTAATCAGGAAATGAGTTGATGTAGTCTGGCATGTGACGAGCGCTACCGTATCTGTGCCGGCTGTATAAGAATTGCATCAGCGACGATAGAGCGGGTTCTAGTCGAGTTGTTCAGATGCGACCCACCTGCGTACAACGTGAGTCCAAACATCATGATCTCTGGCTTTTCCGTCTCCAGAGTTCCCTTAGATGTGAATTCCTTGATCAATGACGATATCACGGGGGTTTCAATGTTGTCTTTGGTCTTCGATTGTTTGGTTTGATGAGACACGCAGAATCATAAAATCTCGCGAATGCTTACCAGCTTGCTCTCTGCCAAGTTGTAGGTCCGTTGCGCGGCATCCCTCACGGCTGTCCTGACCCACACGGCTTTTTGCTTGAAGCCTACACCCGGTAACCAGGTCGGGAGATATCTCACTGACAGAATACGATATCAGGAGCTGCGAATGAAGGGACGAAACGATCAGCACTAAAGCACACTCACGAGACGGGATGAAGTCCACAGGGACTGTTCCAGGAGCCGAGCAGTTCATCGTCCCCTCTACTGCCTTCTCGATGACGTGCAGATTCTCGTCGTCAGGAGATATTACTGTGTGCCCGTAAAGATATCGGAACATAAAGGAGGCAGAGTACCTAAGTCGTTTTTTATGAGATGAGAAAGGCTTGGTGAAAGGCTTGGTAACTCAAAGAACATCGGAACCTCACCGTTTGAAATGGGCCCCAAAGCCCTCCGGATCGTTCAGAAATCCCATTAGTAAAGCAATCACCTCGCGCGTCTGCATGTCGGCAAACGCGGCGAGGCAAGACCTGGAAAAGAAAGGCATATGCATCCATCGTCGATGCTTGCGAAACTCCTCATTGTATGGTAGTAATCCGAAATCGTGCTCCCATCCCAACCTACGACATCGGAAGTCATTCATACAAGGAGTCCGGGCCCGGCGACACTTGATACACTCACAAGTCTGTCATCATGACTGAATACGGCCTATCCGAGTATATTACGCTCCGTTTGTCCAGCAGATCTCGTGCAGCGTGCGCAGAATTGATAACCAAGACAGGCGTGTTGAACATCTTCAAGAAAATCATGTCCCCTAGTGCAGTACAGTCAGCCGCGACCCCACGATGTAAGCACTCGGACGCTCGTACCATACTCCTTCCCCCATTGCGCAAATCTCTTCTCCGGGAACTCGAGAGTCATCTGCGGAATATTTCCCAGGATAGGAAATGGACGAGGCCCAGGTGGCAGACGACGACGCAATTTCGCCAATGTAGTCCATAGTAGGCGAGGGCGACGAAAACTGCGAACGCAGCTTGGATGCCGAGTGATAGAGTCATAGTTGAAGAGATGTTGGAGCCGGTGCAGCAGCTGGGATCAGCGTTGATACGTGCACTAGGCCTCCCTGCGTGCCCCTTTTCAGCTTGTGGCGATAGTATATCTTTAGACTCCCACTCAAGCGCAATTCGCCAAATAGAGCAGTGATCCCTTGGGAGATGATTACCGGAGTGAGGTCCATTTCAGAACCTTGTTAATCATACATCGGAGATTATGACGGCGTTGGAAATGTTGTAAGCTCGCCCGCTAATCCGCCTGACCTTGCCAGGCACTTAGGCCAGTCAGAAGTGTGTATATATGCTTCGATTAAGTTATTGGTGTACGTACATACCTCTCAAAGCAGTTGCCCCACGGCATCGCGGCTATGGAGCAACACACGTCGACCCGACCTTGTGCTTGGTCTCATAGGTTGGTCCGGACTGAGAGCCGCACTAGAAGCCTATCGTTGACGGAATATGGGGTGTAGCGCCTACTGCACGTGATCGGAGTAGCTACATAGTTCGCATGTACGTAGCAGGTCTTCACGCGTTCGAACGGGGTATACTCGATATACCAGAAGTCCCCGCTGCTCTCGACTTGACGCGCGTCCTCGTCTTCAGGGATTTCTACAATCGTACATAAGTCATCATTTCCCTGTCCGAAGGTCAGCCTGGGAGATCAAATACATATAGATTGGGGACACGCCCAAACCACATGATCCAACAGCTGATGCTTACGAAAACGGCAGCGTGGCTCGTACCTCTCATACATATGGTGGACCGGTGTTTATAGGCTGTGTCTACGAAGCAGGCGCCGTGCATCGTTTCCTTGGAACCTCATTCATCGCCCTCTTGGAAGCTCCGTGAGATCAGCTCCGCACTCCTCTCCGATCGGGGTCGGATGTCACAGACGAAATGCTTCGGGTGTCTGGCGAGACATGTATGTCAATTGTATTGCATGCGAACACCCAAACCGACCTGACGAATCCAGATACGAAATCCGTTGTGGGCGTGATATCCCGCCCCGCTGAGTCGCGTGCCTTGGCAAGGTCAAAGGTGGCTATCATGTTGGCGATGACGAGCCAGATGCTGCTGTCTCCCAGAAAGCGTCCCGGACATATTCTAGAAGACAAACACCGTGAACTCATGTGGTGAGATTGAGCTCATGGGATAGTGTACCGTCGTCCATGCCCAAACACGATCTTGCGGGGGTCACGTAATTCTGCGAGCGCGGGCTCGATATTGAGGAAACGCTCAGGCTTGAAGTCGTCTGGGTCCTCGTATATCGTTTCGTCGTGCAACATAGCCCTGTACAGATTACAGAATGAGACAATCACATCCAATACGATGACTCGAGGCGGGATACCAGAGATTTGGTATGACTGTCGCTCCGCGAGGCATGTCGTATCCATTGTAGTTGTCGTCTTCAGTCAATTGGTGCGTGATGCCTGTGCGTGATGCCCCCATCAGTCCGCCTCCTCATGGATCGGCATGCTAAATAGACTTGCTCAGAGGGATAGGCACGCCCCATCTGTTCGTATGTTCCATTAGCATTGAGTATGAATGACCACACCCAATCCGAGTCGCAAATTTTGGACCGCATACAAGGGTCGACTCGAAGAGTGCTCACCTATACACCTCTTTCAGCACGCACTCGAGGTACGGAAGCTCCTGTCGGTCGTCAAACTGAGGCAGCCTCTCACGTCCGACGATACGATCCATCTCTGCTTGTGCTGTCGTGTATACTTCGGGATGGCGGACCATGGCGAACACAAACAGGGAGAGCACGCTGACTGTCTGGGAACCATACACGCTCTGTATATGCGCCTTGTAAGACAAGAATTGTACGCACCGTTTCCGTTCCCGCTAAGCAGGCCATGTCAGGATAGTAGGACGAGAAGGGAAGTCCGCGACTCGCCTGTATAGACAGTACCCACCGCGCCACTCATCTCTCTCTCTTCCGCCGCCAAGAGTGGTTCGTCTGTTGGAGCCTCTTCCAGAATTGCTGTGGCGAACGACGGCTTCGCCGTGCCTGCAGTCTGCGTATACGGTAATGTGAACGGTGTGGAAAGACCAGGAGACGGATCCGCACCGTCGCCTCCATGATTGCCCTGAACGGATCGAGGTTCATCGAGTCGATAGCGGGGCGGAGGCGGTCCGCGGTCCGCTTCCAGCTCGCACCTGGCATCCATGCGGGTATCCACTTCACTGGCGCACGGGTCAGCGCGGCCCTCGTCAGTGTCGCCCATACTTTGTGTTCAGAACGAAGAACTCACGGACGGGGAAGAAGTCGACGAGCATCGAGCCGGGGTTGCCCGCCTCGAAGATACCCCCCACTGCAGCGTCTACCTTGCGGACGTGCGCATCACCAACGGACGTCACCGTGTGGCCGTACCCGACCTCGAGCATAATTGCAGCAGCGAGGCTAGAGTGCGCGGAATAGCACTAAGCAGGTTCGTCTCCGTAGGGATGCAAGCACGACGCACCGCTTGAAGTGATCCATGAACGCGTCGGGCTCTCGGAGCAGGTCCACGAGGAATCGACGCGTCTCGCGCTGCTGGATGGGCACGTAGCTGTCGAGCCGTTTCTTCACCTGGAACCCATTCTGGAACCATCTGCGATGGCGCCTCCAGCGGTCGTCGTACTGCATAAACCCAATGTTCCAGCTGAATCCACTTCTGTAGCACATATATCAGATAACAGGCTCCAAAGACGTGTCTGATTCTGGTCGTTTTCAGACTCACAGGTCGTTGAGGTACGTGCAGGGAGGTCGGCCAGAGTACTTTGCGCCGCGCTTCTCCATGAGCGCCCGTGCGGCAGCGGCAGAGTTGATGATGAGGACATCTTTTGTGAGAAGCCGGGCGTACACGACGTCACCTGAAACGTGTATCAAGTCAGTACCATGTAAGCAGTGCTTCGTTGGGATAGAGTCGTACCGCATTTTCTCGCCCATTCTGTGAACGTCTCGTGCTGATACTGTCTGAGATCTGGTGTAAGTTGCCTAATATCGGGAGTCGCGGAGGGCCTGGAGGAAGGCGGAGGGCTCTACGTTTGCGCGACCAAAGGAGGAGGGAGATCAGGAGAAAGGCAAGTGCGAGGCCTGCGAGTTGCTCCATCGCGTTCTGCGGATGCGACGGGAGAACATCTAGAAACATGGCAAGAGCGGTCGGTTTCGTGCTCCTTGGACGGGACCGCTGAAGACTCACACCTTATGTACGTCGGGTGTCCTCAACGTCCTCAGTATGGAGCTCAGCTCCAGGGATGACCGCACAGGTCGCGAGAGTTCAATCTTCTTGCCTCCCATTGATCGGAAGTAATGCGCCTCCATCGGCTGCCTGAAGAGTCCCGATGGCTCCCGATATACCGATGCGTCGTTCAGCCTGAGATACAGGCCACGGGACCATCAATAGTAGGCACTCGTATCGCCATTTCTTCTGGACGAATCTCACGAGAGGTGTGCGGGAGAGATACATCTGCCGCATTGGGAGCGATGGCCTCCCGCCGAGTCCTGAGAGCGAGTGATATGGGTCATGACATGTGTGGAACAATGAATCGGGGGAAGACGCCAGGTCACTGAAGCGGGATAGTTCTGTCGGGCATTACAGCCTGTAGGTTTGGGTACCTGACAACTCACCCAGTGACCAACCTCTTGAGCGATTGGGGCTGAGAGATTCCCAGGGATGAGCTGCAAGGTCGCACTTATTGGCGAAAGTAACAACTTACATACAATGCAACAGTGCGAAGCAAGATCACTGAGGTTCAGGTCGAATAGCTGGGAGAACGAGTCAGTGATTGAACCGACTTCGAGGACGCGGCGACCTCACGTATCGCGGAGCCTGATCATATGTAACAGTGAGCAGCTGATGTATGTGCCGACGAATGTTTCTTACCACCTCATCGACCTGCTTGAGGAACTCGTGCCTGCTGTCCAGGATTGACGTGCCCCTGGCCAGGACTCGATATCGATCTACAAGACGTGCAATCACTAAATGTTAGTAAGTCGAGCTATAGAGCTGCACTGCGGGTCCCTAGCACTCTGAGCCTCGCATTCAATTTGACGATCTTCTTGTCTCTTGGGTACTTGAGTCCCGAAAGTCTTCAAGATTTTCAGAACACTGCAGGGGCCAGACAGACAAAGCTTGGCGGTGGCATATGCGAATGACGTCACCGATCCTCCTCTTCACAGCCCAGCTCCGGCAGTCCATGCTTCTGTGATACTTAGATGAAAACTGTCATTTCGATGCACCCGTATATATAACAGCCTGTCGTGAAGACGCGACGTTCCCACTTGACCTCGAACCCCCATGTTGTGTCAAGTCGTCACTGCTATACCGCGGAAGCATCGGACTCCGTACGTACCGGCTGCAGTAATCCCGTGCTGACCAGAAAGACTCAGATACTCTCGTTTGGGCTGCAGCTGCCAGAGAGAACGTACACAAGCGCCCACGACGCGACCACCGGTAGCATCGGGATGTTCTCACGGACCAGGTGACATGCACGTACGGAATTCTTTGCACCCGCCATCCGCGCTCGATCGAGCTCGCGTCCACTGTAGTTTCCTCTCGCAACGCTCAGCCATCCACGCTCAATACCCATGCCAAGAAGATTCCTGGCTGTTATCTACGCACTACACATGACGAGCGTCCCCTGGCGGTGAGTCGCAGCAATCTCGTGTACTGTCATGCATATATACTGGAAGGACTAAGTTCTGCCATAGCAGATAGCGGTGTCATAATCGCTCTCCCTATCTACTTGGCTCGCTCAGTATCGGTGCCGACGACCTGGACCCTGACCTACGATAGATCCTTTATCATGGCCTGTTCACATGGGGTCAGCGCTATCATCCGCCGGACTCATTTTCTGATCGACTTGGAGTCGCCTTCACCAACATAAGCCGGGACGCGCTCCTCCAGCGTCTGCGGTGCTTCTGCTGCCAGCGACTGCGTGGCTCTCTGCTCCGAACCAATCCACCATGAGCGCACAAGATACCCTCGAGAAGGCCTCCCTCGACTCGAAGGACGAGAAGAAGTCAACGTCCCACGTTGCGCTCGTTACCGACCAGGTCGACACGGCGCGGCCCTCGTCGCTGGCAAGCATGTCGAGATCACGCCCGAGGAGGAGCGTCGTCTCCGGCGGAAAATCGACCTGCACCTCATGCCGCTCATGTGCGTCCTCTATTGGATCCAGTTCATGGACAAGACCACGCTGGGCAGCGCGGCCATCTTGGGGATCAAGACGTCGACGCATCTCACGACGAACGAGTACAACTGGCTCGGAACGATCTTTTACCTCTCCTACCTTGCCTTTGAGTATCCACAAAACCTTGCGCTGCAGCGGTTCCCGGTGGGCAAGTGGATGAGGTGCGTCATGACGGTGCTTCTCTTCGTGCTCCGCTGCTCATCTTTTCGTAGCTTGAACATCTTCGTGTGGGGCGTCGCGCTCTGCAGCCATGCTGCGTGCAAGAACTTTGGTGGCTTGTTTGCCTGCCGCTTCATCCTTGGCATATGCGAGGGGTCCATCACCGCCGGCTTCATGATCGTCACGAGCATGTTCTACACGCGTAAGGAGCAGACGCTGAGGATTGGGTACTGGTGTCGTATCTTCCCCACCTTCACCCCGATGTGAACCTGATCGATCGTTCGTGTTGTTTAGTCCTGATGAATGGCACTGGTGCGCCTGTTTCCCCCACGTCGACGAAATTGACTGATCGACGACACGACAGCACAAATTGTGATCGGCTTCATCTCGTTCGGGTCGCTGTACATAAAGACGGGCAACTTCAAGCCCTGGCAATGGCTCGTCATCATCACCGGCATCCTGACGCTTATCACCTCCGTCTGCTTCTTCCTGATGTTCCCCGACTCGCCCACGACGGCGTGGTTCCTCACACCTGAGGAACGCGTGCTCGCCGTGCAGCGCCTGCAGGCGAACCAGACGGGTGTGGAGAACAAGCGGTGGAAGCGCGAGCAGTTCATCGAGGCGCTGACCGACCCCAAGACGTGGCTCTTCGCGGCTTTCTCCGCGTTCGACAACGTGCCGAACTCGCTCACGAACCAGCAGCAGCTCATTATCGCCAACTTCGGCTTCACGACGCTGCAGACGACCCTCCTCGCGATGGTCAACGGGTTTGTGGAGATCGCGACGATCTTCACGGGCGTGAACCTCGCGGCGCGGCTGCCCAACTCTCGTGCGTATGTCGGGACGATCTATTTCATGCCGACGATGCTGGGCATCATGCTCGTCAACCTGCTGCCGTGGAGCAACAAGGTTGGACTCTTTTCGGCCAATGGATGACTGGTATGTTCGCTTGTCCTCTGGAGATGAGCTTGTACTGATGTTCGCGTTGTCAGGTATCAGCGTTACAGGTTCGTGCTCGCGCTCTCCTGGCTCACGAACGTCACCGCGGGGCACACGAAGAAGGTCACCGTGAATGCGATTATGCTCATCGCGTACTGCGTCGGCAACGCCGCGGGCCCGTTCATGTGGCAGGCGAAGTACACGCCTCGGTAAGCCCCGCCTCCCACCACCATCCTCCCTTCCGGTCTGAACCAACACGCCTTTGCAGGAACCACATCCCGTGGCTGATCATCGGCGTCTGCTACGCGACCTGCATGGCGCTCCTGATGGCGATCCGTGTCCTGCTCGCGCGCGAGAACCGCAGGCGCGAGCGGAGCCGCGCGACACGACGTACGACGACGTGTACGTCGAGGTCGTCCTCCCCGACGGCGCGCGCGTCGAGCGCAAGGTCGAGAAGGAGTACTGACCTCACGGATATACAGAACCGGGACTTCCGGTATGTGTGTGAGGTCCGTGCTGGCTGATGGGGCGGGGAGGCAAGCTGAGGCGTGTGTTTATGGTGAACGTATTGCATTGTATACATAGAAGTGGTGGTGGAGATGCTCACGCAAGTACACTGTGCCCGCTATAACGTTCTATCCACTTTGGTGATGCAGATGCCGCGCCCCTCGCAGGCCGATGGCTTGCGATAGGCACCAGTTACTAACAAGTTAGGTTCGGAGTCAGTCCGCTCGCTCTGGAGTAGGATATGCGGCATCGAACTACGCAGTCGGCATTGCGGTACGTCTTCGTTCTCATCGACATCCAGATGCTTAGAATACTTTCCTTAGGTATGCAGTCGTGAGTACTCGTCTACGGCTGAATAAAAGGCTGTAACTCGGTACAGGGGACTGAGGGCGAAATCACCTCTAACGGCGCCTGCGCCTCGGGTCGTACCGTGCTGGTCGTCTCTTACTGACGGGGACGGCTTCTCTCCTAGCTTCTGAATGGTCCCATGAGAGCTTTAAGGGATCGGAGCCTGTGTAAGTGTATTCTGTTGAGTAGCTGCGTGTCCAGCTCTTGCTCATGATCTGCACACACCGGAACGTCGCGATCGGCTCACGACTTCCTGCGACATTGCCTCCGCATTCCGCCATCTCCCGGCCTGGACCATCGGCTTTCTGGGATAATCAAGTCGCGAGCCCGCTGTTCGAGACGCCGAGCTGCGCGCCGGCCGTCTCCACGCGCTTCCAGATGTTGCTCGCGTTTGACGCTGCGTGGTTGGCCTGCTGATGCTGCAAGGACATTTTGAGACCGATGGCCCGCGCCACTGTCGCACCTTGGGTACGACAAGTCGTACCTGATATAGGAGCCGCGGGTGCACACGAGTCGTTGGCTAGAGCGGTTGGTGTACTGGACGAGGGTATGGAGTTGGTGCGGCTGGATGGTGGGGAAGAGAGGCTGTGACCGTTTGTGCAACTGCGAGCTGGTCGCGTATGTGCGCATATACTTATGCATGCCGATGAGTCGGCGTACAGTGTGCGTGGCGCCGGGCGCGACGCGTTGTATGCAGTCACGGGGTCGCGCAACGATGTTACGTAACCAGTAGTTACGGAGAAAGAAAGAAAGAGACTTGCACTGGCGTCGCGTCTGCCCCTTCTGCCCAAGCTCCATGCATCCAGTTGTCGAAAAGCCACAGCTGCTACAGCTTCCCACAACTTAAACGCGGGTCCAACACGAGCCTCGGAGTACCTGCCGCGGTGTCGATCACCAGATCCTTGACTCAGACTGAACGCGTCGCCGCGCAATCCTTCGTTCAAACGTTCACCGGTGGATTGCGATGCAGCCGCGCATATATGCCCATGTGCTTACACAGTACAGTCTGTGACGACTCTGGAGACGAGAAACGTACGGTGAGTTCAATAAGCTGAACAACGAGCCTCTGAACTTCCCGGTTCTTCCGGGTTGTGGATCTACTGGACGGGTGGCCATCCAGGACTTGCCGCACAGGGGGCAGCGCGACGGCCCGTGCGATCTCCGGTGGGGGAGGAGAGGAGAAGGGGCTTCCATTCAGCCACACAATGCTGGCAACGCGCCCGCTGGGATGTTCCCTTTTTGGACTTTTGGAATAAGGTTTCATGCTTGAAGTGGAGCAACGCCAACTTCATTTTTCGAGGTCTTCATAACGCTGCTGCGGAGCCGACGTCCGCGGAATCGTGCGACAGCTGCTGTCTTGTCTTCCTCCGCCCGCAACAATAACGGGGTGCTTCTGCATCTCATCCACTGATCATTCGGATTCGATGGCGAACACCCGCTGATCGCAACCAATGCGAGACAATGCGGATGGAGCGAAGATGCACCTCTCCGTCGTTCGAGCGCATCGGAATGACGAAAGTGCTTCGGGAAGGTGAGGCGCCCTCATGCCGTTTGCTGTACTCAACGTAATGACACCTACCCTTCATACAAGCGAAATGGGGTCGTATCAATTCCGTCTATGTCGGCAGTGCACATGTCCTCGTTGTCAGACGCGACCGGTTCTGCGTTCAAGTGCTGGTCAGGAATGGTCTGTGATGGACTTGTATCGTAGCCCAATTCTACGATGGAATCTTCTGTCAGGATGCCAAGTCACATTAAAGTGGAATACAGCTCCACCGCCTTCTGGCGAGAAGTGAGTATGCAGATGGGCCACACATGTTTGATTCATCCTTGTTACTTATTGTCTCGATGCTGCGCGGGTGACGTCGCCAGTGAGTAGTGCCCGAGGCTAACTCTTTTTAGCTGCATGTATGCCGTACTCTCCGTCGTAAGGAGCTCCTGTACAGAGTCAGATAAAAGCTCGCTGGCGGGAAGTCAGCACGCGCATTCACCCTCGGTGCACGTCCTGTCGAAGCATGGACAAGACATTACCTTTCGCAACGTCTATCGTGACAGCGCTCGTCGCGCTCATTGCTGCGCTAGTCGTTTTCGATGCTTTCTTCACTAGGCGCAGCCGCCAGCGACTCCCTCCGGGCCCCAGACCGCTGCCCTTCCTCGGTAATATCCACCAGCTTCCGGCGGCCGAACAGCAGAAGACGTTCACGGAATGGGGCGCAGAGTACGGTCAGTGTCTGACGATCTTCACTTCACGTAGCCGCGACTTATACGGTCAGCGCAGGCGACATCATCTTTGCGAAGGCCTTCCAGCGCCCGCTCCTGATCCTGAACTCCTCCCAAGCCGCGTTCGACCTCATCGAGAAGAGGGGGCTCCGGTACTCCGGACGCCCGCCGTTCACGTACATGACCGACACCGAGCTGTGAGTCCACTACTGGCCTCCGTCGGGCCGCGAGTCTCATCGTCGGACCGGGCAGCGTGGGCTGGACGGCCGGAAGCGCGTTCAGGATGTACGACGACGTGTGGAAGCTCCACAGGAAGTGGTACCAGCACTCCCTGATCGCCCGAACCGCGCTGGACAGTTACCACCCGCTCCAGCGCCAGGAAGCGGACCGGATGCTCTACGACATCATCCAGGACCCCGCCGACTACAGACACCATATGAAGCGGTACGCCCGTCCAGTGTTTCGTAGTCGGTAGCGCGCTGACGGTGTATGCGCAGGTACGTGGCGGCGATCGTCCTCGAAATGCGTACGGCCATAGCATCGAGACGACGGACGACGAGTTCATCCGCACGATCGAGAAGGGCTTGAGTGAGGTCATGGAGGGCGCGGCTGCCGGAAGCGCATGGTCGACTTCTTCCCCGCATGTGAGTGAGTCCACGCGCGAGCACCGTGACTGCGGTCGTGACCGAATGCCTCCTACCAGTGCGCCATCTGCCGTCGTGGTTCCCGGGAGCCAGTTCAAGCAGTCTGCGGCGCGCGCACGCGCGGCGATCCGCGCGCTGGAGGACGTTCCGTATATGCAGGTGAAGGAGAGATGGTGGTTCATGCGCTGTTCCGTTTCGTTCGGCATTGTTGACGGACCTCTGACCCAGGCCCCGGGACCGCGAAGGCGTCCTTGACGAGGTCGTTGATAGAAGTCACCTCGCGAGCGGCTGCTGACGAGGAGGACGAGGCGCAGATCAAGGGCGCTGCGGGCGCGCTGTATGTCGGTTAGTCTATGCTTTCCTCTGAGCCCGGGATAACTGTCTCATGTAAGTACAACTTGCGCAGGCGGCTCAGACACAGTTAGTGACTTTGCCTTCGGGCATAGATGGTATGGTGACACTGACTTTGACCTCGCCAGACATTGACCGTGGTCCTCATGTTCGTCCTGGAGATGGTTTTGCATCCGGAGGTCTTGCGAAGGATCCACAATGAGATAGATAGCGTCGTCGGCGACTCCCGGCTACCCGACTTCGACGACAGGCCTTCGCTCACGTATCTGGAGTGCGTGCTGCGAGAAGTGTATCGGTACGAGTCCGTTTGTCCATCTAGACGACTGTCTGTAATGACTCGAACGACTGCTTGTTAGGATGCAGCCCGCGGCGCCCTTAGGTACGCACCGGGCCCGGGACCACACACGTCTGAGACTCACGCCTTGTGACCTGTAGGGGTGCCACACTGCACGACTGAGGACGACGTGTATCGGGGATACCACGTCCCCAAAGGGACTATGGTGATCACCAACATATGGTGCGTCCAGTCACGCCGACGCATCATATCGTCGCGACTCATCCTTCGCAAGGGCCATGACGCGCGACACTCAGTTCTACGACGACCCAGAGGAGTTCCGGCCCGAGAGGTATCTCGAGCTCGACGAGAGCGAGTCGCCCGAGCTCTGGGACCCGAAACAGCTCCTCTTTGGCTTCGGCAGAAGGTCGGTGGCCCCAGGATCCGCGCTCCGTGTGCTCCGGTTGACTCGTCTCTCAGGATCTGTCCCGGCCAGCATCTGGCGGACGAGAACGTGTGGTTCGCTATTGCCGACTGGCGGCTGCGATGGATATCCGAAAAGCGCGCGACGCGGAGGGGAGGGAGATCACCCCGAACCCCGCCATCCTCTCGGGATCTGTTGCGTACGTCGTTCAGCTTGTGTCGCGGAGCGGGGTGCAGTCTGAGCTGAGTTTGACACGTAGCCACCCGGAGCCCTTCGTGTGCGACATTCGTCCACGCTCGGAGAAGATGCGGCAGATGATATTGGATAACCACGATGCGTGAAGACGGGTGCCACGTGCGTTGCCGAAGGGCCCGCAGAGACAGTGAACTACGTGCAGAGTGCGCATGTGGAGTTTGTTCTAGTGCCCGACACTCTTGTGTGTACGTTGTTAACTTATGCAATAACCTGCGCACCGTGTGAGCATCAGACTGTACATGTATGAGTTGCACGCATACTCTCTGGCTCGTGATGCGCGGTCAGGCTGGAGCTGTACCCTGTATAGTTGACGTCGACTTGCGACGACAATTCAAGGCGAGTGCTGTATTCTCCATTGATGTATGTATGACTTAAGAACAGAGTATAGTGCATGGTAATAGAACAAGAGCTTGATTCTGCAATACGTCCGTTGCGCAAGCATAGTCGATCAGATCAGTCCATGGGATGCTCGAGAGGTCAAGCTTCAAGAACAGCTACATGCTTATACGGCGAAGTTGTAACGCGAGGGAGACAAGCAGAATGACGGATAAGAAACACGATTGTCGAGTGCTCTTCCAGATGGCTGCTCAGAGACAGGCGACTGGAGGAGCACCCGAACCAATCGCCGCATGCGGATCGTATCGTACAAGGGTGAGCACCACCAGGACGGCGAGACACTGCCAGGACAGGCGATCTCGAGCGCGTGTTCGCTCAGAGGCGGAGCCGCTTCATGTTGCTCGTCAGGTCGCCGAGATAGTCCTGCACCTTGCTGTTGAACCTGCGGATGTTGCACTGCTCGCTCTCGACGTGCTGGCACAGCGCGCTCAGCGTTTGAACTCCGCGCCGCAGCCCGAGTAGCCGCGGGGGCAGCGGTACATCTTCTCCTCGTGGGCGGGACTCGCGAGGTGCTGGTTGAGCGCCGCGAGCGTGCGATACTCGCGGTGGCACAGGAAGCACTCGTAGCGGTCCCCGTTCCAGGCGCGCTCCGTCGCCCACGTCGTGACCGACTGCCCTGCGCCGCTCTCGCCGTACGCGATCATGCGTGCGGGGTTCGTGATGACGTGCTGCTTGTCGTATTTGGCAGCGACGCGGTTGACCTGCTCGCGGGTGATGCGGGAGGGGCAGGTGCCGGACTCGAGGTGGAGGATGAGCGCGGCGCCGCTAACGAATATCTTCTTGCACTTCTTGCCCGGGCAGGGCACAGTCGAGCCTGCGTGCAGGGTCGAGCGGAGGTGGTGCTGGAGATTGTTCGCGTTCTGGAAGAGGCGGCGGCAGTCGGGGCAGTAGTGGTGCGACTGACGGTTGTGTGCATGCAGGCCATGTGCGGAGTCGAACAACTGTGGCCGGAAGTGGATGATATTAATGGTGAGTTGTGCGGTCGCCCAAACATCACACTCGGATTCACCTTGTTGCATGGCTCACAGTAGAAATGCGAGTCTTCGTAATGCGCCTCGAGCTCGTCCTCGTCATCGAAGTGCTCGTCGCAATCCTGGCAATAGTGATGCCTCCGAGCATTGATCCAGTGCTGCTTCAATCCATGATACGTCGCAAAATCCTTGTCGCAGTCGTGGCAGATGTTGTGTTGACTGGAGTCGTCCTGGTGCTGCTCGAGCGCATGCTCGTTTACGAAGTACCGGGCACAGCGACTACAGTAAACCATCTCTGGGGTGATTCACGCGGTGTTGGGCGCCGATGACCCTCACATGCGTACCTTTATCTCTACTTACCGTCGCCTCGAGGCGATGCGAGGAAGACGAAGACGGGAACTTGAAGCAGGTGAAATGTGTCACGTTCGCGACTCGTCACGCAGCACCTGTTGTGACAGTACGTAACAGGCGCTTTGATTCAACGTCGCTCGCCGAGGGCTCGATTCAGTGCTACTTCCTACCTCTCACTGACACTTCGTCGACTTCACATATACTCGCCATCGTTCTCTTCTCGGACTCACGCACAAACACATATGCACGACTAGCACAACTCAAAAGTCTCGGAGGATCATAGGCGCCAGCGATAGAGCATATATAGGAGCGAACAAGGAGCGAACTCGTGGATCGATGAGAGAAGTAGAAGGTTTATGACGACAATTGTCTTGACCGCCTGACCACCTGGAACAGCCTGGGACTTCTGCTTCTGCTGCGGCTCCTCCGATGGCTAGCTATGATTCATCACCGTGACGGCTGGGACATCCCGAAGGTCTGTAATGATCAAGTTCACCGGTCAATAGCTGTTGCATGGTGTTCACTTGACGGTATGTTCGCATACAGATATCTTGTGCGAGTTGTTGTTACTGACTGTTGCGGCTAATTATAGGGATACACGAGCTCAGACGTGTCTGCGCCGGTCTGCTCCCCTGAAAGGATTTGCCTCGCAAGCTCGTGCGAATTCCACGCATAAGGACTCGTGAGGCGACCGCCTGGATATGCTCACGGAGGTCTCTACCAGGACTTCGATCGGTAATAATGGAAAGGCGTATGTCTTGGTCCTAAATGTTGCAAATCCTCGACAGCGTTAGGTACGTGGCATGGTCGGGGGTGTATTCGTGCCGTATCTGACTCAGACTTGCTATAGCATGTACAGCCTGGACAAGACCCACCCCATGAAGCTTGACGTATTTCGTGTCACTTAACAATGTTTGATCGGCTTGGGACTCAGTGGGTGACATCTTCTGATTATCAAGCACGAAGAGGTTGCGAAGAGGAGTCCTATAGTCCTCGTGTTCATGTACGCCGCGTCTCCGAGTAGTACTCGCGACCCGAAGGTGCGTCACATCACAAAACTAAATGCGTCGTCCCGCGGACGCCTGCACGCCAGGCCATGAGTCGCAATTCGCAAACAGGGACTTAGACCTTCCAATTCGCAGAGAACAAGGTTCTGGGTTAGCACCTTCGCTCCGCTCATCATCTCCCAGAGTTTGAAAGATTGCTCAGTTTCCTGACTTGCGCGCGTATCAGGGTAATCAAGGTTCGGAGGATGATTCTCACATGATGACGGACTGCGGCAATGCTTGCGCATGCGGACAGGCCTGGTGCATGTATCAGCCCCGCCTGAGGACGATCAACTGCTGCACTGTAGACGTTGACATGGACTGACCTCCCTTGACCTCAGGCTTGTCTTTGGCGTGGCGCTAGTCACCGTTCTGGTCCTCCATGCAGCTCGAACCCGCACACTTGCCTACTGTCCCCATCTCCTACCGGAGCCTCGCCCGCTGGCGCTAAGCGGTGACGCACATCAAATGCCCTATGATTTTCCAGTGAAGACGTTCGCCCAATGGAAGGACGTCTACATTCATACCGCTGAACTCGTTGAGTGTCACCTAATCCGTCAACTCTAGGCGACCTGATCTTCTTACGAAGGTTCACTACACCGGCGTTGATTGTAAACAGCTTCGCGAATGCGGCACCGTACTCAGCCAGACCGATAGATCTGTAAGTCTGCCATCGCATCCTCTTCTGGTTCAACAATTCTGTATTGATTATCGAGCAAATCATAGGATGGGATGGGAACTTTGGAATCATGTGCTATGGCGATACTTTTCGAAAGCACCGCCGATACATTCAAGGGCCCTTCTTCGACAAGGCGTGGCTCGCGCAGGCCGCGTCTATGCAGATCTACGAGACGCGCACTCTTCTCTCCAACTTACTTCGTGATCCCGACAACATCGCGAAACACCTCCACCGGTAGGTCGTATAGCGCATTTGCGCGCTGGATATCGTGTTGATAACGGTCGTCCTTCTCCATACCATAGGTTCACTGGTGCTACTAGCCTGCTCGCGAAGCTCATGATACCGTTGCTCAGGCCCATAAGTTCTGCATATATGCGAGCGGCGGGGAATCTACGGAGGTTCATGATTGTCGCCGGAAGATATTCAATGAAACTGAGTTCAAGTTGATATCCTCGTCGGCATAAACTTGAAAGCGCTGGTCGATCCTTTATGGCATGCATCGGATATTACCTCGTCGGGCATCGAAGCACCCTTGTGCTCTGTTGTGCATCCGAAACCGGGCCCCTACTCAACGTTTGGGCTGCGCGAGTAGGCATGAATCTAACTTCCCTCAGCCTTGCTCTTGGTGTGGTGCTCGTCACCCTTGTACTATTCTATGTAGCGCAGAACCGGCGGTATTCAAGTCAGCGCTATCTCCCACCAGGACCTTGCCCGCTACCGATCATAGGCAACGCACACCAGATGCCTCTCGGGTATCCTGAGAAGCGGTTTGCCCAGTGGAAACACGTCTATGGTAAGCCTAAATGAAGATGCGTCGTGTTGCGACTGACTCGTCCACGCTAGGTGAACTGATATTCTTACGGACGTTCAACACTCCGATGTTGGTCGTGAACTCCGCAAAAGCGGCGCGAGATCTCCTGGAGAAGCGGAGCGCGAAGTGTTCGGACACGTCCATCCGGTTCTCCTTGCGATACATGCATACCTCACGTATCTTTCGCCGCGGTCTGATTGTAGGATCGGTTGGGATGGAAACATGGCGCTCATGCCCAATGGCCAGCAGTTTCGGAAACAGCGTCGATGGATCCAGGCCCCCTTCTCCGACAAGGTGTTTCTCGCTCAGTTCGTACCCGTGCAGACCCGCGAGATCCGGACTCTCCTCTCTGAACTGCTACACCATCCCGGCAACTTTCCGAAGCACTTCCATCGGTGAGTTAGCCTGGCACACATACTCCGGGCGACGTGTGGATCAACTATGCTGATGTCAGACTGATATGTCAGCTTCTCTGCCGCACTGATGCTGTAAATTCTTTACGGGCACAGCGTCGTATCCGCAGATGACGAGTACCTGCAACTCGTTGACAAAGCCGCCACAGGTATCATGGCCGCTTCTGCTCCCAGCACCGCGGTCGTGGACTTCATACCCTTCTGTGAGCCCGCACAGTCACTTGATGGACCGATCTACGTCTGACCCGAAGCGGGCCCGACACAGTACAGTATATTCCAGCCTGGCTTCCGGGAGCAGGATGGAAGCGCCTTGCATTAGAAGCGGGAGCTGCACTGAAGGAGGCATACGTACGGACGTATGCGCTTGCGGACACAGTGAGACAGACTTCCGTATGTAGTGCTAGTGTGACTGATTCGGAACAGGACGGCAAATCGTCGGTCATACGCACGCTCATCAAGGAGTACTCGGACAAGGGAGAGCTGGCTACCCAAGCATACGAGATTATGGTCTTCAAAGATTGCATTGTTATCATTAGCTGGCGCAGATACGGTAATGCGTATCGCGCGTGCTCTTGTTGAATGCTCATATCTGGCATAGACGAAGACCGTTTTGCAGAGTTTCGTGCTGGCAATGGTCCTACATCCGGAGGTCTGCACAAAGGCACAGTACGAGATGGACCGCGTAGTTGGTCGTGAGAGACTTCCGACGTTTGATGATAGGGATTCACTTCCATATCTGGAGTGTGTACTCAAGGGGTAATATCGGTGCGCCTTGGCAAGGAACGTTGTCTGATAGCTTTTGCTTGACAGACTTCTCGCACAGTTGGGCTTGTCCCGCCAGGCTAGGTGAGCCACCACCACGTATATGGCTTGCGATGCCTGACTGACCGAGATGATAGGCAGTTCCCATGCATCTAGCGAAGACGATGAGTATCGCGGATACTATATCCCAAAGGGCACCGTCGTCATCCCGAATCTCTGGTCAGTTGTACGATTGTTGATGCCGGTCGCGTCAGCAATCGTAACGCTTCGTCAGGCTGGTGCTACGAGACTCGGAAGACTACCCTGAGCCAGACTTGTTCCTCCCTGAACGATTCTGTGAGCTGTCGATTGAGGAGTCCGAACGAACGGACCCTCGGAACATCGTTTTTGGTTACGGGCGAAGGTGAGCTGTGTGCAGCATTACCTGCATATAAGCAGTCATATTCTGACATCCAAGGCTAGGTTGTGCCTTAGAATTTGTCCCGGTCGCCGCTTTGCGGACACCAGCGTTTGGCTGGCGATGGCCAATCTTGTGGCGACCATGAACATTGACAAGGCCCGTGATGACATGGGCAACGAGATCACACCACCTGCGGCGTTTGAGTCAGGTTTTACGAGGTACGTAAGATTATCGTTAGGGTGTATTACTTCGACTGATGAGATCTATGCTAGTCCTCCTTCACGCTTTCAGTGCTCAATCAAGCTGCAGTCGCCGCAAGCTGTGGAGCTAATATCTAGTGTTATGTGAGGGTACTGAGCTCCCTCTTTCGGAATCGATGCATATCACCCAAGATTGCAGGACGACTGATTCATAGTGTACCTGCCATCCGCACGTAGCACTCTCCCACAACGATACAGTTGACGATTAACATACTAAGCTGTACACATTGAGCTTTCCACATGAGACACCGTTCTCAGTACTCAGTGTGAGTAGGGGCAACGCGCTACAAATTTAAACTCCGACGCGTCCGCGCGCCACCCGCCTGCCGCGTCTCACGAAGTGGGCGCGGAAAGAGGTGCACTTTTCTCCGATTCATCCACTTCAGAATATTCCGGAGAAGTGATGGTAAATCATCTAAAATCAGGCTCGAGAAAGTCTTGAGGATGGATTTAGAGAAAAGGCCCTGCGGACATGCGAGCCTTCTACAGCCCCCCAATACGTACATTACAGAAAATTCCATCCTCAAGACTTTGTTCTATGTATGTATGTGATCACGGTCATTTAGTTGTTGCAGGAGCCAAAAACGCCAGGGAACGTCAGAAGTGCACCTCTTTCTCGCGGTGCGACGCGTGTTACGTAAGCGAGTCGACGCGCCACTAGCGCGTCTCGACGCGATCCTCGCTAGTCTTTTAGCCGTCCTCCGTGTATCCTTGCTTCTGGTCATATCCATTGGTCACAGAACTACCTGGGGCATCTCTTGTAACAGTTCAGCAAACATGTTACACCCAAAAACAACATCCAGTATATCAAAAGGTGAGTTCTGCATGTTTAGCCTCTATACTGATGATCCTCAGGCCGACAAGATCTCTTCGGACTAGACTGCTAGTTCATTTGGGGTAGTTCCGAGCCTGGGAGAGGTTGCTGTCATGATAGACCACCGCATATACAGCTTTTGCTGAGACACCAAATGCAGTCTGTGCAACATGCTGACCGAATTCCGATGTTGTATTCTTTCGATCCCTCTGTGAAACCACATAAACACTCGTGAGATACATGCCGTTCTATGTGAATATAGTCTCAATTTTATACAACTCGTGTCGAATGCTATAGCATGGGGAGAGAGCAAGAGAGTTGTGTCCACTTTCTCGACGCGTTTTGATCACGTGACAGGGGACGCTTTTCGGAAAGGCATTGCCCCTAGTCACTCAGTGCCCCAGGCTCTTGGGCAGTAGAGAGTTTTGGAAACAACTGTTGAAGTTGTTTTGAACGGTGGAGGTGGAGCTGAGGTTTGGTGGTGGTGGGGCTCCGTGGGGCTGGTCGAGAGTGTGACGCCGAGTGACGGGCCGTGACACTCTTACTATTCATGGCAATTCGCTCACGGACGACGCTTGGGAGGGCGGGCAGGCCGGTAACGCTCGTGTCACGCCCACCGCAGATCTGACAGAGATCGGTGGTGTCGGAGCTGTGGTCTGGTGGTGGCGTGAACTTTCACAGTTGTTGTGGGGATGCGCAACGCCCCCGCCAGATCGCCTTAGCGCGCGGCCAAGCGCCTTAGCCCGGCAGTCTGCGCCGACTCTGCGGAGCTTCAATTAAACGGTCACGGTTGATGGGGTGGCTTGGAGGCCTCGCCATCCTTCGCCATCGTGCCGAGATGCCATATAATCACTAAGCGATAATTCTGCGATTGTCTGGCGATCGTCGTCAAATCGTCATTGTATCTAGCGCCGCTTTGAGCAGTGAACGGTACTATGAGATGCAGTCCCCCAGAAGGCAAAAATCCACAGATCTTGCACATAACTCGTCGACGATTATGAATTTAAGCAAAGTTGCCGGAACAGATTTCTTGTTACATGTCGAGAAGTGGCCGATCTCGCTCTATGCATGTCGAGATTGCGTGTTTAGCAAGCCATTATGAAAAATCTGCTCCGAAGGTTTGAATCTTCAGTCATTGAAACGGGCATCCCGCGCATCATTTGGGGAAAATGTGGTTGTTGCGAGACTGGGCACAGCGCGGGGATCATCGCACTGAGCGGAGTAAGCGCCCGCGCGCGGTGAGCATGCGATGACATGTCCACTGCCGGAAATTGCTATTATAGCCGCCTCATGTGTCCCAAAATCACACTGGGAATAAAAATGCTGTACTACTCTCCTGAATGATCACTAGCACTGTCGGACGTGAGTGGACGAATCCATTCAGGTCTGATGAGTAAGTAGATGTGGCCGAGCTGACATAATCAACTGGTACATCGCGCAAGCGCCGTGCACGATACAAGTTACAACTCTGCTCGACGCCATGCCGTCTCCTCAGATGCAGCCTGACCCGGTCTGTGTGAAAAACAACTGACATACTTCCCTCTTGCATTGTGGCTGCCTAGCTGCGGCTTTCACTAAGTAGTAGTGTTGATCACGCTGTGACTCGGACTCGGCGGTGAGCGCTCGGAGAGTTAGCGCCGAGAACATCGCTACTCTCGACCGCCACCACCACCTCGTCTCTCACCACCGCCCAACCTCTCGTCAAGGCGCTCGCGCTGTCCCAACGGCCAGGCAAGCTGAAGTCCGCGACCGCCTAGCTGAACTGCCGCCAGTTCAGCTAGGGGCCCCTGACCGTGACAACCCTGCGCGCGGTACAAGACCGCCGCCTCCTTCCTCTCCCGGACTTCGTATTCCACCCGGGACCTCTCTAATCGACTCTACCCTCTCCTCTCTTGGATATGGAGACCTCAATCCGGACCCCGCGGCTCTGGCGACACGCAGCAAGACCGCGCGGTTCAGGACTCGCACGACGCGCGTGCAAGTCCAGCACCGGGCAACAAGGTTGCGCAGAACGCAGAGAACGCGGCGCGAGGGAAGGAGAAGGAGGAAAGAGGAAGAGAGGAAGGAAGAGGAGGGGGAAGGGCGCGGGGCGAGCAGGAATAACGAGCACGAAGGCTCGCACACAGGTACACCCTCGCTGGCCGTCCCTGCCTCGCCGTTCCCGCTCCCAGTGCCCGTGCCAGCAGGTGTATCGACGAACGCGAAGTTCGTCGTGCGCTCTGCTGGCCACGACGTCGGCACTCCCGCCTTCCGGGACGACCTTACGGTCGTACTCGCGGTTACGCACGGCAACACGGCGGACGCACACAGCTGCGCGTCCGACGTGCCCACTCCATCGCCACTGTCCGCGCCAGCAGGCGTAACGACGAACAAGACGTCCGTCGTGCGCTCTGCTGGCCACGAAGACGGAACTTCCGCCTTCCGGGACGACCTATGCGTCGTACCCGCTGCTACGCACGGTAGCGCGTCGGACATGCACCGCTGCGTGTCTGACGTGTCCCGTTCTTCTACGACCCGCCGCACAGACGGTACGTCGAGCATCCCACTCGATGTACACGCTGTCGACGGGAACAACGGCACGCCCGGTGTATTCACAAGCGTACCCGGCGCGCTCGTCAACCTCTCATGTACGAACGACGGCCCCGAGGTACACACTGCAAAGGTGTACCCAGTACGCACGTCACCAGCCGCAGCACCCATGTCGGAAGGCAACACGACGAACGACGAGCTCGTTGCGTGCCTCTCCAACTTCACGAACGGGGTGCTGGGCCTGTGCAGCAGCACCAGAAGCGTGCTTGCTGCCCCCAACTCGCGAGACGGCGTGTCTGGGGAGCCTCCAAGCTCCACCAGACCGCCTCTCTAGTTCAATACCGATGCATGCAAGATGCATGCGGTGGATACATCGAGCCTGTCGCTCGATGTAAGTTATCCCCCGATGTGTGCTCTCTGCCACACGGCTGTCTTGATCGCATGCCCACCAGCATGCCGACTCGACCGCCTGCACCCATCTACCCACTCGCTTTCTCGCCACTTACCATGCTCGACGTGCCACTGAGACCTAAGAATAAGAATAAGATATTTAGATCTACGATCTCGCGTAGATAGCGCAAGAATACAGGCAGCTGAATCTGCAGATGGCAGTACCAGCCGGTGCCTACACGGCGCACAGCGACAGCCACACGGCACACAGCGGCAGCCACACGGCACACAGCGGCAGCCACACGGCACACAGCGGCAGCCACACGGCAGTGATCTCGGCGGACGTAGACGCTGGCCGCCCGAGTAAGAGGCGTTGCGCATCCCCAGTTGTTGCCAAAACTCTCTAGTGCGGTCACATCAGGCACTGATCAGGTGCTCGTCACAGTGTCACGTTCGCGACTAGTCACGGCTTGGGTCGCTTTCACTGACCCGGTGACCGTCCGACGGCGTCAACCGCGTTGTCGTCTCGGCCTGTCAAGCTTGTCATGAGTCTGAAATTTGACCTCTCCAGTTCTACAGCTTCGTCGTACTCTCAGCAACTGTGTTGCATATGACTCTCTGTCGAAATTTGCCGATGAAATGGCACAAAAGACGTCGACTTTCTCTCTGGTCCGTGCGGTGTACTGAGGACTTTGAATAACGCCATCTCTTTCCACGCACTGTGCTCGCTCAGATACAGTTCTGTCAGCCGTATACGTGCTGGAGGAAGATCGTCAAAACGGAACGCGATCCTGGAATTTGTACCGACTTGAGTTGCAAGCATACATACGTGACAAAAATAATCCGTTCACGACTCACGCGCACGTAGGCCCGACTGTGCAGCTGTACTGTGGGCGTACAACTGGTATGTACTCTGCAACTTTCTTGGCTCACAACGAAGTTGATAAAACCAAGCCGCTAGTGGCTCGTTCGTCGCTTGCGGCTGTAACTTTGGCCATGACAAATTCCAGGCTAGCGAGGAGAGATGGCTGAGATAGCAAAACCGGCCGCGGCTACTGAATTTCAGAGACGTCAAGAAGGCTAGTGATCAAGTGACGGACATATCCACCATGGTACCTTAAGCAGATATCGAAGGTGCGATGCATGAGAATGGGAAAGCGTCGAGAATGGCACTGTATTACCTGTGCACGAGCATATTGACATGTCGGAGGAGCGCCGCCACAGAAGACCTAGGTACGCACCGTATTCGGCTTCTCTAAAAATATGATAGCTGACGCGCGTGAGACTTAGCTATGTCGGATGCGCGTGCCCTTGTACTGCATCTTGTTCAAGAAGGTCGCATGTTGCAGGATTTGCGTCATGTCCCCGCGCATTATCTGCTACCGTATACAATTGTGAGCTTATGCAGTCGCACACTTGCGTCTTCCAATGTTCCTCGGATAACGTTTAGGCGGCCGCAGGATATTTTACAGGATTATCAAAGACTACGTACACGCGCCTTGGGGTCGAAGCTTCAGGGACACATCGGGTTGTTCATGGACATGTGGGGAGCTGCCGTTCAATTGCTGACAAGTATGCATCTCAGAAGCATTCAACTAGGTCATGCTTCATCGCTGACGGCATCCTTTATAGCGACTAGGAGTCGACCTCGACTCGGACTTCACTCCCACCTCTACCATGCCCATCTTAGCGAGCTTCGCCGGAGCTGCTTGGCCATTCCTGGCCGCCATAACTCTGTTGTATATTCTCAAGCGATGGGGCAAACGTAATGATTTACCCCCGGGGCCCCCGCGTGTTCTCTTCATCGGCAATGCCCATCAGCTCCCAAAGATTGACCAACACCTAACATTCATGAATTGGGCGGCTCAATACGGTGTGTACAGATGAATGCGATGTGTGTACCTTCGCGGCAGTAGTAGCTAATCGAAGCCAACCACAGGGGACATTGTCTACGCTGAGATCTTTACGCAACCCGTCATTATCCTCAGCTCAGCCAAGGCCGCTGTTGATCTCATGGAAAAACGCGGAGCGATTTATTCCAATCGACCGCATCTTGTGTATTTCATCGACTTGTGTGTGCAGTCGGCCCCATTTACATGTGATCAATCCACTCATCGATTCACCTATTTGGCTTCCTACAGGATTGGGTGGACTGGAAACATCGGCTTTGTTCGACTCAATGAAAGCTGGAGACGTATCAGGAAGTGGTATCAGCGAGCGTTCGTCGTCCGGTCGTCCGCGGATAGTTACCATCCTATTCAGTGTCGTGAAGTGCGCCGCTTCCTGTTTGGTCTCATGCGAAACCCAGTAGACTTTGAGTATCAGTTGAAACGGTGAGCCTGGCTATGTGTTACACCGTCAAGTCACTGATTTTCGCTCGAGCAGATACACTGCAGGGATAGTCTTCGAGATTGGTTATGGATATACTGTCACTTCATGGGATGATGATGAGCTCATCAAATTGACGGAAGACGGGATAAGACAATGTCTCATTGGCAGTAGCACTGGCGCGGCTCTAGTGGATTTTCTCCCAATTTGTAAGTCATCGATACACACGAGCTAGTAGGAGTCTGACTCGTAGCGTGTAGTGAAACATCTACCTGCGTGGCTGCCTGGGATGGGCTTCAAGTATGCTACCGCGAATGCGCGAAAGGCTATCGAGGACATGGAAGACGCACCCTATCAAATGGTCAAGAAGGAGATGGCGAGTGCTATTCGTTCCATTGAATTGCAGTGCGAATACTGACTGATCCGCGGGATACTAGGCCACCGGCACAGCGAAGCCCTCACTGATGACGACGTTAATAGAAGAATGCTCGAGGAAAGGACCTTTGACGGCGGAAGATGAACACGACATCAAGGGTGCTACAGGGACATTGTATGCGAGTAAGAGTTTCTCTGATCATGTCAGCAACCATGCTGAGCTATACCTTGACGATCAGCGAGTACCGACTCGGTGAGCACAACCAAGTCCATTGAGATAATGTACTCACAGCGGACAGTCTATGACAAGCATGATTGTGTTCATACTCGTAATGGTTCAGTATCCCGACATCTTCAAGAAGGCACAGGAAGAGATCACTCGTGTGATAGGTGATACAAGACTTCCAGGCTTCGGAGATAGAACATCGCTGCCGTATCTCGAGTGTATCGTAAGAGAGGTGTACCGGTAAGGCGACATCATTAATTAGCAGCTTTTGCGCTGATGCTGTATGCGTGATGCAGTTGGTGTCCGGCGGCGACCACGGGTAACGACCTTCAGTAACTGACCATCATTCTGTGGTCATTGACCTTCGTTTTCAGCTGTCCCGCACCAGGCCGCGGTAGATGACGTGTATCGTGGCTATCACATACCCAAGGGTTCGACGATAATACCAAACCTATGGTATGTCAATGGATTTGCAATTTCCGATATATTATCTCTCTGACATGACATACAGGGCGATATTCCGAGACCCCGACGTGTACCCAGATCCGGACGTCTTCAAACCTGAGAGATTCCTTGGGATCGACGCAGACGACGACTCTGACCTGAAAGACCCGAAGAAGTTGGTTTTCGGCTTCGGCAGAAGGTAGACTTGCATCGCATGAACTACTGACCGGGACTCACCGACAAACAGGATATGTCCGGGGCGATACTTCGCTGACGACAACGTGTGGCTTGCTTGCGCCAGCATGATAGCCACTATGGACATCGGCAAGGCGCGGGATAAGCACGGCGTGGAGATCACACCTTCGCCGAAGTTCGTCTCTGGGACCGTCATGTGAGTAATCTTGCTGGCACCATGACATTGCAAGCTCGCTAATACCATTTTAAGGCGTCCTGAGCCGTTTCTCTGCGATATTCAACCTCGATCTGAGAAGAGTCGACAGTTGATCATTGATAGCAGTGCCGAAGTCTGAGCCAGCTGTTTGATGCAAGTGTTGTGCACCAGATTTCCCATGGACGTCCCGTACATTACTAATTAAGCGTCAACGATTGCAGAACGAGCGACTAAGCAATGCTATGAAAACCTTGTAAACTACATGACGATGTGAGCAGACTTCGAAGGTACGATATGCCCGAGAAAGCGCCGGGTATAGCACCGTAATTTGGTGATTTCGCGTGTCCTATGCATCCATGGAGCGGGTCGTAGGCCTCGCACTTGCCTTTTTCCTGATCTCCCTCCTCCTTGGGTCGCACAACCGTAGAGCTCTCCGCGTTGCTCCAGGCCCTCCGCGACTCCCGATACTAGGCAACATACGTCAAATCTCAGATGACTATCAGCACGAGATGTTCACAGAATGGGCGAGGAAATGCGGTACGACTCTGTTCCAACGATACACTGTTTGCATGGCACTGACCTGACACACGTTTCAGGCGACGTCGTGTACGCACGGTTCCTCACAAAAGCCGTCCTCATCATCAATTCCGCCGATGCCACACGGGTGCTTATTGAGAAGTGCAGAGCGAAGTACTCCGGACGGCCTCCCTGCATGTACATCCGCGACCCGTGAGTCCGAAAACGACTAGTCTGAGACACGTCTCTGGAGTCGCTGTCTGATATGCGTGCTACAGGGGTGAATTCAGCTGGAACATTGGGTTTATGCAGTATGACGACCGCTGCAGGCGCCATCGCAGATAGTTCCAGAGTGAGTTCCAAGCAAAGAAGCTACGTGTCCATTCAGCAGCGCGAGACGCGTGGGTGCCTCGTAGACCGCTCCGCGAGCCCGACGCGTTCATGGATCACTTCAAGTGTTGTCTCGCGCCTTGCAACCCTAAAATAGGAGGCGAGCACTCCTGCCGATTGCTTTTCTGCGCGCTCCACTGCTGCAAATGTTTTCGAGATTGGGTGCGGCCATGTAGTGACATCTGTTGGCGATGCACACATCCGCAAAGTGGACAATGGGCTGGGAGGCGTCCTCGAGGCGGACGACCCCGGCTTGATGTTCGTTGACTTCTTCCCCATGCGTGAGTCATGCCTTTTGAACGCAGACTACGGGCGATGCAGACGAGCCGTCCGGCAGCGGCGCGATAGTGAAGCATATACCCACACGTATGTCCGATAATAGCTGGAAATGGACTGCGATTCGCCTGCGCCCCGCTATCAACTCGATGAACCTCGACCCGTTCAGGGCGGTCATGGAGGTGATGGTGCGGGACCATCTCTTCATTTCATACCGCTAACACTAACATGATAGCCACCTTTGTCTTTGACAATGACAAGCCACACGACTCGGTGGGGCGGGATATCATGCCCCCCACTGGACTTTGTATCTAGATTTATCAGGTCGGTTTACATCGTACTCTGTTCAAACGCACGCAATAGAATTGACATACAACGGCCCGCCAGACATCCGACCGCGGTCGGGGAAGAGTGTGGAGCTGATCTGGCGTAGCTTCCAGGACGAGAATAGATGAGCTTCCAAGGATCGGACGCACGTTGCGGCTTTGTAAAGAAAGCCTTCCCTATACACACCGGCTCTCCACAATCATCCTTTGTACATAGAGGTGCGGGCCACGCTACCACTAAAACCTCCATAAGTATTAGCTGATGGAGGTAGTCCAGACATGCTTCCGTTGTGCCTTGGGCGCTGTGCATACCAGTAGGGCGCTGGGACAGAGGGCAGTTGTGAGGAGATTGTGAGGCGTAGAAGTTCTTCCGGCCTTCGAGAAGACTACAGCAGACTTCTCGTTGGCATCCTTTGCCGTTATCAGGTACGTCAGCACAGACTCATTCGTGATCGCGGAGAATGACCTCGTTGTTCGCAGGCGAAATCTGAGTGACCCAACTTTACCAGGGTAAAAGACGGATATATATGATTTGCTCGCCCTGGCTCCATCATACAGTGAGAGAACAAGCAAAAGGTCGGATGGACGGGCATTTTCACAGGCGCGACGATGGCCGTAGGGCAACGGTGTGAGGTACGCCGTGCACCGAGAAGAATCGATGATGTATAGCTCCGACGGACAGTGCAAGGTCAGACATATTCGCGCGCGAGCTTATCGTATGTTCCAACACCATCAGAACTTCTCATATGCAAAGTTCTGAGTTGACGCCCTCAATTCCCAGAGGATCGTTCCCTTTGTGCACTGTGTACAATCAGAACGACTCGTTAGGCAATATAACACCACAGCCACAAACGTACAAGAGCACACGGGCACGGGCAGGCCTAGCATACGTAGCAGCCTTGCTGGGCAATCAAATTCAGCTGCTGCGTAGGTTCCGCTACTTCCTCAAATATGACTATATCACTCGGCGTTCAAGCTGCGTTCGCGGCAGTGATTCTCGTCACCCTCGCCTACTATGTACCACAGTGGCGACAGCTGTCTCGTCGACGCCATCTGCCACCTGGCCCTCGTCCATTTCCTGTTCTGGGAAACATTCTACAGATGGCTCTAGAGTTCCCAGAGAAGAGGTTCGCGCAATGGGGGAAGAAGTATGGTACGAGCGTTCGAGATACTTACACTGCGGGGTTGTGGCTAACTCCACTGCACTAGGGGACATGATTTTCTTGCGGATGTTCAACACGCCCGTCTTGGTTATCAATTCTGCGGCCGCTGCACGAGATCTGCTGGACAAACGTAGTGCAATATACTCGGATAGACCGCATTCGGTCATGATGACAGACCTGTGAGTGCATCGAGTGTCGCTTATCTCACTGATTGTCACTTCTGATGTCTCAGGCTGGGGTGGGAGCACGATTTCTCGTTAATGTCATACAATGAGGAGTTTCGCAAGCATCGACGATGGATGCAAAAGCCTTTCTTTTCCAGGTCTTGCCTCGCCGCGTTCGCCGACATGCAGAGGCGCGATGTGATTGCTTTACTAGTGGGATTGCTGAACGATCCGGAGGACTTTGGAACCCATATCTACCGGTGCGCTTCTAAGTTCGTTGAGTTACCAAGCGTTCTCAAACAACGAGTTGCATAGATACTTTGCGTCCTTTATGCTTCAATATCTTTACGGGCACACATTAACATCCCCAGACGATGAGTATTATCACGTCGTCGAGAAGGCAGTGGAGGAGACGATGAACTTTTCGACTCCTGGAACACTCCCTGTGGACCTCATCCCGTCTTGTGAGTGCGATTCGGCGCTGATCGCTTCGTCCCTTCATTCGTAGCTCCTGATATCGCATTCTGTCAGTGAGATACCTCCCAGCCTGGTTTCCTGGTGCAGGCTTCAAGCAAAATGCCGTGTGGATCAAGAAAACCGTCAGAGATGCTGCGCAGCGAACGTACGACTTGGCGGAGAGCATGCTGGTAAGCATTCATGAGATCTCTGACGCTGCATGTCTCATGGAATTGAACAACTAAAGACCGAAGATGGGATTGAAGCCTCCGTGATATCGTCATTGATCAAGGAATCCTCATCCAAGGGAACTCTGGACAGTGAGAAGCCAGAGATCATGATGTTTGGACTCGCGTTGTATGCAGGTGGGTTTCATCTGTACAACTCGAACGCTTGATTGCCGCTGATGTGACTTGCATACAGGCGGAACAGATACGGTAGCATCCATGACATACGCCGTGCTACATCAGCTCATTCTCAAACTAGACCCAGACCGTACTCATGGTCTTCCTTCTTGCTATGGTCTTGTATCCGGATGTGTACGCCAAGGCGCAAGAGGAGATAGACCGCGTAATCGGTGGTGCAAGGCTTCCGACTTTCACCGACAGGGATGCACTGCCATACCTTGATTGCATCCTCAAGGAGACGTACCGGTATGTGACGGTTGTTGTCATTGACAAGTAGTCCATCATTTTACTGCAGCGACATAGGTTCTCCTCCCCTGCACCGTTAGGTACTTCTGTTCTGGGCCTCACCGACTTGTTGTCATCGAACTCATCCCACAGGTGTATCTCATGTATTACGCGAAGACGACGAGTATCGTGGGTGCTGGATACCGAAGGGGACAATGGTCATGCCGAATCTATGGTCAACGTGGATTAAATATCTCTTAGTAGCCATCGTTGACAAGGTGCTGTTTAGGTTTATGCTGCATGATGCCAACGTCTATCCCGACCCGGAGACCTTCTGTCCAGACCGCTTCAATGGGTTATATGAGAGTCAGGAGGATCCACGGAACATCGTCTTCGGTTTTGGTCGGCGGTAAGCGGTGTCTTGATTTTTGTGCTTTGATAAACTAATCAAGGTTTGCCCGCCGCTTTGCAGCATATGCCCAGGTCGCCGCTTCGCAGAAATTGGGATTTGGCAGGCGATGGCTAACATCGTAGCAACATTCGACCTTGGCAAGGCTCGTGACGCAATGGACAATGAAATCACGCCGCCGGGGACATTCTCATCCGGTTTCATTAAGTACGACACCTTTCCTACGGGAGAAAGCACGTAACTGATGTATTCACTCAGTCATCCTCACAAGTTCAAATGTACCATGACACCGCGATCCAAAAAGGCCATAGAACTCATCACAAACGGAAAGTCAACGCAGACGTGACAGAGGATCGAGATAGTACCATTCAGAAGCAACCATTTCACGCTGTCATACTCTCATTGGTAATGGGCCGTGCCATGTAACAGTATCCTCATTGTTCCCCGGACGTATCTGAAACGAAAGATATACATATGTTAAACACATGAACAGCAACACTCCAATAGCCTCATCGCCACTGGCATGCTATATCTCGAGGTTCTAGTAGCAGGCGCCGTGGTGAACGTACATACTTAATCACAATTCATTCAGGGTGTCACCGATGTAGCAATACTGGCTATTAGACTCGTGGCTGCGGCGCGCGGCGAGATGGAGCACACAAAGTCCTCGGCGTGGCTGTACCGAACAGCCTTTAGCGAACCAATCTGTCCATGTGAGACCCCACGCTCTTACGCACCTTGTTACTGAACCAGACGTGAAGGCCATCCGGGGAGTTATCTCCTCGCCTGACGCATCGCGTGCTTTCCGTATGTCCAAAGTAGCGATCATAGCGGCCATGGCCAGCCAGATGCTCCTGTCAGCGAAGCGGCGACCCGGACAAATCCTGCAGTGACGAAGTCTCATCTCAGTATCGGAAGTCCTGGGTGGCTTGTTTCCCGACGCACCGCCTGCCGTAGCCAAAGATGACGTTGCGAGGACACAACTCCTCTAACTTCTCCTCAGATAGGCCCCAGAAACGTTCCGGGCGGAACGACTCCGGATCGGGGTAGAGCTCCGCATTATGGGTCATGAACCTGACAGGCAGGCAATGAGCGAGTGGGACGATTGTCGTTGTAGCATTGTACCAACCAGAGGTTCGCGAGAATCATGCAACCCTTCGGAAGGCGGTATCCTCTGTACGTGTCTTCTTCACTAAGTACATGGGGAAGACCTGCAGAAGTTCTTCAGTACGTTCATGCATCGTTTCGGCCGAGGCGCAATATACCTAGAGGTCCAGGGGGATTCCACCTATTCGTGTAAGGCTACGGTGTCGTAATGATATCAAAAGCGACGTACCGATAAACCTCTCTAAGGATGCACTCAAGGTATGGTAGCGACTCCCTGTCGCTCGGCTCTGGCAAGCGATCATTGCCAATGACGCGGTCGATTTCCTCTTGAGCTTTGACAAATACCTCAGGATGAAGGACCATAGCTAGGATGAAGTTCAGCAACACCGATTGTGTCTGTCTTTGGGATCAACGCGACGATGTTTGAAGTAAACGGCGAACGAACGGTGTCAATTGCAGCTATAAGACGTCTGATTTGAGAGTGCGGCTACTGCGAGAACTACTGACACGTACCGACATAGGTTATTGCTCCGACGTTCATGATGTCATCCCGTTCTGCAGCCAACGTACCCTTCGCTGTATACTGCTCAATAAGAGACCTAACTAGCGACGGCTTCTCGTCTCCTGAGGCCTGGATGGGATGATCAGGTTCGCTGTCAGAGTCAGCCGTACAGCGTCCCGCACATACCATGAGTCTCTCAACTAGCTCATATGGCTTCGTATGCGCGAGATGCACTGCAGCCTTTGTCTTAATTGCCCGTCTCTTGAATTCCGCGCCTGGAAACCATGCGGGGACATGGCGCACTACCAAGAGCAACCTTCCGTGTGAAACCGTGGTACGCGCACAATCGCTCGCTGGACACTCACGAAAAGGAAGGAAATCTACAATCGCAGCACCAGGTGCTGCTGCTTCCGCTGTGCCTATCAGTGCCTGTTCAGCGTAAGTGAGGTATTCGTCGTCCTCGGATGTGATAGTGTGCCCGTAGAGGGCTTCCAGGACGAGGGATGACGCGAGTCTGGTGAAACTATGTCAGACGAGGACTCAACGCATCCTATCATGACTGATCAATACCTGTGAACGTGAGCTGCATGTCGCTCCGGTGTACGCAAGAGTCCTCCAATAAGGGTTCGGGTCTCTCTTGACTGAGCTGACGCGAACTGACTGAGCGAGCCTTCGGTAAAGAATGTAGAATGGATCCATCGTCGATGTTTGTTAAGTCGTTCGCCCATCGGCAAGGTCGCGATCACGTTGCCCCATCCGAACCTACGGTCGGTCGCTCTGCTCGGCGAGCCATCGCTTGAGCTGAGGGAATAATCACTCACAAATCCGTCATGAGGACTGACGATGGCCGATCGGAAGACTTTGCGCTTCGTTTCTCCAGAAGATCTCGCGCAGCTGTTGTAGAATTGACGATCAACATCGGACGCGTGAATATTCTGAGGAATATAATGTCTCCTGTGGTTTAAAATGATGTAAGCAACCAGGCATGGACCACTGCGCATGAAGCGCACCGTATTGATCACTCCAACCTGCAAATGTTCGCTCTACATCTTTCATCGGGAACTGATGGGCATTCCCTATCAACGGAAGAGGACGAGGGCCCGGAGGGAGGTCATCCGCGGATGTAAAGCGGGTCACATAGAGCAAAATACAACCGATTAGAGTAGCTGAGACGGCAGCAAGAAGAATTTGAAGCGGGACATCCACGAGCAGAGACATGGCTGAACGTACAACGGGGTATTCGGCGTGAGGTTTCAAGAATAGTGAGCAACGTCACTTCTTGACTTGGGACGTGAGGTAGATGGTATACCCCAGGCTTCGAAAGTGGCCCTGCAGATAACCCAATATTAGCCTAGGCTGCTGCTAGTGGTTGATTGCGAGTCACATCAATGTCAGTATGGCACTCAATTTCCATACGTCCCCTACCGCATTTGCCTGGGCAGGTCGTCTGCCCTGAAAATAACGCATCCTGTGATTTAAGGCTTGTATAGGGCTCCTTGTGAGCACATACTTCGGCTACGCCGGTGCCACTGGCATGGGAGCGTCGCTCACGGCTAACACGGTAGTGGAGCTGCGCGAGTATGGCGATCTGCGAGAGGCGAGGCACGAGCCGAGCGCAGAGATTAGTCTAAGTAGGGAAGTGCAGGGCTTAGGCGCGCATCGCTCTCTCTTTGCGCGCCCACGTCCGAACTTCAACGAAGCACCCTAGAGCTTCCGTTTCTGTCCTCGGTCGTCTTTTCACCCACCCACCTCTCCCTCTCCGCGTCTTCTCACCACTTGCTTCCCAGCTCAGGCAAGTACATTCCCCCTTCATTCCATTGGCTCGACGCGCTTCCTCCCGCAACCTGTGAAGGATCACGCTACGAAGCGGCCGCGGTGTCCCACCCGCCCTCGCAGCTCATCCGCACCCACAGGTCCCGGTGGTTCGTTTTGGGTCTGGCAGCCCGGAGGGCTGCGCCCCGCACTAGCTACTACTTACACTCCTTCCTTTCTCCCCTAATACTCTCGAAGACCGCGCGGCGGTCTACCCCACTCTCCCATTTGCGATGTTTTCCATTATCGAGCTCAGGCCTCACATTTGTATAGTACTATTTCAAGCCTCACTAATAGTACTACTCTAATCGACAGGAGCCCGAACGAAAATACCTAGATCACTAATTAGCTAGGTGTCGGAATATGTGATCTGCAGAGATGGAAGGTATGAACAGAACATACAGTTTAGTTGAGACTCGAGGCCGACATGCGGTCCTCGGCGTATGGTCCTGCCGGCGCTTATGGCCGACTATACATCGCTCGGCGCCCTGGACGATAGCCTCGAGGCTACTTACCTTGTGCGATGCGCGGCGTCCGACACCGTCATACCTGATTAGTCTCTAGTATGCATGAGATACTCCCACCAAGCCTTCCGGTCTGCGCCCCGACCCTCAAGCACCTGCGTCGTGATGATGAGTTGTTACTCGTCGCAATTGTATCGCGTCGTATTCGCGTTACTAAGTTCCGACGACAATCTGAAACTGGCACGGGTTTCCTGCGACCTCAACATCCTATCAGAAGCAGATATTGCGTCAGAATAAGCCCGTTCAGGTGATGTATTGACTCGGATAAGTAACTTGATGATGTTGCTGATTCTACAGTCACGGTGCTAGTAGCATTGTACCACGAATCAATTAATCACGTCGGATCTCACCACTTTCGAGATAGTACTCGGCGGGTGCCAGAGCGGTGCGGGCACAAAGCCCGGCGATTCCTTCCATGATGACGTAGAGGTGTAGATGTGAGGTGTCAAGAATCATGTCGCAGTTGAACAACAAGACCAAACAAGACAGGCGCCTGCATGTCGGCTGCGCCACATGCGCCATAACGTCCCACCGAGTCGCCGCCGAGCTCTACGTAGGCTCTAGCCATTGTTCTAACTTACCTGGAATATTGCTCGGAAATTCTACCATGACAGCACGGATCATGCTGACGGTGTATACTCTGAATTCTCCATATGACGTAGACCTCTCTACACTACCCGCTCGTGCTAAGTTCTTGTCAACTTTCACTGGCAAGCAGCGAACCCCTGCAATGCCGCGAAGTAACGGTCAATACCAGCCATGCCATGCGTATACGCTCCGATGATGCCGTCCGGTCTGATCACCACGAAGGAGAGTCCATCGCCGTGCACGTCATAACCAGCATGGGCCGTCCCTTCGACATCGACGAGGGCTCGCGAACCTTTGATTCGCATCTCCCTGCCCGGCACATTCCGATGAACGACGGAAATTCTTGCCAGTCCTACGTCAACATGCTTTGTCAAAGGTTCGAGGATTGCGAGCGTATCTGCGGCGGACGGGAAGGCGATAATTGTATGGTGCTCGACGGAGAAAGTCGAGTGCAATGTAATGACTCCAGTCGAAGTATTGTCCGCATCGATGAGCGGCGTCGCATCCGGTGCACGGTCGCCAGCACGTAGTTTTGACGTCTCCTGCCCATACGGATCGTTCGCTGATGCATCATCTTCGCCCGCGCGGGCTTCCAGGACGATGGGCGACCATCGGTAGTTGATTCCGAGCTGAAGCAGTTTCCTAGGACGGAACATAGCTTTGTCGTTGCTAATCTCTTCGCCTGCGTCGACAGCCGAGGCGCGGGGCCGGTTGAAGGCGAGAGAATGAAGCTCCGTGGACAAACTGAGCATCTCCGCCACAACTGGCACACGCTCAGCATCATAGGTTCTGAGAAGAGCAGGCGAAGCAAGCCCGCGGATGACAAGCGCGAGCTTCCAGGCCAGATTGAACTGCGAGCTCGGGTCAGCTATCCATACAGCCCTGATCAGCGGTATATACTATACTCACCGCATCCTGCATGGCGGTGTTCGCGCCTTGACCGCCTGCTGGCGAATGGCAGTGTGCGCTGTCTGCAGAAACAAATCGTGTGAGTCTTCTTGTACCGAGTTTGCGGTACACACGTACCTCCAGCCAAGAAGACTCTTCCGACGCTGAAAGTATTTGCCATCCGAATGTTCGCCCTTCAGAGTGCCGTGAGGGTGGATACTGTAGCACTCCTATACGGCACTCACTTCCACGTCGAGACCCAAGCGGCGTTAGACAAGGCGATATCCTGACTACCGCTAATCGATTCGAACAGTCGCTGGATACCCTCAGTATCTGTGGGAAAGGTGTCAGGCAGATCGGGACCCAATGCTTGAACCTGGAATAGGGGAGCCGGCTTAAGAGGCTTCAGCGCGAATCTGCACAGCTGTCAGAGGCTACGATTGTATACTAGGTAATCCACTGACCCCGCTGTGTTGAATGTCCCCCACGTGTGCCAGTACTGTTACACGGTGAGCTTCCGATGCAATCTCAATAATGAGAGCGAGACGCACCTCTCCGTCAAGACCGTCAACGTCTACATTTGCCGTGAACATGCGTTCCGCTTCCTTGGTCTCGCCCAGAAAAGACAGGCCAAGACTTTTCCGGATGTGCCCTGATCAATCTTGAATCATTTTTCGACTCACTTTGCTGCAGTAGCGTAGGCCTACCTTTCGCACCATCTCCACCAACCATGTATGCGCACTCAACTGTTTCTTCAGATGTAGCGTCGCCAGATTTGGACGAAACCCGAAGATGCGCTACCACTCCATGGGCGTGCTGCTCAAACGTCGTGAGTTCCACCCCATATTCTACCTTCGCGCCCAGCTTCTCGATGTGCTTCCTTAGGACCTTCTCGAACTCGGCCTGGCAAGAAGAGGCGACCCGGGGCTGCACAGCATAAAGATCAGCAACCACAATCCGTTCAAGCGTCAGACAATACACGTACATAGGGAATGTGAGGGGACGGCCCGGCATCTTGCTCCCATCTTGTGATCTTCAAGACTTCCTGACCGGTCCCATGTGTAGCCATCAGGAGTGGCGGGGTAGAGATCGCGAATACATCGTTTACAGCCCCCAGAAACGCCAACAATTCTAAGGTACGAGGCTGGACAGCAACACGATATCAGCGTAGGACATCGCCTCGAACGCATGGTCATACCTGTATAGCTGTGCCTCGGGCGCCGCCGTGAGGAACACTCGATTTCTCGATGATACGGATAGGGACACCATTCTTGAGCAGCGAAAGAGCGAGCACTAGACCGGTAGGCCCGGCTCCGACCTGTGTGATAGCGTGTCAGCGATGCCCGCTGACGGCTGACTAGCTTCGCATACGATGAGAACAGCTGGCTTGTATTCCATTTGAATGGATACTGATCGCGTGCCCGGCTATGTCAACGTCTCGACTATCTACGGACGAGGGGAAGTTGGAAGGGACGCCTGCAACTGAGGACAAGGCCGTAGAGGTATGCACTGAGGAGGAGCTATATAGAAAACCTGGATGACTGCACAAAGCTACCCGTAGTCCCCGACACGATCAAAACTGCTGATCAAGAAGGCTGGCTTCGTTGAGCGCTAGTCGGGATTGACTGGTATTGACTCCTCCGCGCCCACAGCGCCGACGGCGGCACATTCCACGAATCTCGGCATGAGCCCACAAGATCGAGGAGTCTATTTTATTGCAACAGTGTGCGCTCGACCCTAGGAATATGAAGTGCAGACCTAGGAAAAGCAGTCAGCTCAGAATGTCCGTACATCGAATCCCTTTCCGTGAGCTTCTTAGCCGGCCTACGAATTCGCCGCCTTGGAGAGGTTGCCCACATGAAAAGTCAACTTGAAACAGCGGTGATGCTGTGGAGAACTTCCAGACATGACGGTCACACTCATAGTGAACGTGAGGACGTGTCATTACATTCGTGTTGAATGGCTGGAGAAGCCGTCATCATCATCTCTGACAGAGAGTTACGTTGCTGTGCAGTCTGACCACGAGAGATCAGCGCAGAGGACCTCGATTTGGGCTCGATGACAAGCGCGTAGGAGTTTCTTCGTTCGACCGTCCGCAGATCCTGAAACACGTACTGAGTGAGTACGGAATGTGACTGATCCGCAATCGGTAAATTGGAATGCACTCAAGCAGCATATTCTCTCTAAGTCCGACGCGGATCCAGCTCACGACCTAAGCGCCAGGTATATGCATCTTCCAGGTACATATAAGTATGTGGGAGTACCACGCCGCCCGCTTTCCATTGACTTGAAGGCCTCTGGGGCAGTGACAATGAGACGATAAGAGGAGAACCGGCACGGAATGCGAGCTACGCCGCAGGCAGCAGTCACAAACTTCTGTCTGGCACCCACCGAATTGACTGGCTTCGCGATGAGACACACCACACACGGGTTATGTCCTTTATCAGTGATATGTAACTTTGAGTCCGACATGCCTACCCTTCCTCGCATTCAGCATCGGACAACGCACATTCAATTTGGGATGCCCGCTGTATTTGGCCGCATACCATGATGTCCCCTTCCATCGCCACCGCGTATCTCAGGTTCCTTCGCGTGAGGGGCCAGGACGGTCCTGAGGACGCGGAAATCAAGATTTTGTGTTATTCAGCCACTTTTCATGACGCCTTCGCAAGACGAATCGAACGGTGCAGGATGAAAGGCGGTGCGGCGAGGAATCTTGAGTGACTCTGCGTCGTTCTGCAGGAAGACGTCGCGCGTCGCTTGCGTCCCAGTCAGAGTCACGTGAACAATCCGAAAAAGGTTGCGTTGTGGCGCCGCAACATAGACTTCCGAAAACAGCAAGAACTAAGAAGCCAGCACATCCAACACATCGCCATGAATGCGACTTTCACCGACATATTGTGACCGATCCTTCGACTAATGTATCAAGCTGGCTTGATTTACAAGCATATATACGTGACAAAAACTATCTATGTAGTCACGGCTCACTCGCACGGCCTGACCGTGACTGCGCAGTGGCGACCGGTACGCACTCTGCAACCTTTTGGCTCACGATGATAGATCAAACCAAGCTGCCAGTGGCTCGCGCGTCGCTCGCGAATGCAACCTCGTCCATACAGAACCCAAGACTGGACGAGGAGAGACGGTTGAGATAGCGAATTCGGTCGCGGCCCCCCACTACCAGAGACGTCGAGAAGGCTATTAGTGACCAAGTGTCGGACATTGGCATGTATCCACCAAGGGACCTCAAAGAAATGTCGAATTTGCTATGCATGAGCATGACTAAACGTTGATAATAGCACTGTTTTATCTCTGTGCATGAGCACATGCCGGGGAGCGGCGCCGCAGAAGATCTAGGTAAGTACGAAAGGTATTCGGCTCCTTCAGAGATGTGATATCTGACACGCTTGAGCCTCAGCTATGCCGTATGCGCGTGCCCTTATGCTGCATTTTGTTCATGACAGTTACGAGAATGGTGTCATGTCACTGCGCATTATCTCCTACCGTTACCCGTATCCAATTGTGAGCCTATGCGATTTTGATCAGTGAGTGCACAATTTTCACACTCACGCCTTCCATGTTCCAACGCTCCTCGGATAACGGTGCTTCGATGGAGGTGACTGTGGCACATACTTACGGGATTACGTAGGATTGCGCGCCTTGGGGTCGAAGCTTCAGGAACACATCAGGTTATTCATGGACATGTGGAGAGATGCCGTACAAATACTGACAATGTATGCGTCTCAGCTCGAGAAGCAGTCAATCGGATCATGCTACATCATGCGCTCCATCGCGGACGGCGTCGTTTATAACGGCTAGGACTTGACGTCAACTCGGACTACACTGCGACCTCTACCATCATGTCTATCTCAGCGAGCTTTACGGGCGTTGCTTGGCCGTTCCTGGCCGCCATGGTCCTCTCGTATCTTCTCAGGCGACGGGCGAAACGTGATGATTTGCCCCCGGGGCCCCCGCGCATCCCCTTCCTCGGCAATGCCCATCAACTACCAGAGATCGACCAACACCTAACATTCATGGAATGGGCGACTCAATACGGTATGTATGGACGCGATGTATACCTTCGCGGCAGTGGTAACTGATCGACATCAACCACAGGAGACATTGTCTACGCTGAGATGTTTACCCAACCCGTCATAATCCTCAGCTCAGCCAAGGCCGCTGTTGATCTCATGGAAAAACGCGGAGTGAATTACTCCAATCGACCACGACTTGTGCACTTCATAGAGATGTACGTCTGACAGTGTCCGATCAGTGGCATGTGAACAAATCACTCATTGATCTTCATGGCTATCTTGCTACAGGGTTGGGTGGACAGGAAACCTCGCGTTCAATCCAAACAACGATACCTGGAAACGCGTCAGAAAGTGGTATCAACAAGCGTTCATCGCCAGGGGTTCTGCGAACAGTTATCACCCAACACAGTGCACGGAAGTACGCCGTCTCCTACTCGATCTCGTGCGCAATCCGGAGGACTTTGTGTATCAGTTGAAACGGTGAGGTGGACGGTGCGCGGCGTTGCTACCTTATTGATGTTCTTTCTAACAGATACGCGGCAGGGATAGTCTTCGAGATCGGTTATGGACACACTGTCACGTCATGGGACGGCGATGCGCTCATTCAGTCGACGGAAGCCGGGATAAGAGCATGTCTCGTTGGCAGTAGCACTGGCTCGGCTCCGGTGGATTTCTTCCCAATTCGTGAGTGATTGATGCACACGGGCTGGCAGAAGTCTGACTCGTGTGTGTAGTGAAATATATACCTGCGTGGCTGCCCGGCATGGGCTTCAAGCATGCTACCGCAAAAGCGCGCAAAGCTATCGAGGCCATGGAAGACATACCCTACCAAATGGTCAAGAAGGAGATGGCGAGTGCTATTCGTCCGATTGTGATCGCAGTGCGAACGTCTGCTGATCCGCGACATAGGCTGCCGGCATTGCGAAGCCCTCACTGACGACGCGCTTGATAGAAGACTGCTCGAGGAAAGGACTTTTGACGGCGAAAGACGAACGCGACATCAAGGGAGCTACGGGGACGCTGTATGCGGGTAAGAGTTTCTCTGTCATCATGTCAGTCAATCCTGCTGAGCTCAGTCTTGACGCTCAGCGGGGACCGACACGGTGAGCACAATCACGTCCATGGAAGCGATGCAAATCATTGATAATAAATGACAGTCGTTGACAAGTATGATCGTATTCGTACTTGTGATGGTTCAGCATCCCGACATATTCAAGAAGGCACAGGAAGAACTGACACACGCAATTGGCGATTCAAGACTTCCAGACTTCGGAGATAGACCTTCGCTGCCATATCTCGAGTGCATCATAAGAGAGGTATACCGGTGAGGTCGTATCATAGTTCAACAGCTTTTGTGCTGACGCCATATGCGTAACGCAGGTGGTGCCCGGCGTTAACGACGTGTAATGACCACCGATAATTGACCATTGCTCAGTGGTCACTGACCTTTATGTTCAGCGGTCCCGCATCAGGCTGCGGTAGACGACGTGTACCGTGGCTATCACATACCCAAAGGCTCGACAATAATATCGAACTTATGGTATGCCAATGAATCATTTTGAGCTACCTCTCTGACGTGCCATACAGGGCAATATTCCGAGACCCTAAGGTGTACCCAGATCCGGACACCTTCAAGCCTGAGAGATTCCTTGGGATCGCCGCGAATGAGGACTCTGACCTCAAAGATCCGAAGAAGTTGGTTTTCGGCTTTGGCAGAAGGTAGACTTGCATCGTATGAACTACTGACCGGGACTAATCGACGGACAGGATCTGTCCGGGGCGGTACTTCGCGGACGACATTGTGTGGCTTGCTTGCGCCAGCATCATAGCGACTATGAACATCGGCAAGGCGCGGGATAAGCACGGCGTGGAGATCATACCTGCACCGAAGTTCGTCTCTGGGACTCTCATGTGAGTAACCTTTCCGGTACCATGACATTAACAAGGCCGTTAATGACATGTATAGGCGTCCTGAGCCGTTTGTCTGCGATATTCGACCTCGATCTGAGAAGAGTCGGCAGCTGATTATTGATAGTAGTGGCGAGTCTGAGGTCTGAGCCGGCTGTTCGTCGCAAGTACCGTGTACGAGATTGGAGGAATGTAACATCGAATGCCCATGCATGTCCCGTACGTTACTTGCTCACCCGGGGTGGGGCCCGTTGGGGGGTTGGGGGATGACGATGCGAGTGCTGCGAACATTCACCACACCTGGATCTCTCCCCGTATGGCCGAGGAACTAGAACTTCGGAACACCCGGATAGACACGATAGAACTTGACCTGGTGTCCGAGACTCGGTGTGTCAGCTCTTCACGCCTCGTATCACAAGTCCGAGTGGCCAGCATAGATGCCGGCTCATGTATGGAACTCACGAGCGGGGAAGTCGACGAGAGCGGACCCCGGCCCGCCGTCGTCGAGGGCGAGATGTACGGCCTCCTCGGACACCCTGACGAATTCATCGTCCATCGTACAGGGCGAATAATAGTATCCGACGCCGAGCATCAGCGCAGCGGCATACCTATCAGCAACACAATACCATGAGTCACCCACCCCGCGTAAGGCGCATATCGCGGAAAGCATCCAGATAACTTAGTAGGCCCCGCTGGACCTCACGATGCTTGACCTCTACGTTCCGCACGCACAGAGCCCATGGAGGTTGCGCGCGATGGACATCATCACTCGTCGGTCTCGGTTGCACCGTTGCAGAAACCCATTCGAACCTTGTACAACGCCCGGTCGGAATGCCTGAGGCCTCTCTAGACATTCATGCGGCGAGTTAACGTTGACAACTTAGCGCGAATGTCCTGCACTTCCGAGACTGATCAATGTCACGACAGTATATTCACGGAAGCCATTCTATCCAAGAGCTCTGATTGAGACGAGGCGAATAGGAGAACTACATCAGACGCACTCCATGAGACTACGCAGCGAGCTGCGGTGTAGTACCCCACATTTCGTCTATGACAGGAATCGCGATATTATCTTGCCTCCGATCTCCATTGAGCAGCGGTGGCAAGAGCTGCACGCGGCGCGAGACCCCAATCTCCGTGCCCTTCGTTCCGAAATACCTGCCTCCCTCGAAGTGCCAGCAGTATGCACCCCGCGGCAAGTTCGCGAGATCGCGCAGCGCCTCTCCGAGCTGCTCGTTCGTGGCGGGATCCCAGTGCGGCTCAAAACCATGGTAGGCCTTCTGGAATCTTTCCTGTAGAGCGACGTGTTGCCCGAAAAGCAGCGCGACAGCGTCGTCGATGTCGAGTTTGCGCTCGAGCATGGTGACCGTGACGAGGTTGTGCCGGACGTCGCCGACGCTCTGCTCCACATTGTAAGATATGATGTCCTGGACAGCGAGATGGACGTGAACGTCAACGAGGTCAAGTCTCGTAGTCCGCAGGCATATAATGGGGCACTTACATTGTCGATAATCACCATATCTGTGGCGCATACGCTCATCTCGACCATCGCGGGGTGGTAGGCAACCTCGTCGGGGAGCTCTTGCAACATGAGCGCATACAAGGGACGAAACCCGACCGTCTCCCGGCGGATCTCAAAGTAGCTATCGAGGGACCGGTACACGTCCTGGTCGCGGTCAGCCGCCTCATCGACGACAGAGTCGACGTAGGCCGTGAAGTAGTCAATGAAACGGCGCTGAGCGGTGCGCCCAACTGCCCCGCTATCGATCGCGTGCGCCCAGAATCTGCAGGTCTGATTGTGAGCTCGACTAATAGAAAAGGATTCATCGGACTTACCGGCGTGTAATCTCTCCTAGGACTGCTTCGCCGTCTGGGCGCAGTCTACGTGGATTGTGCAGCGCATCTACGACTGCATCGGCCATCTTGCGACAGCCTTCCGCGTCCTCCGCGTCGGTATAAAGGTCGAATACGAAGAACAAATTGAATAAGTCGCAAGCAATTCTCAGAATCTCTGGCGACACGGCAACACTCAGTCTGTGACTCAATATGACATGCATAGCCGAGCACCTTTGTTCGAAAACGGGTAGACCAGGGCAGCGATGAGTGCTATACGAAGAGTTGGTAAGTCCTTGGATTGTTTCAAACAAGCATCCGAGTCGAGCCACTCACCAACGTCATACTTGTCAAAGGCTCGCTGAGACTCCTCTTTGAAAGCATGGAAGGAGCGGAGCCATTCTGCGGACGCAGCTATGACCTCCTCGGCATCCGGGTGGATGCTGCGAGGCCACGGCCAAGAGTTCATGGTATCGGGGAGGTGATAGGAAGTTGCGAAGGCCATCTCTTGCTCGGGCTGGTCGAATGGGAGTGATTGCTTGCACTGACGCAGACTCGTCTGCTCTATGTGCTGTGGTTCAGTGACGTACGCAGTGTCGATACATCGTCATAGAGACATACCGAATCCGCCAACACGACCGCGGTCGGAATGTCTTGCTCACGCCGGGAGCTAGTGCTGCCGATTTGCGCGCACGCTGCCAGCCTCTCGGACGCGCAGCGCGATCGCGAGCGGGGGCGACTCGGGAACCCATTGACGCTAAGTAGTGCATCCGTGGCGCGCTGGAGGCGTGGCACTCGTTCCTGGACATACTACCGCTGCAATGCGGTATCCGGGTGAACGTCTGCATAAGTTATCCGGATCTTGTCCTATTACGCACCGGTGCATGAGACGGGTGATGACCAGATTTACCAGAATTGTAGAAGCAGCTGTGCGTCACTTCTACTGTTGCAGCCCTTCGCAGTAGAAAACAGGGAATCTAGTCGCGTAGAAGTCGGTCAACCACAGTAAGTACTTGATGAGATTAGTCAGCACATGGCGGGCGGGGCGCGTCGGGCTCATCTATATCGGGTTGGGATCTCGGGCGTGCACCCCAGTCGGCCACCCGATGCAATGCTCAGGTTGAACGGCTAGGACTTTTAGGACGGAAGGTACGTCTCTGTATTCGTTTAGATTACAGCTATTGACGGGTGTACTTACTACAAGACGCAGACGATGACTTCACTGCTTAGGGCCACTAACCGGGTTCAGTTCCCTAACCCGACCGAGTTCCCGGAGGGCGATTGCGGGGCAATTGCAACTTTGCTTGCATATGAAAAGATCCTCAGTCTCGGTACAGCAGACTTCTAGTGCGTGTGTTCCACCGTCGGAGATGCTACGGATTCCGTCACTGATGGCCCGGAACTAAGAATTGGTGATTCAATTGTCGCCAGGTAAGCCGACACACCGGTACCTTCATTCGTCGCGGAGAATGACCTCGTCTGTGGCATGCGGCGTTTGGTTGAGATGATCTGCCACCAGGTCAAGAGACACATACGTGGTTCGCTCAGTCCGGACCACCTTGTGGGAGCAAGCACAAGAATGGGTCGATATGCGTGCTGCTCAATAGCCACGATGCTCAGGCTTTGTGAGGTATGTATATACACCGATAGTATATACACCGATAATAGAATGTTCCAGCGCTGCCAGAATCTCCGATGTAGAGAAAACAAGGTTCTGACATGGCGCCCTCACTCCAGACATCGTCTACAGAAGATCATTCATTGGTTTGCGCTTGAGCGGGGAGTGTGAATATACAGCAGAAGGCATGTCATGGTATCGCCACAAGCTGAAAAGGAGTACACGGACAGGCTGAGCGTACGTATCAGCCCCGCTGGTCCCAGCTACTGGACCGGATCCAAAACCTCTTCAACTATGACTCTATCACTCGGCATCCAAGTTGCGTTCGCGGTCCTCGTCACCATCGCCTACTATGCACTACATTGGCGCCAACTGTGTCGACGTCTACCACCAGGCCCTCGTCCATTTCCTATTCTGGGAAATATCCCGCAGATGACTCTAAATTTCCCGGAGAAGAGATTCGCGCAATGGGGGAAGAAGTATGGTACGAGCGTTCCGAGATGCTTACACTGCGGGGTTGTGACTGACTGCGCTGCACTAGGGGACATGATTTTCTTAAAGTTATTCAACACACCCGTCTTGGTCATCAATTCTGCGGCCGCTGCACGAGATCTGCTGGACAAGCGGAGTGCAATATACTCGGATAGACCGTATTCGGTCATGATGATAGACCTGTGAGTGCATCGACTGTCACTTATCTCACACATTGTATGGATGACTCGGACTTCCGATGTATTAGGCTGGGATGGGAACACAATCTCGGATTAATGCCATACAATGAGGAGGTTCGCAAGCATCGACGATGGACGCATATGCCTTTCCTTTCCAGATCTTCCCTCGCCGCGTTTGCCGACATGCAGAGGCGCGAGGCGATTGCTTTACTAATGGGATTGCTAAATGACCCGGAGGACTTTGGGGCCCATATCTATCGGTGAGCTTCCGATGTTCGTTGTGTTACCGAGCCTTTTCATAAACAGATGGCATAGGTACTACGCCTCCTCTATGCTTCAGTCTCTTTACGGGCACACAGTAACATCGCCAGACGATGAATACCTGCATGTCATCGAGAAGGCAGTGGAGGAGACGATGCACCTCTCGGCTCCTGGAACAACCCCTGTGGACTTCATCCCGTCTCGTGAGTGTGCTCCAGTGCTGATCGCTTCGTCGCTTCATTCGCAGCTCCTGATATCGCATTCTGTCAGTGAGATACCTCCCGACCTGGTTTCCTGGTGCAGGATTCAAGCGGAAAGCCGTGTGGATCAAGAGAACCGTGAGAGATGCTGCGCAACGAACCTACGACTTGGCAGAGAGCAATCTGGTAAGCATACACGGGATCCCATGACGCTGCATGTCTCACCAAACCGAGTAATCGAAGACCAAAGGCAACATTGGAACCCCCGTGATATCATCATTGATCAAGGAGTCTGCATTGAAGGGTACTCTGGAGACGGAAAAGCCAGAGATCACGATGTTCGGTCTCACGTTGTACGCAGGTGAGTTTCATCCGAACAACTCGAGCAGAACCCGCTTCATGGCGGCGACTTCCCCACAGCCGGAACAGACACGGTAGCATTCACCACATACCATTCAACTGCATCAGCTTATCCTCAAACTAGACACAGACTGTGCTCGTGGTCTTCATACTTGTCATGATTTTGTACCCGGACGTCTACGCCAAGGCGCAAGAAGAAATGGACAGCATCATCGGCGGCGCGAGGCTCCCGACTGTCAGCGACAAGGATGCGCTACCGTACCTTGAATGCATCCTCAAGGAGACGTACCGGTACGTGACAGTTGTGTCATTGGCTAGTAGTACATCATTTCACTGCAGCGACATAGGTTCTCCTGCCCTATACCATTAGGTACTTATGCTCCGGGCCTCACCGACTAGTTGTCACCGAACTGATTTCACAGGTGTGCCTCATGTATTATGCGAAGACGATGAGTATCGTGGGCGCTGGATACCGAAGGGGACAGTGGTCATGCCGAATCTATGGTGAACGTGGTTTAAACCTTTCTGGTAGCACTCGTTGACAAGGTGCTGTTAAGGTTTATGCTGCATGATCCCGACACCTATCCCGACCCGGAAGCCTTCTGTCCAGACCGCTTCAATGGGCGTTATGAAAATCAGGAGGACCCACGGAACATTGTCTTCGGTTTCGGTCGGCGGTAAGTGACGTCTTGAATTCTGTGCTTTGATAAACTAATCAAGGTGCGCCCGCTGCTTTGCAGCATATGTCCAGGTCGCCGCTTCGCAGAAACCGGGATTTGGCAGGCGATGACTAACATCGTAGCAACATTCGACCTTGGCAAGGCTCGTGACGCTATGGGCAATGAGATCACGCCGCCGGGGACGTTCTCATCCGGTATCATCAAGTACGACACTTTCCCTATGTCAGAAAGCGCGTAGCTGATGTGTTCACCCAGTCATCCGCACAAGTTCAAATGTGCTATCAGACCACGATCCGCGCAGGCCGTAGAACTCATCACAAACGAACAGTCAACACAGACTTGAACGACGGTCGAGATAGTCCCGTTCAGGAACATGAGCACCACCTGTTCGCGTTCTCTCGCACTCATTCGCAATGGTACGTGTCATGTCTCGTATCTCCATTGTTTCCCGGACCTATTTGGAACGAAAACATGGAAATATATATCAAATGCATGAACAGCAACACTCAGGCAGCACTGTCGACACTGGCATACTGTGTCTCCAGGCTCTAGTAGCAGGCACCGTTGCGAACGTACAGTCTCAATTCTTACAGGCTGTCACCGATGTAGCGATACTGCCTATCAGACTCGCGGCTGCGGCGCGCGGCGAGAGGCCTGTATAGGCTGCTCCTGGATGTGTAAGTAAGTCATTAAATATAAGCTATATAGAATCGGTCGGCTTGTGACAGGAAGATACGATACTCACACTACGGCGTAAGCATGCATAGTGCTGACTTCGCGGGTGGCCATACGGTCAGGAAAAAACTTGACAAACTGGCTACGTAGGATGACACGGATGATCAGTTCAACGCAACTAGCAGAGGATTACGGTCATACCCCGCTTTTGGTCTCGTAGTGCGTCGTTCAATCAGGATACACATGCTGATACTTTCGCCGGTACGACATGCACTGCATTTCGAATTGTCGCGGGGGCGGGTTTCAATACGGATGGCGGGCTTCAAAGCTTCAAAGTTCACCGGTTCACCGGCATCGATCATCCAAGAAGGGAGGACCAGCTTATGCTGGCACCCGCATAGCCAACTGGAGCTTGCGCACGGTCAGTTACATATACCCGGCGTGCTCGCATGACGGAGTCTGAGACTACATGCGGTCAATCCACAGACAATTCTGAAGCATGCGGTTTGAACATCAAGCTTACCTTGCATCTGAGCTCGCCTTCTGAGCACGCGTAGCAACTGTGTATGTCCGTCTTCGCGAAAGAAACGAACGAGAGTAGTGATTCTGAATATGAACGGCCCAGGAGCAGCCGCGATCGTGGGAGATGCGTCGGTATCTTCCGGCGCTTTGCGGCCACCGGGTCGCGCTTGGACTTGCGTACACACAACCCTTCCAGTCAATCGAACCGCATATAAACGACTAGCTATCGCGCGCCTCACGCTCTGACTGGAAAATCAGTATACGTGTTGCCCAGAGACCGATGCAGGGACGGGCCTCGCACTTGCACGTCTCGTGGGCGATCTACCGTACGCGTCGACATGCGCGACATTCACCGTGTCTCTGCGCATAGCTTGCAACCATGAGCGATGTCACTCCGTACTTCCTTGAACGGCATCGATCCACTGGGTGTCGCGGTCAAACTCCAAGACGTACACGTCGCCTACGCCACCGAGATGCTAAACCACAGCCTATGGTGCGTTGGTCGGTTTGGCTTCTCTCCGCTGCGCACTGTAGACCGCTACGCACCCGTCTGGGACCGTTTGTTCCGTGAGACGGGTGTCAGGATGGCGCAATGAACCGCGAGTAGATCGCGGTCTATTCTAGCGAACGAAGGCTAGCTATAGGCAGGTTCGGTGCACGTCCACTCATCCGCCACGCTCTGCGGTGCCGATTCTGTCATCGACGCCGTCATAATGCGGGACGCGGGGGGCCACCAAAGGAGGCACATCGAGCACTGGTGCAGCCGTCAAATTTGGCCCTCCATCGTGGGCGTAGAGTGGGTCTGTGGGCCTGGAGCGAGTCTATGCCCGGCCGGTAGGGGAAAAGTGCCATTACACAAAGATCAGGTCTTCTTTAGGATCTGCCTAGGGGAGACTACCCAAACGGCGTGCTCGTGAACGTCTGAAAGTGGCTCGGCTTTGAGTCCGTCGTCGAGACGCAAAGAGAATAATATATACGGGAGGCAAACTTCGAAGGTACGATAGGCCCGAGAAAGCGCCGGGCGAAGCACCGTGAGTTGTGATTTCGCGCGCGTGTCCCATGCATCCTGCCGGGATCATGGAGTCACGGGAAGCTTAGGTGTGAGCTGTACTTTCCCCCTCGAATCTCGGATAGGATAGCTGACATACGTGGTGCTTCGCTATGGCTAGACTCCGCTAGATCGGCGCCTGCCGTTGGGCGGCACCGTGACCGTGTTCACGGTACATTCAATAAAACTCGACTTCGTCAACGCTAGTAAGTTAAATTCAATTGCTCCCCTTTGAGCGGCACCGACTTACGGGATCATTTCAGGGACGTCATCGGCGTTTACTGAACATGGAGTGAGAAACCAATGAGAGACACCGTTCAATTGCAAACGATGTATGCATCTCAGAAGCAACAACTAGGTCATGGTACATTGCACGCTCCATTACGGCTCGCATCGCTTACAGAAAGTCCACCTTGACTCGGACTCCTGCAACTTTTACCTTCCAGTATGTCCATCTCAGTGAACTTCGCCTCGGTCGCTTGGCTGTATCTCGTGGTCACAATCCTTCTGTATCTTCTCAGGCAAATACGAAAGCGCAGTGATCTACCTCCGGGTCCCCGCGCCTCCCGTTCCTCGGTAATGTGCATCAATTGCCTGGGATCGACCAACACTTAACATTCATGGATTGGGCGGCTCAACACGGTGCGTACGCCTAGTACGTGTGCCTTTCAATAATGACTAAGAGAATGGTAACCATAGGTGACATCGTCTACGCCGAGATTTTCACCCAACCCATCATCATCCTCAGCTCCGCCAAGGCTGCATTCGATCTCATCGAAAAACGCGGGGCGATATACTCAAATCGGCCGCGTCTAGTGTACTTCGTCGAGCTGTACGTGTGTTGGACTTCCTTGGCATGCGTTACACTTACTCACTCGTTGAATCACCGGGATATCTCGCTACTATAGGATCGGGTGGACGGGAAACCTCGTGTTTATGCAATACAATGACACCTGGCGACGCATAAGGAAGTGGTATCAGCGAGCGTTCGTCGTCAGGGCGTCCGCGGATGGGTATCACCCTCTCCAGTGCCGTGAAGTGCGCCGCCTCCTGTTCGATCTCCTGGGGAACCCAGAAGACTTCGTGCATCAGTTGAAGCGGTCAGCGAGACTATGAATATTTGAAGCTCACTGATCTCTAACGTCTGAACAGATACGCTGCGGGAATAGTTCTCGAGATTGGCTATGGACATACAGTCACGTCTTTGGACGGCGATCACTTAATCAAGTTGACGGAAGATGGGATTAGAGGATGTCTTGTTGGGAGTGGAACTGGATCGGCTCCAGTTGACTTCCTGCCAATTCGTAAGCGATCGATAGACCCCAGCCGGTAGAAGCTCAGTATCAGTGTCCAGTGAAATACGTGCCCGCATGGATTCCTGGCATGAGCTTCAAGCGTGCTACAGCGAAAGCACGGAAAGCTGTCGGGGATATGGAGGACATACCGTACCAAGCAGTCAAGGACGATATGGCGAGTGTTAATATAGAATGAAAGTATGGATTGCAGCTGATTCACAATATAGGCGACCGGCAGCGCGAAGTCCTCGTTCACGACGGCCTTGATAGAGGAATGTTCCAGAAAGGGAGTACTGACGGCGGAGGACGAACGAGACATCAAAGGTGCTGCAGGAACATTGTATGCGGGTAAGCTCCTCTCCATCTTCATGTCCATCGGCCGATCTGAACGTTGTTCTGGTACTAAGCGGGTACCGACACGGTAAGCACATACATGCCCTTTGGAATGACGTGCGATGCTCATACTGCTAGCGTGAAGTCCTTGACAAGCATGATCGTGTTCATACTCGTGGCGGTTCAGCATCCCGACGTCTTCAGGAAAGCACGGGAAGAAGTCGATCGTGTAGTTGGAGATGCAAGATTACCAGATTTCGGTGACAGAGCATCGCTACCATATCTCGAGTGCATCATCAGAGAGGTATATCGGTAAGGACAAAACGCCTCGTGTATCAACGACCGGTGCACTGATCCAATACACACGTTGCAGGTGGTGTCCGGCAGTGACTACGTGTAACGATCAACAATAGCTTTCCACTGTTTGATGGTCACTGACCCTTGTTCTCAGCGGCTCCACACCAGGTGGCGGAAGACGACGTGTACCGTGGCTACTACATACCCAAAGGTTCGACAGTGATAACAAACCTGTGGTATGTCAACGACCTATTTTGTTCTGCCTTTTTGACATATGTAATCCAGGGCGATCTTCCGGGATCCCGAGGTGTACCCAGAACCAGACGTCTTCAGGCCAGAGCGATTCCTCGAGATCGATGCCGACGCAGATGCTGACCTCAAAGATCCGAAGAAGTTGGTGTTCGGCTTCGGGCGGAGGTACGCTTCAGGCGTCCTTCCCCCGCTGTTATTCGAAACTCAGCATATAATAGGATATGCCCAGGGCGATACTTTGCCGATGATATGGTGTGGCTTGCCGCAGCATGTATCGTAGCGACTTTGGACGTTGACAAGACACGAGATGAACACGGCGAGGGGATCACACCGACACCGAGGTTCATCTCTGGCGCCATCATGTGAGTGATATTGTGCATGTCGTTGTACCCGAAGGTAGCTCACGATACGTCCAGGCGTCCTGAATCATTTGTCTGCGATATTCGACCTCGATCTGAGAAGAGTCGACAGCTGATCCTTGACAGTAGTACAGAAATCTGAGCCGGCTCGACTGTTCGACACAAAGATCCTGTGGAGTGTCGTAGCATGTCATAATCGCGAATATCCCGTGCGTTGCTTGCTACCTAAGCATCCACGAGCGCAGGACTACAGACTAAGCCACACTATCACAACTTGTATCGTACCTGAAGCCTCAAGCAGACTCCAACAGTACAACTTGTGGGCCTGAGAAAGCACCGGGAATAGCACCGTGGTGATGATTCTGCACGCCCCATATCTCATGCTGCCGATATCACGGTGTCGTAGAAGGTTCAGGTGCGGTTGAACACAAGTTCTCCTTCGAAAATGGGATAGCTGACTATACGTGGCTAGATTCGTCTGCCCTTGGGCGGTATCTCGCTTACAATAGGGCTGTCTTGCGGCACATTCAGTCGCAAGGATAGCGTCATTCCTTCGGAGACTATCACTCACTATTGTGAGCAAGTCAGACTGAAAAAACCCCCTCATGTACACGTCTACCAACGCTATTAGGCGCAATTGCTCTCCCTTACGGTCGCCGAACGACTTACTACCGGATCACGCGTCTTGGGGGCTGAAGCTCAAGGAACGCCATTAGGGAACCCCTGGACTTATGTGAGAGATGCCATTCAATCGCAGATGATGTATCCAGCTCAGAAGCAATTAGCGTTCAGTCATGATACATCGCGCGCTCCATTACGGCCCGCATCCATTATAAGTAGCGAGTCGACTTTGACTCGGACTGTCTTGCAACCACTGGCAGTCTCTCCTGGTATGTCCGTCTCAGCCAACTTTGCGGCGGTCGCTGGGCTGTGTCTGGCGGTCATGTTTCTGTTACATATTCTCAGGCGAACACCGAAGCGCAATGATCTACCCCCGGGTCCCCCGCGCATCCCATTCCTGGGAAATATTCATCAATTACCGAAGGTTGATCAATACCTTACATTCATGGAATGGGCGGCGCAATACGGTAAATACATTTAGGTGTACTGCACATCCATATTTGGCGATGACTAAAAGAAACCATAGGGGACATCGTCTACGCTGAGATTCTCACCCAACCCATTGTCATCCTCAGCTCTGCGAAGGCTGCATTCGATCTCATGGAAAAACGCGGGGCAAGATACTCCAATAAACCGCGTTTTGTGTATTTTGTCGAATTGTGTGTGCAGTCGACCCCATTGAAATGGAATCCACTCAGTGCCAATTTCGCTTCCTACAGGGTGGGATGGACCGGAAACCTCGGGTTTGTTCAATACAATGAGACCTGGAGACGCATGAGGAAGTGGTATCAACGAGCATTCATTGCGAGGTCTTCCGCGGACAGTTATCATCCTGCACAGTATCGTCAAGTGCGCCGCCTCCTGGTTGATCTCCTGGAAAACCCAGTAGAATTCGAACATCAATTGAAACGGTGAGCCGAATTACGCACCACGTCGCTTTTCATTGATCTGTACAAACAGATACAGCGCGGGAATAGTCCTTGAGATCGGCTATGGACATACTGTCACGTCGTTGGACGACGACCACTTCATCAAGGTGACGGAAGACGGCCTTAGAGAATGCCTCGCTGGGAGTGGCGCCGGAGTGGCTTCAGTGGATTTTCTTCCAATCTGTGAGTACTGATTGCTAGACATGACGGTAGAAGGCCGACTTTTGGCATTTAGTGAGATATTTGCCTGCGTGGTTGCCGGGCATGCACTTCAAATATAGTGCAGCAAAAGCTCGCAAAGCTATCGAAGACATGGAAGACATGCCATACCGGACCGTCAAGAATGACATGGCAAGTACTAAATGCGTGCATATAGTCACGGTTCGAATGCCAGCTCACTCGTGGAATAGATGATCGGGACTGCGAAGCCTCATTCACGACAGACTTGATAGAGGAATGCTCCAGGAAAGGGACTCTGACAGCGGAGGATGAACGAGATATCAAGGGTGCTGCAGGGACACTATATGCGGGTAAGCATTTCTCTACCCTCACGTCACCGGAGGATCAATCTGAGCAACGTCATGGAAATCAGCGGGCACCGACACGGTAAGCGCAAGTATTGCCATCGACTCCTCAGGCTCTACGACGCTCACAGCAACTAGTCTTTAACAAGTATGCTCGTTTTTATACTGGTGATGGTCCAGTATCCGGAAGTGCTCAAAAAGGCGCAACTGGAGCTTACCTGCGTTGTCGGCGATTCAAGACTACCGGACTTCAGAGACAGAGCATCCCTACCGTATCTCGAATGCATAATCAGAGAGGTATATCGGTAAGGCACCAACACCTTGAAGATTAGTGGTTGTCGTGCTAATGCAGTACACATGATGCAGGTGGTGTCCGGCGATTACTGCGTGTAATAATTGGCAAAATTTGTCCATTCCTTGGTGACCACTGATTTCCGTCTTCAACAGCTCCGCATGTGGCGCGGAAGACGATGTGTATGGCACTTATTACATTCCTAAAGGTTCGATGATAATGGCAAATCTGTGGTATGTCGATAAGTGTTCCCCGCCTGCTTGCCTCCCTCACTTACGCAACATGCAGGGCGATATTCCGAGATCCCGAGATGTACCCGGAACCAGATGTCTTTAAACCGGAGCGATTCCTCACGATTGATGCGGATGAGGATTTCAAGCTCAAAGATCCAAAGAAGATGATGTTCGGTTTCGGGCGGAGGTAGGCTTCAGTGGCCCCCGCTGTCGTTCGAAACTCAGCATCGGAGTAGAATATGCCCAGGACGTTACTTTGCAGACGACAATGTGTGGCTTGCCGCAGCGTGCATCATAGCGACTCTCGACATTGGCAAGGCGCGGAATGACCACGGTCAGGAGATCACACCGGCACCGAGGTTCATATCTGGGACTATCATGTGAGGAATGTTGCGCACATCATCGCACCTGAAAGTGGCTCACGACACACTTAGGCATCCTGAACCATTTGTCTGTGATATCCGACCTCGATCCGAGAAGAGTCGACAAGTGATCCTTGACAGCAGTACAGAAAACTGAGCCGGCTCCTCGATGCAAGATTTAGCTAGATTGAAGCAATGTAACGTCGACTATATTCGAGTCTATCCAAGTATCGATGACGCATCTCGATCATCGCTCTGTGTGCGCCACGACGAGAAAACGCTCTCTACTTAGAGTCCACTTATTGTCCGACAAGTTGAATAACGCAATCGTCTCGTGAGGAACTGGACAACCACAACGGAGACCACGCTTCAGTCAACGAATACATTAATCGGTCGTAATGTATGCATACTTCAGAATGCGTCCGCTGTCTCTAGATCATGTATCAGCTCGCAGCCTTCTGCGTTCGCGGACGGAGACAGCAAGCGAACGGTTTGGGATGGCTACGTCATCTCATTAGCAAAGTCGTCCTCCAGTCGAGCCTGTGCACCCCGCACCTTATAGCGCCGGGCATGAAGTCTGTAGCCGGCGTGATCTCGTCCCCCGCCGCGTCGCGAGCCTTGCTGAAGTCGAGTGTCGCAAGCATGCAGGCGATGGCGAGCCAGATCGACGAGTCCGCCAGCTGGCGACCCGGACACAGCCTTCGTCCGATGTCAGCTAATTTCGGGTGCCAGCACATCGGGACGGGGTGTACACTCACCGCCTGCCGAACCCGAATATGACTTGCGAGGGTCTGTAGCATCCAGAGTGCTAGCGTCCATCCCGAGGTAGCGTTCCGGCAGGAACACTTCAGGGGCAGGATAGACTTCAGGATCGCGGGCCATGTGCCTGTGGATGTGACTGTTAGCAGTAGTGACGTCGAGGAAAGGCGAGATCTGACTGACCAAAGGTTCGCTATCACGATGGTGTTTCTGGGAATGTGGAAGTCTCGGTACAGGTCGTCGCTTGTTATTGATGTGGAATGCCTGAGCACAGTCATTGCCACGGGTGAGCATTAAGTACGCGAACGACAGGTAGATTAGTACTTGCCGATTGGCAACGGCGCGTTCCATCTTCGGGACACGTTTCAGCAGGATGCATGCCCGACTTCTGCAGGACTCACCGGAACGTCTCCCGCAAGATGCACTCAACGTACGGCAAGGAGTCTCGATCCTGAAAGTTCGGAAGCCGCGCGTTGCCTACTACTTGGTCGATCTCCATCTGGGCCTTCCGGCAGACGTCGGGGTGGAGGACCATCGCGAGGACGAACGTCACGACGACTGTCGCTGACTACAGGCGCTGAGATCATACGGAGACTCAAGTTGAACAGCTGGCTCACTGTATCGGTCCCGGCTACAAGTAGCAAGATGTCAGGAAGTGCGTGGACATCCTTATTTGTTAAGTCTCACCTGCATACAACACACTGGCGATACCCTTCATGGCCCGCTCGTCCTCAGGGGACAGGCTCCCTTTCTCCGACGTCTCCTCTAAAAGCGTCGTGAGGAAAGACGGGCCTGCCGTACCAGCTGCCTGGAAGAGAACGTGCTTGAGTTCGAACGTCGACATTCCACTCACATCGTACTCACTAAAGCCTGTTTCGTGTGCTCATACGGGATGTGCATGACGTCTTGCATGAGGCGCCGGACGTCGAGGGCTTTGCGCTTCCACGCGCTTCCGGGAAGCCATGTAGGCATGTAGCGCACTGCGTTACTGCGGTAAGGCCTAGGTAACGTAACGAATATAGGCGCGACTCACGGATCGGCACGAAGTCGACCAAGGAGGCGGAGGGGCTACCAGCTTCGGTCAGCCGGAGGATCGCCTGACAAGCAAGCTTGACAAAAGAATCGTCGTGCGCCGTGATGGTGCGTCCGTAGGCTATCTCCAGCATTATCCCGCCTTCGTACCTACGGATACATCAGTACAGTCTGACGACGCAGTCGCTGAAGCAAGTTGTCGTACCGCCTAATAAGCGAGGCGAACGCATCTGGCGTCTTGAGGATCCCAGCGAGCATCCGGACGACCTCCCTTTGTTGGATGGGTCGGTAGCTGTCGAGCTTCGCTTTGTCGAGGAGCGAGGCCTGGATCCACCGCCGCTGTCGGCGCCACTCGTCGTTATACGGGAGGAGCGGCATGTTCGGGGAAAAGTCCATCCTAGAGCGTTGCGTTGTTTTGAGATGCATGGCGCTTCCGACGGGAGTCACGTCAGGTCACTCACATCTCGTGAATCAGGATCGACCGCGGCCTGTCGGAATAGATCGCGTTGCGTTTGTCCAGGAGATCCTGAGCCGCCAGCGAGTTGAGGACAATGGCTCCTCTACCGAGCACGGAGAAGTAGACGACGTCGCCTGGAGTACGGATGAACTCCGATGAGCCGGGGAACGTTTGTTTGTTTGTTTATTCCCTTTAATGTCACTGAGGGCGAAGCCCTATGTAGACATTACATACACTACTACTCTCGGTTTGTCTCGTCTGGTCCGTGGTCGCTTAGCATCGCCGTTCGCCGAAGCGTAAGGCAGGTATAGTAGTATGTACTGAAATGTAATGGGGTGTGAGTGCGTCGAATGGAATGAGTTCTGTGTGTGCGGGATCTCGGTTCTCTGCGCGTCGGTCGCTATTCCTCGTCAGCGCGCGCCCTTGGCGCGGTCTCTCGCCTTCTCGTCCTTTATCTCTAGGTCTCCGTAGGCGGCCGCGAAGCGGCCGGTGCTGTGTATGTATCGGAATAGGGGTCGCATCGTGCTCGCTGAGCTGAGAAGGTCCTTGATCGAGCGAGCGGCTGGGCCTGCGTCGCGCGCGAGCTGGTCGCGTTGTTCATTGAAGGCTGGACACTCCATCAGGTAGTGATACACCGTCTCGCGAGTGGTCCTGCAAGACGGGCATATGGGGGTGTCCTCCTTCTGTATCCTAAAAGAAACTTCTGCAGCGGGATGTGTTCGGTGCGTAATTGAATGAGGATACTCGCCTGTCTCCGAGGTAACTTCTCTGCCAGCTTCCCATACTTCTTCGACGGCATCTCCGGGTCAATTCGGTCCATCCGTTCTGCCCTTGGGGACGCCTTCCACTCCTCCTTTGCCATCCGCCTCAGCCTCTCGTTTTGCGTCTGCCTGACCCTTGATAGGCTCGCTGGGAGCGCGTTCTTCAGCCAGCCCGGGAGGTCCTCGACCGGGCTACTATCTCCTCGTGCCCGGGGAACGTTGATCGTTGTTGGCACGGACGTACCGTATCTCTGCCGCCACTCGCTGAAGGTGTGGTGCATATACTCTAGAGAGACTTGCAGCGCATTGCCCAGGAGAGGCCACGGCTTCGGACCAGGTGGGAGTGTATGAGAGCGAGACCGCGCCGCACGAAACTTGTATGCAAGTCCGATCGCAATCACAGCTAGTAACAGCATGGCCGGCGATGGTGGTAGGCCCATGTTGGTGAACGGCCGATCGGTTTACAGCCTGGCTGGCAGTCTGGCGAACATCTAGGTCTAGCGGCCACTTATACCATTACGCATCATGACTGACGCGTCGCTTTCCGCGTGCCACGATTGTGATAGTGTCCAGAGGGAACGTCTTCTGTGCCAGTTATTGCAAGCGGTGGGAATGTGGATTCCGACATGCACGTCATGCTATGTCCTTCCGCGATATGAAACCGTCTCAGTACTTGACTCGGAACGAAAAAGAAGTGAAGCACTTACATCTGAGAGATGGGACCCGCACTGGCGCAGGGGGATGGTCCATGTATCCTTTCGCCGTCTCGATCAAGTGCGCCGCTGCACAGAGTGCATGACCTATCGGATCACTGCGCTATGTATACGACTGAACCGGCTGCTTCTACGCATGCATACTGATCATAATTAGCGTGTGACGATCTAGTGTGGCTTTCTGCATTGAGATGCGGGTCGACCATCATGCACACGGCGGGTGTCCCGCGGCGATCGTGTCGTGGTTTGAGCGATATAGAAACTTCAAGACACAAATCCGCGGAATGAATATCGGAGGATTGAAAGTTGAATAATTGAAACTTTGACCAGGGGGAGCGACCCGCGGTCGATACTGTACCGAGGCCAGGCGTTCACTGTCGTTGTCGCTGCTGCCCATCGCGTACCTCCGCATCCGAAGCCGACCTTCCAACACACGGCTAGGCTGTGATCCTACAGCTGAAGTGTGAATCCATGTTATGTACATGACTGCACAAGCCTGGCGGGGATCGCATTTCAGTAAAGCGAGCGATTGTCACGTACAAGCAACTTCGAAATATGTCTACTGCCTCCAGCTCCGAGCCGTGAGCATACCATGTCGCTGTGTGCGGTCGTGGGCGGAGACAGCAAGCGAGTGACTACGCTGGCCAATCAGAACGTCGTCCTCCTGGAGTCTAGACACCCTGTACATACCTCATAGCACCGGGGGTTAATTCCGCGGCCAACACAAACTCATTTCCTCCAAAATAGTGCGCCATGCCGATGTCGAGCCTTGCGAGAGCGGTGGCGAGCGTAGTGGATCGTATCAAAGCCGGCGACCCAGGAATAACCTCCTGGACATCATGACTTCTGTAGCCATGCATTCCGAGGCGAGCGCGTCACAACCAGCAGCGCAACGGTACACAAGCACGAGTCGCGTGATATGCTGATTGCCCAGCAAAATAGACATGCAATCAATGTCATCTCACCAGTACACGCGTTTCAGAGGCTTGGGTCGTACAGGCGTCCGTGTCTTGCCTGAGGACGGAGTCTAAGGGTATATGCAAATGTACAGCGTTGAGGTCCAGCACTCAGCCCTCCGAATGACCAGGCCCCTGAGCACTCACCGGCAACCCGCCTACTCAGAATCTCAGCTCTCTTGTCAAGTCACAACCTGCCGGTCACTACCATTCCGACCTCCTCGAGCTGCCTCGAACATTCAGCGGCCGATATGCCCATGGGCAGATACGAGTGCGTAGCTTTGAATCCGATGGAGGGCATATCACCTCATTGTTTCCGTGTTCTGTCCTCATGGTGTGTGTACCCCTTCGTCTGTGCCGGTGGTGAGCGGAGAGACAAGACGCATTGATCGAGGATGGCGCGTGCACCAATAAGCGCTCAGCGCTCAAGGCTCGGTCTTCGACGCTACTTACCAACTACCGTCTTACCTCCAACTTACCTCGCTGACAGAATGGCATTGCATCTCTTGTTTTGTTGCTTGCGTACATCACTGAGACCTTGAACCGTATGTACAAGTCGTCCCCCCTACCTCGCCTAGCGGATGGGTAGGAGACTGGAGGTCGCCGGTCCTCGAAGTCGGTTCAATCACTGACTCGGAGTTCCTCCCAGCTACTCGACCTGAACCTCCGTGATCTTGCTTGCACTGTTGCGCTGTATGTAAGTTGTTACTTTCGCCAATAAATGCGACCTTGCAGCTCATCCCTGGGAATCTCTCAGCCCCAATCGCTCAAGAGGTTGGTCACTGGGTGAGTTGTCAGGTACCCAAACCTACAGGCTGTAATGCCCGACAGAACTATCCCGCTTCAGTGACCTGGCGTCTTCCCCCGATTCATTGTTCCACACATGTCATGACCCATATCACTCGCTCTCAGGACTCGGCGGGAGGCCATCGCTCCCAATGCGGCAGATGTATCTCTCCCGCACACCTCTCGTGAGATTCGTCGAGAAGAAATGGCGATACGAGTGCCTACTATTGATGGTCCCGTGGCCTGTATCTCAGGCTGAACGACGCATCGGTATATCGGGAGCCATCGGGACTCTTCAGGCAGCCGATGGAGGCGCATTACTTCCGATCAATGGAGGCAAGAAGATTGAACTCTCGCGACCTGTGCGGTCATCCCTGGAGCTGAGCTCCATACTGAGACGTTGAGGACACCCGACGTACATAAGGTGTGAGTCTTCAGCGGTCCCGTCCAAGGAGCACGAAACCGACCGCTCTTGCCATGTTTCTAGATGTTCTCCCGTCGCATCCGCAGAACGCGATGGAGCAACTCGCAGGCCTCGCACTTGCCTTTCTCCTGATCTCCCTCCTCCATTGGTCGCGCAACCGTAGAGCCCTCCGCCTTCCTCCAGGCCCTCCGCGACTCCCGATAATAGGCAACTTGAACCAGATCTCAGACGACTATCAGCACGAGATTTTCACAGAATGGGCGAGGAAATACGGTACGACTCCGTCCCAACGAAGCACTGCTTGCATGGCACTGACCTGATACGCGTTTCAGGCGACGTCGTGTACGCCCGGCTTCTCACAAAAGACGTACTCATCATCAACTCTGCCGCTGCCGCACGAGCGCTCATGGAGAAGCGCAGCGCGAAGTACTCTGGCCGACCTCACTTCACGTACATCCGCGACCTGTGAGTCTGAAACGATCAGAATCAGACACGTCTTTGGAGCCTGCTGTCTGATACACGTGCTACAGAGGTGGCTTCAGCTGGACCCTCGGGTTCATGCAGTATGACGACCGCTGGAGGCGCCATCGCCGGTGGTTCCAGAACGGGTTCCAGGTGAAGAAGCGGCTTAATAGCTACGTGCCGATCCAGCAGCGCGAGACGCATCGGTTCCTCGTGGACCTGCTTCGCGAGCCTGACGCTTTCATGGATCACTTCAAGCGGTGCGTCGCAGTGTTGCATCCCTACGAAGACGAACCCTCCTGCTTAATGCTATTCTGCGCGCTCGGCCAGCCTCGCTGCTGCAGTTATGCTCGAGATCGGGTACGGCCACACGGTGACGTCCGTCGATGATGCGCACATCCGCAAAGTGGACAGTGCGGTGGGGGGTATCCTCGAGGCGGGCAATCCCGGCTCGATGCTCGTTGACTTCTTTCCCGTCCGTGAGTGCTTGCTTCTGAACGCAGACTACGGACGCTGACGAGGGGCCGCGCTGACCCGGCGCGGGTGCGACAGTGAAGTGGATACCCGCATGGATGCCCGGTGCGGGCTGGAAGAAGACTGCAATCCGCCTTCGCCCCGCCATCGACTCGATGCACCTCGATCCGTTCAGGGCGGTCGTGAAGGCGTTGGTGCGGACCCGGCTCCTGTTCGTCCCATCCCGCTGATGTTACCGTATACGCAGACTGCAGGCACGGCGAAGCCATCGTTCGCGACAGCAATTCTGGAAGAGGCTCCCACAGACGAACCGCTCTTCCCGGCGGAAGAGAGGGAGATGAGCGGCGCGGTGGGTACTGTTTATTCAGGCGAGTGGTGGACTTCTCTTCTCGTCCTACTATCCTGACATGGCCTGCTTAGCGGGAACGGAAACGGTGCGTACAATTGTCTTGCAAGGCGCATATACAGAGCTGTATGGTTCCCAGACAGTCAGCGTGCTCTCCTTGTTTGTGTTCGCCATGGTCCGCCATCCCGAAATATACAAGACAGCGCAAGCAGAGATGGATCGCGTCGTCGGACGTGAGAGGCTGCCTCAGTTTGACGATCGACAGGACCTTCCGTACCTCGAGTGCGTGTTGAAAGAGGTGTATAGGTGAGCACTCTTCGAGTCGACCCTTGTATGCTGTCCAAAATTTGCGACTCGGATTGGGTGTGGTCATTCATGCTCAATGCTAATGGAACTTACGAACAGATGGGGTGTGCCTATCCCTCTGAGCAAGTCTATTTAGCATGCCGATCCATGAGGAGGCGGACTGATGGGGGCATGACGCACAGGCATCACACACCAATTGACTGAAGACGACAACTACGATGGATACGACATGCCTCGCGGAGCGACAGTCATACCAAATCTCTGGTATTCCGCCTCGAGCCATCGTACTGGATGTGACTGTCTCATTTGATGATCTGTGCAGGGCTATGTTGCACGACGAAAGATATACGAGGACCCAGACGACTTCAAGCCTGAGCGTTTCCTCAATATCGAGCCCGCGCTCGCAGAACTACGTGACCCCCGCAAGATCGTGTTTGGGCATGGACGGCGGTGCACTATCTCATGAGCTCCATCCTAATAAATTAGCTCACGTCACGACGTTTGCCTTTGTAGAATATGTCCGGGGCGCTTTCTGGGAGACAGCAGCATCTGGCTCGTCATCGCCAACATGATAGCCACCTTTGACCTTGCCAAGGCACGCGACTCAGCGGGGCGGGATATCACGCCCACAATGGATTTGTTCTGGATTCATCAGGTCGGTTTGGGTGTTCGCATGCAATACATTGACATACAATGTCTCGCCAGACACCCGAAGCATTTCGTCTGTGACATCCGACCCCGATCGGAGAGGATGCGAGCTGATCTCGCGGAGCTTCCAAGAGGGCGATGAATGAGGTTCCAAGAAACGGGCGCACGGTGTCTTCTTTGTAAACACAGCCTATAAACACTGGTCTGCCAGATATATGCGAGGTACGAGCTACGCTGCGCTTCTCCGTAAGTGCTAGCTGTTGGATGTAGTTGAAGGGCTCCCGTTCTACCTAAGGCATCCACAGATCAATTTCAGGTTGACCTTGGGACAGAGGGCGATTGCGGGGCAATTGCAACTTTGCTGGCCTGTGAGAAGACCGTACTCAGCAGACTTCTCGCGCGCCTCTTCCACTACCGAAGGCGCTACAGACGAGCGCCCGGGGAACAATCGGAATTGGTGATTATTGCCAGGTAAGCCGATACACCTCATTCGTCGCGGAGAATGACCTCGTTTGTAGCAGGCAAATTTGATTGAGAACCACCACCAGGTCAAGAGACACATACGTAGCTGTGTTTTTCTCAGCTCGGGCCACCTTGTGAGAGCAGGCACAAGGTTGCGTCGATGTGCGTGTTGCTCCATAGCCGCGATGCTGTACCAGGGCAATTGCGTTGTGAGGTATGTATATACGCCGAGAATCGGAACATATATACACCTCTGACTGCGCTCAGTCCCTCACATGGTCAGGCGGATTTGCGCGCGAGCTTACGACATGATCTAATACATACTTGCCAGAATCTCCGATGTACAGAAGTAAGGTTCTGAGCTGGCGCCCTCACTCCGGTATTCGGTCACGGGGAATCGCTCTATTTCTTGTGCGCATGTGTGCCAGAAGGATAAGGGCCGCATACACCACAAGACCTGATACTTAGAGACGTCAAAAGGATGGGCGGCTTACGGGAATCTCATCCAAACTGGCGAGACGCGAGAGCGAGTTCGGTGCGTAGTTGTCCGTCGCGGTCTGTTCTATAACTGATGGTCCTATGTCCCTCTGCTTGCAGTACTCCCAGGACCGCATCCGCTGTGACTCGTGAACCGTATATCAATTCCGCCCGCTGGGCGCTGGTGGCAGACGTATACTTCCTCGTACGACCGGTCTGCCCATCGAGTTCAGATTCGACTTGTGGGCGTCAGGCTGTGACATCAGGGAGATCCCCTATGAGGTACACTTGCAAGACAGGAAAAGTGAGGTATGTACGACAGTATCGCAAATACTACTGCTCGTCGACTCTTTACTCGTGACTCCTCCTTCAATGTTCCATATCTGCTTTCCGCGCTTGCCTGCTCGCCTTCTCCGACTTCGGATCCTTGCGTGAACACACATGCTCAGGTCATGCGTGGTTGAAGTCATCGTTGGCGCTGTTTCCTGAGAAGCATCCGCGAATAGGCTGTCAAGCCCGCTCAGGCTCAACTGTACCGTGCGCCAACCCAAATTTCATCAGCACACGCACACGGACGTTGTTACTAACATTCTTAGTGCGCTCTGGGTGCAGCAGTAACAGCCTATCACAGGAACGGCTCCTCCACCGGCGCCAGCTCCTCGGTAGCATTATACGCGAGAGCCAGACGAGGGCATAAGCACCCGCTCTCGCAACCGACGACGTCCTGCCGCCCCCCTGCCGGCCCGTCACTCTGCCATGGCTCTCTTGCAAATAAGCAACATCCTACCCCGCAACACGCACCATAGCACACTGCGAATTCATGGATTTGAAAGTGCTGCCTTCGTCTGCGTACTCGCCATCGTCGCGCTGGCTCTTTTCCGCATCTCCACCAAACAGCGTCGCCTCCGTCTACCCCCGGGCCCCGTCAGCTGCCCTTCTTTGGCAACGTCCAGCAGCTGCCCGAGGAGTACCAGGAGTACACGTTCGCCGACTGGGGAAAGCGCTTCGGTGCGTGCTCGCATTCCCTGCGCCTCGATGTCACAATCACTAATTCTCACTTTGTTTGTCTCCAAATCCAACAGGGGACGTCGTCTACGCGCGATTCTTCACCACGCCCGTGCTCGTCCTCAACAACGTCCACACCGCCCACGCGCTCCTCGAGAAGCGCGGCGCGAAGTACTCAAGCCGACCACGGTTCACGTACTTCACGGACATGCGAGTCCCCTCTCCTCTAGACCTCATGCCATAGCTGACCGTAACGATGTCCCAAACTGACACGCTTCGTGGCCACCGCCCGCGCCTGACGCAGTGTGGAGATGAGGCATATCATCGTAATGCCCTACGCGGACCGCTGGCGGCGCCATCGCCGCTGGTTCCAGAACACCCTCCTCGCGCGGAACGCGCTCAACGCGTACGAGCCGCTGCAGCGCGACGAGCTGCAGAAGCTCCTGCGCGACCTCCTGCGCGACCCCGGGGAAGCCCTAGCGCATCTGAAGCGGTGTGTCGCTCTTCTGTTTGGGACTGTATGCGCCTGCTCGGGGCGGCCAGCTCATGGTACTTACTATGTTGCTGTTAGGTACGCTGCGGCGCTGATGCTCGGCGTCGCCTATGGCTACTCGCCCTCCACCATGGACGACGAATTCGTCAGGATGACCGAAGAGGCCATGCACCTCGCCCTCGACGGCGGCGGGCCGGGCTCCGCTCTCGTCGACTTCTTCCCCGCTCGTAAGTCCCCGCATATACCTCCCACCCTGCTGGTGTCCTCGGTTCTCAGACGAGACGTCGTGTGCGGAGAGCTGAGCGGCGGCGTGTTGGTCTTGCGTAGTGCGGTACGTGCCGACGTGGATGCCCGGGATGGAGTTCAAGCGCCGGGGACTTCGGGCGCGGCAGGGGTACAAGGAGATGCACCGCATCCCGCTCGAGCGGGTCAAACGCAATATGGCGCGTGGCTTGCTATACACAGGACTTGTGTCCCGCGGCTAACATGATATGCAACAGGCGGCGGGGACGGCCAGGCCGTGTGTCGCGACGGCGTTGCTGGAGGAGGCGGCGAGGGACGGAATTGTGGAGAAAGCCGACGAAGACGAGATCTCGAGCGCGTTGGGAGTCATGTACGTTGGTGAGTGAAGTAGCCCTGTCTTTTGCATGAAAGGAGACTGACGAGGCTGCACTCCGCCCAGCGGGGACAGATACTGTAGGTCAATCCCCTCGAGGATAGTCCAGCGGCCTCACAGACTGACCTGCCACAGACGTCCGCAGTCCTCGTCGCGTTCGTGCTCGCGATGGTCTTGCATCCCGACGTGTTACGGAAGGCGCAAGCAGAAGTCGACAGCGTCGTCGGCGACGGCCGCCTTCCGGAGCCTGACGACCGCGCGGCGCTCCCGTACCTGGAGGCGGTCCTGAAGGAAGTGTATCGGTGCGTCCCAGTTGTGCTATCGACGTCTGAAATCCGAACAACTCGCAGTGGCTGAAACGACATCTCTGTTAAACAGGTGGCTCGCACCCGCACCCCTTGGTGAGATGCTGCGAGTCCTTGACTCGCCGGAGAAAAGATGACAAACTGTGACGATTGTGTAGGTACACCCCATGAACTGACTGAGCACGACGAGTACGCTGGGTTCCATATGCCGAAGGGAGCCCTTATCGTTACTAATATCTGGTGTGTGCCCTCCTCTGTCCACTCTTTACTTCCTCGTTTTGCTCATTGACCTGTCTTCCGTCAATCCGTGCATGTAGGGCCATGTCGCGCGACGAGCAATATTTCACCGACCCGGACAGATTCGACCCGGAGAGGTTCCTAGACGTGGGCGCGGATGCAGGAGAGGCGATGGACCCGCGAAAGTTTGTGTTCGGCTTCGGCAGACGGTACGTGAGGCATGGGCCATTCATCTGCGACGGAGGAGGAGTAATTTTTGGTCTACAGTATATGCCCTGGCCGAGTGCTAGCCGATCAGAGCATCTTCATCGTGGCAGCCACTCTCGTCGCTGCTTTCGATATCCGGCCAGCGAGGACACCGGATGGTAACGAGATACCCCTAAAGTCGCGTTCACGTCTGGAACAGTGAGGTACGTGGTTGGCGCGGTCCTGAAGATGGCTTTTGATGAGGCTGACGTTCTCGAAGACATCCAAAGCCATTCGTGTGCGATATCTCGCCTAGATCAGGGAAGGCGGACCTGATTCTGGGTACGGCAAATGGAAACGGGGTCAAGTACTAGGTTCCACTGGCAGTCCACGAAGATCGTGTTGCCGGCGGGCGACAGTCTTGGGTGCATCACAGTGCCTTAGCCCTCCCAATAAAACCGCCGTATGCGCGTTCTATGGCTACCGCGAATGCAAAAGACTCAATACACTCCGTTGGTCTGTCACAGGATCTGTGGTTACTGTCATGTGTACTCGGCCTCATTTCGTGGTCAAAACAATGGTTCACAGACAGCCTGGGTGCAGCTCGCCGATTATCTCCCTGCCTTGTCACTAAGACGCAGTTGGTTATGTGCCACCGAGCCTCCTGCCGCTGTAGAAACAAAGTGCCAAAGGGGCGGTCGATGCATACGAGCGTGATCTATACATACCGGGGGAGACATCGTTGTACCGGACGCCGGCATCGATAGTGACACAGGGCATGGATTGAGTTAACCCCAACTGGAATGTTGCCAATATCGCCAGTACGTCTTACCAATCTCTCGTTCGGGGGTTTGTCACTCAGGGTCCATTCGCAGTCCTGGCGCGTGAAGTGAGAACGCTTCTCGTCTTCAAAGGGAACACCCTGAGCGCGCTGCCAGTGATAAGGCTCATGATCCTGGCACTAGCATCTCGACGGAAAAGCTTTTGCATCTCGAACATGACGTTGCGAAACCCCAAGGACGTGCTTGATTACCTCTCCCGCTCATTCCTCGCTGTTGCGGGCATCACTCCACTGGTCTACATATTGGCTTGCATTCTGCTAACCTTCCTCTTCGTCCGCACGAAACGTCGCCACCTTCGCCTCCCTCCGGGACCGCGGCCCCTCCCGTTCGTTGGGAACATCCGCCAGCTACCGGCGACCTACCAGGAGGTCACATATACTGAATGGGGCAAACAGTATGGTATGTACGTCCCCACTTCGTTGCGTTATACATATGTTCAACGAGACTTCGACTGTCTACGTCGATTTCACAGGCGACATTGTCTATGCCCGCTTCTTCAACACACCTGTGGTCGTGCTCAATCGCGTGCACATCGCTCGAGCACTCCTGGACAAGCGCGGCGCTAAGTACTCGGGAAGGCCGCGGTTCACGTATGTCGGAGACATGTGAGTTTGGCTCTTCCTCAATATTCGAATCGGATGATCATGCTCTGACAACCATGACGATGGTCTGCCTCTGTTGGATGACCAGCGTGAAGTGGAAGCACCTCGTAATGTTACCCTACGATGCCCAGTGGCGCCGTCAGCGTCGGTGGTTCCAGACCGCCCTCCTCGCCCGAAACACGCTCAACTCATACGAAGCGCTGCAGAGCAAAGAAGTGCACACTCTGCTGCAGGATCTCGTACGTGAGCCCAAGGAGGCGCTCTCGCACGTCAAGCGGTATGTGTCATTCGAGTCCCACGCCGGCATGCATTGGCGGATTGACGCGCATGTCCAGGTATGCCGCGGCGCTAATGCTGGGTGTCGGGTATGGCTATTCGCCCTCCTCCGTGGACGACGAGTACATACGCAACTCGGAGGAGGCCATCCACCTCACCCTCGATGGTGGCGGGCCAGGGGCCTTTGTAGTGGACTTCTTCCCGGCTCGTACGTCCCTCCGTTTGCATGAAGTGCTCCGCGTGTCGCCCGAAAGCTAACCTCGGATGGGTAAATCCAGTAAAATATCTACCAGCGTGCCTACCTGGGATGGAGTTCAAGCGCAGAGGCCTGCGCGCCAGGAAACTGGTCAGGGACATGGAACACATCCCGCTCGAGCGAGTGCAGCGTGAAATGGTATGGCAACTGCGGTCCGTGGTGTTGTTGATCTTCTGTGTCTGAACGACATGCGGGCAGGCAGCTGGAACGGCGCGTGCGTGCTTCGGTACGGTACTACTGGAGGAAGCTATGAGTGGAGGAAAAGGAGTGTTGAGTGAAGACGAGGAGCAAGAGATCGCGAGTGCGCTGGGCATCCTATATCTTGGTAAGTCGTTTCGTCTGCGGAGGATGGATCCTTCGAGCTAAGCGCGCACCATGTTTCGGTTTCTGAAGCTGGGACGGACACCGTGCGTCGCTCTCTTCAAACTTGATTGGCTGAGTATACTTCAACGAACACCGATGCAACAGACGACGTCGTTGGTCTCCGCCTTCATCCTCCTGATGGTCCTGCATCCCGACGTCCTCCACAAGGCTCAAGCAGAGGTCGACAACGTGATCGGAAACGCGGGCCTGCCCGCGCTCAGCGATCAAGCGGCGCTCCCGTACTTGGATGCCGTCCTCAAAGAAGTGTACCGGTGAGCATCGACTCGGAGGTTATCGACACCGCGCGGATTGATTGCGTGATGCTGTTTCACCTTCGCGTAGCTGGACTGCGCCTGCACCTGTTGGTAAGACATCGTATAACACATCCCAACGTGAACACATCGATGACGTCTGACCCCACAGGTGGGCCTCACCAGCTCACCGAGGAGGACGAGTTTGCTGGCTTCGATATGCCCAAGGGGTCTACAGTGTTAGCCAACATTTGGTACGCTCAAAAGCATTCTTGCTGTGCATCTGCTGCTGACGCTGTATCCATTGCCGGGTGTCGTCGACGTTCAAGGGCAATGTCTCGCGACGAGGAACACTATCCTGACCCAGAGACGTTCGCCCCGGAGAGGTTCCTGGGCGTGACCGAGGAAGTTGCACAGACGCGGGACCCACACATGTTCGTATTTGGCTTCGGCAGACGGTGCGCTGAGTGTGGTCCTCGCAGCATACGGTGCACATTGACACGCATCAACAGCATCTGTCCTGGCCGCGTGCTAGCCGACTCGAGCATCTTCCTCGCCGCGGCCAACCTGGTCGCGGTCTTTGACATCAGACCGGCGAGGACACTGGATGGCAAGGAGATCATCCCTGTGCCTGCATTCACGTCTGGGACAGTGAGGTGCGTCGGTCTTCCTTGGTGACGTGGGAGTGCATTCTGATCTCGCGGAAGGAGCCCGAAGCCATACTTGTGCGACATCTCTCCGAGGTCAAGGAAGAAGGTCGACCTTGTTCTGGGCACAACGGCTCCCTGGTAACTCTAGCACCCCGGGGTCCGAGTCTGGGATAGGGCACTACCGTTGTATCTCGCCTGTTGGATCTGCAGATCTGCTTAAGTACCTTAGTAGTAGCTGTATCACCTCATTGTCAATGCTAAGTCTACACAGACATTGCCACGGAGGACGACGTCGCGCCCGAGGCATTGTAGGCTGTCACCAGTGCGTTGTACGCGTCGATGACCCGGTTCGCGAGGAGCTGCCGGGCTCCACCTCGAGTATGCTCTTGGTTGTGGCGGCGCTCACTGCGCTGCTATATACCGTCGTGCTGAGTATCGCCCACGCATCCTGGGTGGCAGCCGGGAGGGGGCTGATTAAGTAGCGCCGTGCCACCCAGGACTCGACGTAGCTGCGGCGGTGGCGTTGAGCGGGGCCGCCGACCACGCCCGGTCGAGCACGATGTCGTATACAATCTCGTTTCCTTCCTGCCCTTCCATCGTGAGGCCCACGCCTTTCATACCCGGCGAAGCCGCGAGGACCGGAGACCAGCGCGAGGAGGTTGCCCTCGACACCCATGTTCCCACCGAGGTCGTGCACCTCGCACCAGACCCATAGTAGGACGCCGTCTGCTGCCACTGCGGGTACACCTCCGAGAACAGATCACGGATGATCATGCTGTCGCTGCCAGGGACGCCGCCCAAGTACGCGGAGACGCGGTGCGGCGTCGAGAACGTCTCGTCGCAGTAGAAGAGCCAGCCCTGCATCATCCACACCGCCTCGGGATCCGCAGCCCGAGCGCAGCGAACGTCTCGCGGGAGATGTCCGCCAGGTACGCCGTGTCGCCGCTGTAGGGCACGTTCTCGCTGTACTGGTCGAGCGTGTAGACACGCGAAACGTCCGCGCCATACGCGGCGTGCTGCCTGGTGACGAAGAACGTCTGCATCGCGGAGAGGCCGTTCCACGGCTCGAGGAACGGCACGCTCGTCAGATTGACCGGAAGAACACCCCACGACCGACGCGCTGGGATACAGCTGCGCCAGTGCGCGGGGCACGAAGCCCGTGGAGGCAGGGAGGGCGGGCGTCATGCCGAGCTCGTACATCCGCGCGACGTCTGTTGCTGCAGCGCATGCTGCCCGTCGATCCACGCGGTCGGCAGCGGGCCGCCCCAGCTGCCTTGGACGTTTCCGAAGCGGTTCCACGCGTGGAATGCCGGACTAGAAAGCAGATGTCCCCGTCCGAGAGCCCGACCTCGTGGAAGACTTGGACGAGGATGTTTTCGTGGCCAGCCCACGCGAGGGGAAGGTTGACGCCGCGCAGAGCAAGCCCGTCAAGCTGGGCCTGCCATTGATCCCAGTCACGGTGTCGGTCCCCGCAGTGATCGTCAAGACGGGGCTCAGCAGGACTGCCTGACATGGAGACAGAGAAAGCCCTACCCGCACACAGCGTCCCTGGGGCACCCTCGCCGCCGAGTCCGTCTTCCCCCGTCACACGCCCTCTCCCCGCACACTCTCCGATCGCCAGCGAGGCCGTCGTAGATCAGCAGACGCCCATAATCGGACGGACAACGCTTGCCATCTCCTGGACCGTCTGGTAGGGCGTGTCTTCCGGATCCGTGGCCTCGACAGCTCTGTGCGGTGGCATGCCTGGCGCGGATGCCGGGCAGCCACGCACTGGCAGGCAGATCCCCCACTACACACACGGGGCCGAATCCTCCCAGCCCGTGTGCGTCGACCACGTACGAGTCGGGGAGGGATCCACCGGGGCCACTGCCAACGAGCCACGCCGAGTCGTATCCCGTCATCCGTCGACCGGATGGGGACGTCGCCGTCCGAGTCCCCGGGCCACGCCGTGCGCCGCCAACCTCGAAGACTATCCCTGCGGCGTGTCTGTCGCAGGCGCACCAAAAAGCGACGACGTCGCGCACTACAGTGCACCGCACCGTGCCGGCTGACACACAACGTCCTCCGGACTGCACGAGATCGAGCACCCCCGTGCGCTGCGTTGGGCGCTGACCGTCCGCGGAACCCCTCGCGATGGACGCGTGTCGATACCCCCGCCCGATGCGTGCCCAGGTATCGTCGTCCGGACTCGACGCGAGGTCTTCTGTCCACCCGACGCGACGGAGCGCATGAGGTTGATTGACTGCTTCTGAGACGCATGCGCTGTCAGTCACTCAGAAGTGATTGAACCACATGTCCGTGGATGACCTGACGTGTTCCTGAAGCCTCGACCCCAGGGCGCGCAATCCTACGGAACACCATAAGTATGTGCCGCGGTCGCCTCAAGCGAAGCACCGTTGTCCAAGGAGCATCGGCACACGGAGGACGCGAGTGTGGACCCCGGGCAACCGCGTCTAAATCGCATAGACTCACAGTTGCATACAGCAGGAGATGATGCGCATCGCCACGACGCACTTCCCGTCCCATGCGACTGTCTTGACCAAGATGCAGCGTACGGGCACGCGCATCCGGCACAGCTGAGGCTCACGCGTGTCAGCTGCCACGTCTCCGGAGGAGCGGAATGCATTGATCTGTCACAGCCCTCTCGACCGAGCCCGACGTCGCTGATGACCAGCAGCCGCGGCCGCATTCGCTGTCTCGACCATCTCTCCTCGCAGCCCAGTGGTCCGTGTGGCCGAGGTTACAGTCGCAGGCGGCGCACGAGCCGCTGACGGCTTGCACTCGCTGTGAGCCAGGGAAATGCAAAGTACGTACGAGTCGGTTTCGCGCGTTGGTCGAGAGAGATGGTCAGAGACAGTCGAATTCATGAGGAGCCATCGGTGCACACGCACAGTCGAGCGGTGGCTGCCCGCGAAGTTCACCATAGGCCATGTACGCGGCAAAGGGCATGCCGCTCAGGCAGGTGAAAACGCCGCGGTGAGAGACCTGGAGCGCGGTTCTCAGCCACGCGTGCACGCTGGATTGCGAGCGACACGCTTTCGTCCCCAGCAGTACTTGGAGAGCCAGCTCGCTGTATGCGGCATATTGTGCTGCGGGACACGCGGCCACGTATCGAGAACGGGCCTGCAAGGTGTCCACCTCGACCCCGGTGACGTCACTCATGCCCGCAGGCGCAGACACGATCGACCTCGTCACGGACGTTCCTCGACGTCACCCGTGGCAGGTCTCGAGCTACCAGCCTGGCATAGACTCGCTCGTCGCCCTCTCTACGCCCACCATCGGGGCCAAATTCAACGACTGCACCCGTGCTCGATGTGCCTCCTTTGGTGGCCCCCGCGCCCCGCATTCCGATCGCGGAAAGTGGCGGCTCAGTGGAAAAGCACCGAACCTGCCGACTTAGTTAGCAGTCGTTCTCACACGGCTCTCTGGGACAGGTCGCGGTCCACTCGCGATTCGTTGTGCTGTCCTGACGCCCGTCTCACCGAAGAAACGGCACAGACGGGTGCGCAGCGGTCCACAGTGCAGCTGAGGGAGGCCAAACCGACCAACGCACCATACGCTGTGGTCTGGCATCTCAGTGGCGTAGGGAATCGACCCACTGGGGGGTAGCGACTCACCAGGGGGTAGATCTATGACTGTACGCGTGTAGGTCTTGGAGTTCGACCGCGACACAGTGCATCGATGCCGTGCAGGGTAGGACCGAGCGACATGGTTCACGGTTGCAAGCTGTGCACGAAGCTACAATTTGAAGTCCGTGCGACAGGCGTCGCGCGCCGATGCGTAGTAAAGTGAATCCAGACGCGCGTTGAGACGTGCAAGTGCGAGGCCCTACACCGAGATCAGAGTTCGGCCTCTTGGTGACAAGTATGCCGTTTTCCAGGCAGAGCATGAGATGTGCGCTATCTACATACACAGTTGTATGCGTTTCGGTTGACTGGAAGTAGGGGCCGGACGGGGTTGCGTGTACGCACGACCCGCTGGCTGCAGGCCGCCGGAAGACACCGACGGACTTCCCACGATCGCGGCAGCTCCTGGGCCATTCACAGTGATTCACTGCTCTCGTTTGTTTCGTTGCGAAGATGGGCATAATCACTGCGCGTGCTCAGCAGGCGAGCTCATATGCATGGTAAGCTTGACGTTCAGACTGCATTATCCAGAATAGTCTGTGGATCGCGACCGCCAGCTTCATAGACTCCGTCATTGCGCGCACGCATGTCTTCCAGCGCAAGCTCCCGTTGGCTATGCGGGTGCCAGCATTGGTTGTTCCTCCCTTCTTAAATGAATCTAGAAGCTTTGAAGCTCGCCATCCATATCGAGGACCACCCACGCGACAACTCGAAACGCAATGCATGTCGTATGTAGTACGGGCGAAAGTATCGGCGTGTGTATCCATCGTCGCCGAACGACTCACTGCGAATCCGGTGTATGATCGCAGTCCTCCAACTGACTGGTGGTTCGGGGCTCGTCGGCCGTGTCATCCTGCGTAGGTAGTTTGACAAATCCCGCCTGGCCGGATGGCCAGCACTGTGCCGTCCTACCCCTCAGTGTGAGCATCGTGTATTTCTGTCACAGGCCGGCTGATTCTGGCTTACAGTTCAAACACTCATGACTTACGCATCCAGGAACACGCCGGCAGGCCCCAGGGACAGCACCGGCATGCTATTAGCGTATGTATGCACACAATAGAGTAGTGCTTACGTGGGCCCTACGACGTAGGGAGGTGCCAGAGAGGCTAAGCACCGATGACACGCCATTGCTTGTTCCCAATATTGTCAGTTTCTACATCCGTATGGGGGAGAGGCCGGTCGATACTTACGTCCCCCACCCAAAACAGGCACAGAGGGGCACGAGCGCGTCCTCCTCCTACGAAGCCGATCCGGCTCGGCACCGCTGGACCACTCAGGCTGGCAGAATAGCGCCGTCTTCCATCTTGTCTGCCGCTTCTGGCCCATCTCCGCTCGCCCGCCGTTTCTTTGTCTTCCACTCGCACTACTACTAGACTCGCAGCGATTCGACCCTTGTTCGAACCTCCTGACAGCTGGGCTAAACTGGTATACTCCAACGCCGTTCAGCCCCCGCCGACTCGGAGCGTGGAGATACGCAGTGCACCCCCTGGCCACTGCAGCGATGTGGGTCGCTCCAGCCATCACACCTCACACACCCTTGTACAACTTTGCCGCGAATTCTACTGCAGGTTCCTACGTTGTGGTCAGGAGGAATGTCCGTGCGGTTGTTCGCTTCAACTTGAACTGTCCCCAGGCCGCAGGGTAGATCGGCTCGTGCACATGGACGCACACGTCTGGGCCGCTACACCGCCTGAACATAACCATCCGGTTCAACCGCCACGTCTGTGCTGAGAGGCTTGATAATTCCTCTCGCGCCTACCTCAGCAACGCACGACGCCCCAGCGCAGCACGGAGCTGCAGCCGCTGGACCGCGCAGGAAGTCAGAAAGTTGATCATACAGGTCGTTATTGATATTACAGTTCGTCCGACATCGTTCGACATGAGGGGTAGCGTGAGGTCCGTGAACAGTCCCGCGCCGCCGCCAGTACTAGTGCCACGACGCAGTCCTATCGACTCGCAAGATGCGAAGCCTCAACGGCACCGGCGCATGGTTCGGTTCGTAGCGCACTTAGTTTCCGTTCCTGACGGAGCCAAGGCCAGCGCGCTACGAAGACCGGTCCGCGCGCAGAGCGGCGCGGACGCGCTCGCCGCTCCTCTTCGAGCGCGGGCGGATGTCGCACGCGAACGGCTTCGGATGGCTGTCCCGCACGCGCGCCATGAGCATCCCAGTAAGCTAACAGCGCACCACGCGCTCACCTCACGGAGCCCGACGCGAACTGCACCTCGGGCGTGATCTCCGCGCCCGCGGGCGTGCGCGCCTTGCGGATGTCCAGCGTCGCGAGGATCTGCGCGGCGGCGAGCCAGATGCTCGCGTCGGCGAGGAAGCGGCCGGGGCATATCCTGGGGCAGACAGGCTGGTCGGTCAGAGGGATGGGTGGGTGGATGGATGGATAGGGGGGTGCGTACCGTCGGCCGAACCCGAAGACGTATCTCCGGGGGTCGCTGAAGTCGGACTCGGCGGGCGTGTCGAGGAACCGCGCGGGGTCGAACCGCTCGGGCTCGGGATAGTGTTGTTCGTCGCGCGTCATGGCCCTGTGGGACGGGTCAACGTCCGAGTCGGGCAGACTGGGAGAGCGCGCGGAGGACGGACCAGATGTTGGAGAAGACGGTGGAGCCGCGAGGCATCGTGTACCCCATGTGCTCGTCGTCTTCCAGGAGCTGGTGGGGCACGCCTACATATCCCCGTCCGCCTGCGTCAGACTCATCGCGCCGTCTGTGCGGGCACCTCGACTCACCGAGAGGCACTGGCGCACACCATCTGAGAACGGGCGTGAACAGGCCGCCACGGGTATCGCAAATGGAAAACGGCGTACCTGTAGACTTCCATGATGATGGCGTCCAAGTACGGTAAGGCATCCCGGTCACCCATGTCGGGGAGCCGCGCGTCGCCGACGACACGGTCGAGCTCGGCCTGCGCCTTCCGCTGGATCTCCGGATGCAGGACCATCGCGAGCACGAAGCATTGGAGCGTGGTTGCCGTCTGCACCCGCACATCAATACCGCGCATACATACACACGACGACGTCTACTCACCGTATCCGTCCCGGCTAACGCACGACACGCGGCTCAGACGGATGTCATCCACCACGAAAACGAGGCTCTCACCCGCATACAGCGCGCCCAGGGCAGAGGCGATCTCGCGCTCGTCCGCGACGCCCAGCTTCCCGTCTTTCATGGTCTCCTCCAAGATCGACGAGGCTATCGATGGTTTCAGTGTGCCGTCCGCCTGCATACACACACATCAGGCTACGAGACGTCCGCGACCTCGCACTCACCATCGCCTTTGGACGCGTCTGAGCGGGATGTACTCCATGTCCCGGATCGAGCCCTGGACCTGCCTCGCGAGGCGCTTGAAACCGGCGCCCGGCATCCACGCGGGCAGGTACTTGACTGAAGGGAGGCGGATGTGAGTGGGATGGTTCATTCAAGTGGCGAATGACACTCACGGACAGGGAAGAAGTCGATCAGCATGGCCGCCGGGCCGCCAGACTGGAACACGGACTCCACCGCATGGTCGACGTGCTGGATGAACTCGTCGTCCATGGACGAGATGGAGATGCCGTAGCCGAGACCCATGATGATCGCGACGGCATACCTGGGGCGGCCCATGAACCCGACGCGCGACGGATAGAACGGGGAGCGACTCACTTCTTGACGTGCAACATGAACCCGTCAGGGGTCTGCAGCAGGTCGGACAGCAGCTTGTGCGCCTCGGCCGTCTGGAGCGGCCGGTAGCTGTCGACGACGGCTTTGCTCTCGAAGGCGGCGCGGTACCAGCGGCGGTGGCGGCGCCACTGCTCGGTGTACTGCATCAAGACGAGGTTCCGCCACTCGATGCTGTCGCGACGGGTGAGGCCGTCAGCTCCGTAGTGGCGTCGCGCGGCGACGTACATCTCATTGTGAAACGTGAAGGACGGGCGGCCAGAGTACTTTGCGCCCTTCTTGTCCAGGAGCGCGCGGCACGCGTCGACGGAGTTGAGGACGAGGACGGGCGTGCTGAAGAAGCGGGCGTAGACGACGTCACCTGGCGTTGCACGAGTGAGCGCGGGCGCGGGCGCAAAGACGTGCGGACGGGACTGACCGTACTGCGCCCCCCACTCCTTGAACGTTACGTGCTGGTAGTGCGCGGGAAGCTGGTGGATGTTCCCCAGGAACGGTAGCCGCTTTGGGCCGGGGGGATAGCGGCGACCCCCCTTGATGCGGCTCCAACTGGCATAGACGAGCCAGAGAGCAACGACGGCGGCCCCGACGTAGCCAGAGGCATGGGGGGTAAGGAGACCTACTGGGGAGCGCTCGCCGATCATCCGTGCCAGTGGACCGTGGAATGGGGCGTCGCCTCTCGCGATAACTTGTACTTATGGCGGATGGAAATCGCCAGCGTCACTGCCGCGGGATCAGACCAGCAGGTGGACCTCATATGCGCGGGCCACACGGGAACGCGCGCGCTGGGCAGACGACGATTGGCATGCACACAGGTGCGTACGAACTAGCGTTCGCCGCCGGCGGCCTGCATTTTTCCCGAAGAGTCGACGCGTTCTTCGATCGGCATGTTGGGCGTGCTTCGGCGGGTGATGAGACGAGATGAACGCACCGAAACGACTGCCCGATTGGGACGGGTGGATGCAGTGCGCCCTAGCGTGCACTGTGACGTTGATCTCCGCTCGATACGCAGTGCGCTGCTGCCAGACCACCTCGATTGTCCACGCAGCTAGCGGAGACGTGCCTAAAGTCCGTCGGAGGGGATGAACCTTCAGAACCACGCCACGTGAGGGAGTCGCCACCGCGAGAGCGAGATTGAGACGAACCTGCTAAGGTAAGCACGCAGGCCTGGAAACAGTTGCTGCGTAATCCTCGTAGCTCCGTAGTCTCCGTTACAGCAGCTCCGGGTCTCTCGGTGATAGGTAGTTGCTTTCCATCCTGGGCTTCTCACACGAGACGTCTCTTTGCGACGGCGATGGCGCTAGCACTGTGTCGCAGTCGGAGAGTCTTGAGCCTGGAAGACCATCCATCTTCCGCCGACCAGCGAACGCGAGCGTACACGTTGCACGCGCGAGACGCAAGATATGTTCTAGCAGCGGTCTAGCATCCGTCACGAAACGGACAGAGAGCGGGCCCACAACGCGTAAACGCCGGACGGAGCGTATACATGCGGTCGCGTGACGGCGGCGGACACGGGCCGGCGAACATGGACGGACCCACTCGTCCGGCGAGCGCCTTCCTGATCTGACAGGAACCCACCCGATCGCTGCAACGTGTCTGCTAGTGCGCAGAAGAGGGGTTAGTTCACACTCCAAGTCATATTCACGCTGGGAGTGCTCTGATAGAGCAAGGACCAACTCAAGTATCATGATATATGACAACCGTCTGATGCGCCTGGTACTACTTCCGCTGTCTTGAAGAAGACATGACGGAGACATGTCAGTCAGAATGGCGTACAGTAGCATCGCGCTGGGGCTCTAGGCGCCGGGCTAATCCACTCCGGTACCGTACACGGTGCACGTTCCCTCTCTCGTCCTCGGAAGCCTGTGGTTCTAAGAAGCCCGCGCACCTCAAGTTCCGCTCGTTCCAGCAAAGACAAGACACCATCGAGATCCGACACCATCCCCGCTAAATCGCAGTGCGCCCGTGTCCGAAGGGTTTGGCACTGGCAGGTCGGCTACAACTCGTTGTAGGTGGACGTCGCTTGACGTCGGGGCTGCCATGACTGGACGAAACCAGACAAGATATCTGTGCAGCGCAGTGCCCGAAGTTCGCACCGTTTCCCGTTAGACGTGTACTCCTAAGATGCATGTTCCCGGGCCCACCGCTCACCTACTCGAGCCAGCTGACGGGCCGCTGACGCCCTCATTCAGATAGACCTCAGACAGGCCCTGGAGGTAATCTTAACGCGGACGCCCGGGTCGTCGCGCGCCCCGCACAACGCCCGCCGCAAGATCCTGCAGTGGACACTTCGGGGGAGGAGGACGTGCCCGCAGCTCGATTACTTCGGACGACGTCTCACGGGGAACATCGCGTACAGTCTATTCTGGTCGTCCGTCCGCCGCCAGAATAAGATCTGCTGCCCTCGCCGACCTAGCACGAATCTCGCACGCGAATGCCTTCGGGTGCCTGCCGCAGACATGAGTAATCATTGTCTTCCCTCGCGGAGCAACACGATCTCACCTAACAATTCCGCTATTGAAAGACGGCACAAAAGGCAGCTCCGTCCCATCCGGCGCCCTGGGCTTCCGAATGTCAAAGACTGCGATGGCGCTGGCCGCGGCGATGAATACAGTCGAGTCGGCCAGGAGGCGTCCGGGGCATAATCTGCACCACAAGATTAAAATGTCAGATCAACCAGCGTCGTCCTCGCGCCGAGGGTGATTCTAGAGGTGCGCACCGTCTTCCGAACCCGAACACAACTCTGCGCGGATCGGTCTCCTCGGCCTTGTCGTCGCTCAGCCCTAAGAACCGCTCGGGAGCAAACGTATCGGGGTCTGAGTACAACTCGTCGTCGCGCAACATCGCCCTGCATGCGGAGAGCGTCAGCGAGTCGACGATCAGGAGGTACTGTGAACGGCATACCAGATGTTCGTGAAGACCATGGACCCTTTCGGCATGTGAAAGCCCTCGTACTCGTCGTCTTCTGTGAGCTGATGGGGAACACCTGGAAGCTCGTCCGTCATGTCTGGGTGGATCAGGAATATCAAAGACAATGGCATACCCATTGGAACGGGAGCGAGCCAGCTGTCAAATAGTGGGCATTACTGTAAGTGACACAAACCGTGTGCACACACCACGTACCGGTATACTTCCTTCAGGACCGCCTCCAGATATGGAAGCGCCGGCCGGTCGCTGAACTCTGGGAGACGGGAGTTTCCGACTACGCTGTCGATCTCCGCCTGAGCCTTTTTCAAGACTTCCGGGTGGAGAACCATCGCGAGGATGAACGTCGAAAGCACCGTCGTCGTCTTCACCGGCTCTTTAGCAGTGTAGAACAGAGCGAAGTTGATCTCCACGTACCGTATCTGTCCCCGCTGATTTGTTGCTCAATGATCTGCATTTGATGATGTAATCGAGGCCACTCACCGGCGTACATCATCCCCAAAGCAGATGCAATCTCCCACTCTTCTGCTTCGTCCAGCGTGCCAGTATCCATTGCTTCTTCGAGTAGCACCGTCGCAACGGATGGCCGTGCAATCCCTGCCGCCTGCCAACAACATTCAAATCTCGTACAAGGGGAGTCCAACTAGTAGGTGGGTGATTCACCATCTCGCGCTTCACGCGCTCCAGCGGGATGCGCTCCATGTCTTTGATGAGGCCGCGCGCGCGGAGGCCCCTGCGTTTGAACCCCATGCCAGGCATCCACGCAGGCACGTACTTCACTGTGTACAACGACGATGCTGATGAGCTGCCTGTGCCATCACGAGCGAGGACCCAAGATGACATACAGAGTGGTATGAAGTCAACGAGCAGGGCCGATGGCCCTCCGGCTTCGACGACGATCTGCAAAGCTTCGTGGACCCTCTTGATATAGACATCGTCCATGGTGGACGGAGAGTAGCCGTACGCGATCCCCAGCATGAGAGCCGCGACGTAGCTAGGACATGCCCGCGACGTCAAAATTTGACCCTGAATCATGTCTCTGGTAGGGCATCTACGCACCGTTTGACATGTATCAAGGCGTCGTCCGGTTTATGCAGCAGGTCGCCGAGGAACGCGCGTACCTCGGTACACTGCAGCGGCTCATAGGCGTTACGCGTGTTCCGTGCTTGCAGTGCAGTTTGGAACCATCGGCGGTGGCGCCGCCATTGATCCGTATATGTCATGTTTACCACCTGAATCCAGTCAACGCTGTGAGCGCAAATAAGCGTTGTTAGATCGTGATGCATTCAGTGTTGAGCGACCCTCAGAAGTCCCCAGCATTCCAGCTGTTGTAGAAACGATAGGCCGGCCTGCACTGGGGGTGTGTGTGGAGCTGGGTTTGGCCGACGAGCACTAGTACTGTCTCTGAGCGGCAACGGTGGGCTGTGGCCAGTGTGTGACTTCGCCAACCGTCGGCCATCTCGCCACACCCCCGCGCGCGAGCGGGCTATCGTTTCTACAACAGCTGTCATGTAGAAGGGGCTTACATTTCATTTACGAAGACGGTCGGCGGCCTCCCTGAGTACTTTGTGCCGCGCTTCTCAAGGAGCGCACGTGCAGTGGATGCTCGGTTCAGTACCAAGGCAACTTTGTTCAGGATACGTGCGTAGACAACATCGCCTAGTACACCGAAAGACACGAGTGTGATTGACAGTTCGAATTGGACAATAAATATGGGCGCACCATAGCGCTTTCCCCACTCGGCGAATGTACGCTCTTGATAGGTCATGGGAAGTTGATGGAGGTTCCCGAGGACCGGCAAACCGGGTGGTCCAGGAGGTAGATGGCGACTAAGCGGCTTAGTGCGAAAGTGGCTAATGAGTATGAGCACGCATACAAACACAGCAAACCCCAGTTGGAAAGGAGACAATACAGAGTACGTTTGCAGGTAATTCGTCAGCCCTTGAAAAGCCATGATCGATTGAGCGAAAGGGTGAGGGACGAAATGTCTTTTAAGTTTGTTGCGAACGATGTCTCCTTTATAGACGCGGGCAATGACGTTTCACGACACGGGAGAAGCTGTATGCATTTCGTATTGGCTGTATGTTTCCGTGATCTTCTGGGAGCAAATCGCAGACTGTCCGCACGAAATGGAAGTCCAGTCTTCGCGATACGACAGAAGATGGACCGTGAGTGGATGGTCGTTCAATGCATCCCCACGGTGGTGAGAAGCCGGGAGGTGAGAGTGTGCGTGGCCTTCCAAAACCGAGAGTCCTCGCCGTATGTCATGCGTCTTCAAAAAACATTCACCTAGGTGCGATGCTACGAGCAATTTGGCGGGTGCCAAGCCTGAGCGTAGTAGCGAGTGAAGGTGAAACGCACCCTTGCCTGGTAGGCACCGCATTTCAAGCCTTCTTTCAGTATCATTACATGGGCCATTAACGGTTCTGCGTGAAGAATTCCGCGCGCGAAGTGAAGACCAGGCACCGCGATATCCGGCCCCGGACGGCGGAAAGACGATCGACCATTTCCGGCGAGTCTGAGGCTTGCTATCGCCATGTCACGTCCGCCGCCGCCCACGGGATGATTGAGCGAGACCCCGAATTGTACGAATTCGAAGCAACTTGATCAGAACGGTATCTCGGGATGTACACTTGTCATCAATACGCAGAGGGCTTGGAGAGGGCCCCGGGCGCGCATCGTCTAGTTCGGCAGGCGGTGAGTAGCATTCTCGACGATAATTGACGCCATACTTGTAGGTTGTGGGGATACATGCCATTAAACTAGGCATTCATGAAGCGGACTACGCACCAATATACTTCTTTGAGGATAGTATCCTGTATAGGAGTACCACCTGATCGCTTGTAGCCGGTAGCCTTGAGTTCCCGATGACGGTATGATCTCCATTTGTGTCTTATGGAAGGCTGTCTGGGTGTAAAACCACAAGCAGGATGAACGTCGAGACCACCGTCACTGTCTGTGGTCAATATTCATGCTGAAGAAATCTGAACAATATGCAACGTACCGTATCTGTTCCGGCTGGAATAATCACGCAGTGGTTGGTCACGTTTAGGCATCCGCGCTATATGACCTACTTACCGCCGTATACTTTCTGACGCCGACGGGATCTATTGGTCTCGGCTCCGCCCAGTGATTGCCCATTTGCTGCTTCCTCGAGCAATACCGTCGCGCGATGCATGGCTGTGCAATCCCTACAACCTATAACCAGGATACGATATGGATGCAACAAACGCAGACACATTACTCACCATGTCGCGCTTGACGTCTTCAAGTGGGACGTATTTCAAGTCCCGGGGAGACTATATGCACAGAGGCCCCAGTACTTTCACTTCATGCCAGGCATACACGCAGGCAATGATTTCGTTAAGGGTGACGACGCGCCTACGGTAGAAGCCTGCCGGCCTAGAAGAGATGCAATGCGTTCTCGGTCATCTTGATGTACCCGTAGCCCAAACTGGAGGGCGAGTATCCGCACCCAATGCCGAGCATCAGTACGGCGACGTATCTGCAAATTTGCGCTGTTCTGCCACCTCAGTCGCTAAGCGTTCAATCTCGAGACGTGACACGACCTACCTGAACCACGACAAACTTGATCCTGTCGTGAATGTGATCTGGAAATACGTCAAGATCACGCAGACTATACACGGCGGATGTACGAGCTCCGGGAACCTCAAGGGCAAACGTAAGGGCCGGAAGTAACTGGTAACTGTACACATATTGTGAGCAACTTGAACGCTGGTCTCTCGAATACTTATCATATCCTCGGCCCGCCGTACTGACAGGTCCGCGACGTTCTAAACATTTTATAAATACGTGGTCCAGCTACCGCACAGAACCAGAGCAAGGCCATGATCAATCAGCTCACCTGTACAGATACGCCGCGATTGGGCTGCTGTTACGAATTGTTGCGAGACGTGAAACCCGAAGACGCCGCAATCCAAGCGAGCACTGAATGAATGCACATAGTCATATCGGCTATAACAGTACGGGACTGTATCAACTTCCACGAGTAGATCAAGAAACCGCAGCGAAGAGATGGGTGCCAATGCCATTGAATATGTTCTCCGTGAGAAGCACATCCACGAGTCGCATGCTTTCCCCATAAGACTTGTTGCAGCCGTAGGTTCGTTGAATTCGCAAGAGGCTAGATCGTAGCCTGAGTTACGATACACCTAGCTACGCCCAGCTGATAGCATGATGGACACGAGTGCATGACAGTTACGTACGTGCGCGGGTAGCGGTAATGAAGTGAAGAAGACACGTCTGTGGCACCAACTGCATCTCAATCTGTGTTGGAGCTCCGCCTGAATTCCTGTGGCGTTCAACTGCATGCCAACACAGGCTGGGTCGATTCGACCACACAGCGCAGACTTGATGCTTCATTCGAGTGTTACCGTCTCTGGCTCGTTGCCCGGAATGTTACTCCTGAAGCCTTGTTCCGCGAGTATATTTGCCGGGTTAGACACGTCAGAAGTGAGAGGTATGTTCTCTTAGTACTATGTGTACTACTCCGAGTCGTAGCGAGGCTCATTGGACTGGCAGCTAGCTGTCATGCTTCGTGAACGGTCAAATTATCGTTACTGTGCAGTTATCGCTGTGACGAGCGCAGGGGATCTGAGGTTCGCAGCGCTTTTTGTACGATCCAGTGTTCCTCCTGGTTAGCATGGTCCGACATATTCGGATCGAGCCGGGAAACCTTCAGTACCATTCAGGTGTGCGAACGCTCTGTATTTCATGACCATCTCGTCATTCATACCCTGCCATCTGCTCACATCGCTTCTGCGCTGAGGCTAGGTGTCACTACGTTCCCCAGACTCCCAATAGCAATAGACAACTCACCGCGCCAAGCATCGCCGAGAACGGTGCGCATCGCTCTCGAGACCTCCAATTCAATCGCGTGAGCAGCCCATCAGGCGTGCGGGGCGTGCCAGAGGGGCGCATCAATGAACACTCCATCTTCTAGGGTCCCGTGCTACATACTCGTCGATGTCGAGATGCCGCTGCCATGAGGACCCGCATTAGCGCCCGCTAGCGGTTGAGGGTCCTATTTCACTGCAGTATAAAGGGTCAGCAGGTACGGGGCGGCGGGCGGTCGTACATGCTCCCGAGTCGACGATGTCCCTGGTGCTTGATCTGTGTGCCACCGCTGTCCTGGGGACTGCGATAAGCATCGTCTATTGGGTACTGAAGCAATGGTGGCTCGACGCACAGTACGGGACGTTCTTACCACCAGGTCCGAGGCGGATACCGCTGGTCGGAAATGCTCATCAATTGGGGCTTGATGGTCAACACAAGACACTTTCAGACTGGAGCAAGCGCTACGGTGAGTTGATACTTCACTCAGTAAGTGGAAGACGCGCTCACAATATCGCGGCTCCGGGCAGGAGATGTCATCTTCATGCGCGTCTTCAACAAGCCGGCACTCGTGCTGAACTCTGCCGAGGCCGCGCGCGACCTCCTGGACAAGCGAAGTGCGAAGTACTCCGACAGACCTCACTTTACACTCCTCGTCGACATGTCCGTACGTACATGACCTATTCGTCACGCTCGCTCCAGCTCTTCCTGCAGGTTCGGCTCGGATCCAAATCCTGCGCTCATGCCATACGGCCCGTGGTGGAGGCAGCACCGAGTATGGCTGCACTCCGGCCTGATGGACAAGGACAATCTCGTTGGGTACCAGCCTATCTTGCGCAAGGGGACAGGTAGACTCCTCTCGACACTCATCGATTCGCCGGATGATTTTATCGCACACGTTAAAAGGTCAGTTTGTGTATTTTCCTAGCCCGTGCGGCAATCAAGCTCCGAAGCTGAAGCATTGCAACAGGTTTGTGGGTGGTTTGATGTTGGAAATCGCATACGGGCATACGGCTGCGTCTGCAGATGACGAGCTAATCATGCTGGCAGACACCGTGGTCCGCGAAGCGATGGATGAAGGCAGCATTGCGGGAACGCTGGTCGATTATTTTCCGTCTCGTGAGGCTCTGCGAATATTTCATGTTGCCGCGCTGGGCGATCTGATGTTACTCAACAGTCAGATACATACCTGCCTGGTTTCCGGGCGGTGGATTCAAGCGACGAGCTGCCCGGATCCACGGTATGATGCGCGAGATGTACGATCGGCCGTACGAGCAGGCAAAGGCAGCAGTGGTAAGTCCCGAGTACTACCTCCTATCACCTTGCTCAAGCTACTTCTCCGTAGTCGCGTGGAACGGCAAGGCGTCGTTCTTGACTACCTTGCTCGAGAGCTTGGCCACGGACGGCGACTTGACGCCCGAACATGAAGAGCACCTGAAGGGCGCTGCGATCGTTCTATATACAGGCAAGCCCCAGCAGCTATTAACATGTACATGGCTCGCTGAATGTGTATTTTAGGCGGCACGGATACGGTGCATGTCACAAGCCTCTACTGCAAAATCTCGCGCTGACTCGATCGTGTACGACAGACGAGCACCGTCCTCGCGAGCTTCTTTCTCGCCATGACCCTGTATCCTGAGGTCGTCAAGAAAGCGCAAGACGAGATCGACCGCGTCGTCGGTAATGCGCGATTACCCGACTTCGAAGACAGAAGCTCCCTCCCGTACCTCGAATGCATCTTGTCCGAGCTATATCGGTACGCCCCGCTTCCATTTCCCCCAAAAGCTCCCTGCTTTGATTGTCTAGCCAGATGGAACCCCCCACTGTATCTCGGTACGTGTCTAATACCAGTTTCTATGGATAATTATTCATGCCGCAACAGGTGTCCCGCATCGTCTCACGACAGACGACGATTACCGGCGCTGGCACATCCCCAGAGGCTCTATGATCATTCCCAACATATGGTGAGTCGTCGGCTCTCATTTTCGGTAGAGTATGGTATAGTGGAAACGTGGCTTCTCATTGGCAGGTGGATGCTACGGAATCCAGAACGGTACCCCGCCCCGGATACATTCCACCCAGAACGCTTTCAGGAGATGGATCCGATCGTAGCCGACGCCACAAATCCTCGCAACCTAGTCTTTGGTTTTGGTCGGCGGTACGTGCGTTATGAAGTATGAGGTATCTAAGACTGACGTCGATCTCGTTTCCGTCAACAGAATATGTCCCGGACGCCAACTTGCGGACCAGACTCTGTGGCTCGCTATCGCAAACATCCTAGCCGTGTTCAACATCCATAAGGCACGCGATGCGGATGGAAATGAGATCACGCCGGAAGCTGTGTTTGTGTCGGGAGGTATCAGGTATGCGTCCAGAAGCTCTCAGTGGTACTGAAGACTTACCAAAGTGTACGACATAAGCCACCCGAGGCCCTTCAAGTGCGAGATCCGACCGCGTTTGGAGAGTGCTGCCAGTCGTGTGCAATGTCTGGCTGGCAGTGTGACCTGAGTTCGCGAGATAGTCGGGCATGGCAGATTTCGGGCTATTCATCGAGTGTTGAATGATGGGTAAGACATAGCACGTCGCGTATCCTGCTGGTGAAGCCGCGCCACGGTTTTTGCGCATGGTGTAGCGAAAACAAACGCACGACTGGTACATTATGCCTTGGCTGTACACTAGAAACGTTCGCTTTACGGCAATGTTGTACTAGTCTGTCTTCATCAGAATCTCAATCTATGCAAGGTACACATATCGGTCATCGCTAATCGACTGTGCGGAGGTTTGACAGTCGGCCGAGAAGTTGGGTGACCTTAGGTCAACTTAGGCTGTCCGCTGCACACTTCGCACGCATGCTATGGTGAGTCACCCCCACACACTTATACAGCAGGCGCAGGAGAGGCGCCGCGTACCTGCGAACATTCAATGAGGTTGTTCTTTAAATGGACACTGTATCAAGTGCACGCTCTACTCACGAGTGATGTTTGCCCGACACAGATCGGAGCGCACTGGCCTAATACCACCGGAGGCAAAGGTGTGATTCAGCCAGAGCAATCGAGAACGAGTTCATTCGCAGGGTGCCCGACGCTCTGTACCTCCAGTCCGCCCGTACCATACACTAACCCACTCGACGCTCAACCCGCAACTTCGCCTGCGCCGTCAGCCACCGGATTTGCTTCTGCCCTTTTCGAATCGCCGAGATGTTCGTGTACGGCTTGGACATCACGGTGACTCTCTCGCCTGAGGAAACATCATGTCAAGAAATTGAGCGACAGTCGCGTGCCAATCGCGAGCATTCCTCTCGTCCTCAGCGCAGATATGGATGTCGTGTTCAAATGTGAGCCGGTGCATGGCATGTCGACCTAGATCGGGTTGAGCTGTGACTAGGAAATCGTGCATGTAGTCGAGATCCGCGGCAGAGAGGGGAGCTATCCTCTCCATGGTCAACGTCTGCAGCAGAGGCGTGTGCCGCGCGAAGTGTAGGAGACTCTGGAGCGTAGGCCCTTCGCCATTTCGCGGCATCTCCGCGCACGGCGGTACATCGAATTCTTCTCATTCGATGGTAGGGCATACCAAGAGAGTTTTAATTCCGTCAGGTGCGGCCACGCTTGCGCAACCGTTAGGATCTCGGCGTCAGTGAGTGGCATCGCGATGATGGTGAGGCCAACCATTTCTAAGCCACGAAGGTTCAAAGAGGTTGGAGGGATTGCAGGAAAGGCGGGAGTGGTGGATACCCCTCCCGTAGGATAGGGAACATGGAAATGCGCAGCGAACGCAGTAACGGAGCAAATGAGAGGCGTGCAACCGTCGAGACCAATGCACATAGAGAGTCAGGTGAGGGAGCATAGGAAACGAATTGGAGGTCAAGCGCGGTGAGCGTACAAGTGTGGAAGGCCGGGATGGCACGCGGAATGGACCAAGAATCGCCTGCGAGTCGGAGTTTTTGCAGCGAAGGAAGCCCGAGGACGGCACGGCGGCCATGTTGACGGGTTGTTGGGATGCACCAGCTTCGATGAAGGCGAGATTCAACTCGGTGAGATCTGATAGCGCGGAGAGAATGGACAAGCTCTCATCATACCCCGTATCGGACTGCCACCTTTGCAAGACCCCGAGATCCTTCCACAGCAGCTCGCTCCGCTGGAGATTCCTCAGTCTTGTAAGAGAGCGCATGACCTGTGCATTCAAGACCCCATGTAGTCTGAGGTGTTGCACGGTCACCGGAACCTCATCAAGGACCCGCAGGATGGGTGAGATGAAGTTGCGCTCCAATGGGAAATAAGTGTGGATGCGATCGTACTGGACACGGAGAGACCGTAGAGGCACGTTTGGCGAAATGATCGTGTGTATGGGCTCAGAGAACGATATGTAGTCATGGACCACAAAGGTGATCACATTGAGATTAGGGAGCAGGGATGCTTCGTTGTTGTGTCGCCACGCACTGAGGAGCGCGGAGGGCGCGAGTTCGACAATCAAGCGGGAATCATCAAGAGAGTCGATGTGTTGCTTGGTAGTGAGGTCCGTGTCCCCATGGATCCTGACAAGGGCGACACGTCGAATGAGCCTGGCGAAGTGCTGAAATCGCGCCCATTGCTGACGTTCAAGATGGCCGGATACGTCCTAAGCCGGGGTAAGGGTGAACATCATATGAGCAAGAGTAGCAAGATGAAAGCGCACGACGACATTGACAAGTTCACGCTCCTCCCGCTTATGAATAACATAAGCATAACCAGGAGTCACAGGCGACAGGCCGAGGAGACGGAAGAGAGGGACAAGGTCGTCGAGATTTCTCCAAAGGACAGCGAGCGCGGCAGAGCAGAACGTTTGAGAAACGCGAGCGCAGCGCGCAAGTGTCTGGCGGGCGATGACAATGGGCTTGTCGACTCCCTGAGCCGGCTTTGCGGTGCTGTCGCCTACTGCATAGACATGCTCGAAGATGAGGCGAAGGATTTCGTCGAGAGAGAGCGCGACCGCACTCGCTTTCCTCATCGCACTCGGTACGGTCACTGCGGTGGTGGGATGCGACCTTGCGCCAACCTTGCGCGGACGGAGAACATGAACAAGCGCGCGCCTCTGCACTCGTCGCCTGAGCGCTAACTAAGCGTCTACTGCCTGTCATGCACGACTGTGCGCTATGGCATGCTATGATGCAGCTGTTCGCAAACACAGTACAGCATACTGAGGAAGTATACCGTCGTGCGCGGTCATCGTACGCCTTGCTTTCCTGACGTCGCCAACAAGCGTCGACATAGCGGGTCGCGATCATCCACGAGGAAGTCTCCCGAATGTTGGCTACCCCGCACTACTAAAGCTCAATTGGCACAATTTCATACCTTCATCTCACCAACCGCTAAAGTACACGCGTACGGCCACATTGCTTCATTGTCATTCTACGCCCCTATATATGCATGCCATGATCGTGGACAACACCCTACCCGCCTCGCACTTTCTGGAGCATGCGCGAGAGATTGTACGCCGCCGAGATGAGCGTGACGTGTCTACAACCGACGCCGTCAGTCAGAAACTCATGTGCGAAACGCCAACGCACGTAAAGCCTTGAACAGCATTCCGAGGCTAGACAGGTGAGCAGTGAGTAAGAAGAGACTGCTATCTAGAATGTGGCTCGCAACGCACGCTTCGCCCGCCACGGAGATCTCTTCTGTGCACAGACCGACGTGGTTCGTGTATTGCAAGAAGTCCTACGTGATTCAAATCAAGTCATACGAAGACAATGGCAGACAGTGATGAGACGAACCTCAAACATGCCCACAGCCCTGGACAACATTGCCTTGTCGTACTCGCCCGCACGCGCCAGAGCTTCCACACACCTGTATCCGCCCACTCTCGTCATAACACATCATGATCGTAACATCATGCGCACGCACCAGAGCGTACACAGACAGAACGTTCCCTCGTCTCCGCCGACGCCATCATCAGTCTTCTTGACGTCGTAGCGGTAGACCAATCCCTATACACCAATGCTTGTTCAGGTAGCTCTTCGCCACAACACTTCTCAAAGATCACCCACGTTCGACGTCAAACCGCCCCTCTCCGGCGTATGCAAGATCTGCTTCAGTGTGCTCAAGAAGCGCGGATCCGACTGTCATGACTCTTCAGCAATCCCGTCGCAACCAAGCCAGCTATATCGGACACACCGGAGGCATGAAGAAGACGAGCGGCATGATCAGCAACGACGAGTCGAGGATCTCGAGGTCCTCGTAGCTCTGCGCGAAGAACCGCCCCTCCGGGTTCCATGCCTTCGTCATGATCTCCTCGTAGAGCTCGTCGCGCGCGGCGAGCCACTGCAGGCGGCGCGGGCAGGGCAGAGAACGCTTATCCGCGAGGCGCAGACCTGTCGATCGAGTTAAGATGGTGTAGCGTGGTACTGGAGACAGGGCTCGCACCTCTGTCGATAGCTACCCTGCATCGCGAATTCAGCGGTTGCTCAGCACTTGTGGAGAGTGTAGAACTTGCCACATCATGATCTCCGGCAGCATCTTAGCTATTGCATAGTGCAACAACACGGCGAAGAAACGTACCTTGGAGTACTAAACAGTGTATTAGCCGCGAGCGCTCGAACAGACACGGGAACGTACTGTGAAGTGTCGGTGCCGGTTCCGGACCTCCCTACCATCGCATCGCCTCAGCTATGATCATTCGTTCACTATCGTAGTCCCTTACCAGATCGACCTACAGTGTATCCGTGTGAATGACTGCGCGACAGAGACAGACGTCTCACTCACAAGTCCGGCTGCTTGCAGTTCGCGATAACATCTGAACAGAGCTTAGATGTAAGCCCACTGCTGGATGTCCGCAGCCGACGTCGAACGTACAGTCGACGCTACCAAGGCCACACGTCAGTTTCGCGCCAGTTTCGAGAATCTGCGATGGGTACGTACATCTCTCGCACAGCGACCCTAGGAAGTGTCAACATCGCACGTCTCAATATTCTGAGACACATGCTTACCAAGTATCATAGCTCTTACAGCGACGAAGGTCGACGTATCAGCATCCACACTCGCTGAAACCTTGCAGTCACTCACGAGCGGCTTGCCGTACTAACAAAGAATCCAAGTCAGCACTCCAACGAGTTAACATGCGAGCAAACCGACCTTCTGAGATAAGTAGATACAGTCCATTCTGGCTGTTGTCAGCGCACGCGACACATCCAGCAAAGCCACTGTCCGAACTCGTAAGCATGATTACGCGAGCACTAAACCCGAACACGACGTACCTCCAACCACTCACAGTTCGCCATAAATATCCTGTCAAGCGGGAACAACCCTCAACCCCACCGCACATGCAGAATCAGACCAGCGACGCACCAACTGCACATGGTCTATCGCGCCGTTGCCTATGCTACGAGCGACGTCCGCATGAGTCGCTTTCAGGGCACGAGACGCAGCGAGACGCGCTCACCGCACGGGCTTGGAGCCCTTGTGTCCGTCGAGGTGCGTGAGCTCCTCTTCCGGGAAGTTCTTCTCGCCTACCCCAAAGCCAGCCCCTCGAGTCAGTGTTACATCGCTGCGCTACGTCGCCCGACACGTACCGTGGATGGTGTACCTGGGATCGGATCGCGTCAACCGACGTCAGCGAACACAGCTCCGGGGACTCGTATAAAGGAGGAGACCACTGACATGATGCTCAACGACCCGTCCGGGTTCTTCGTGCGCAGACGCGCCAGGATGAACTCCATATAGGCTATAAGTGAAGTCGCCCACCGTCAGCTCGCCCATCGGCAGCGCACGACGAGCGAATACCTACCGTTCGCCTCATTCGTGAACCCAGCCGGATGAGCGCGTACAGCGTGAACGAAGAGTCGCGGATCCACGAGGCCCTGCAACGCAGCATCACAAACGTCAATCCACCCCCAGAACAAACTGCCAGCGAAGAAACTCACCGGTAGTCCCTAAAACCACGCTCAGATCACGACCACATCAGCGCCTGCACACCTCTTTTCCTCACCAGTTCCGCGTCCCCCCGATATACTCCGGCAAGCTGAACGTCGGGCTTGCCACCACCGCGCCTGCACCAACACACCACCATCAATCAGCAATAACATCCCACCACCGGTCAGCACCCCGACGGTCCGCGAGCGACCGAATACGCACCCGTCGGCTCGTAGATGAGCAGCTTGAGCGCGAGCGCGCTCCGGTGCACGGCCTCCTTCCACGCGCCCTCGTACGTCGACTGCCGGATCCACGCGTTCCAGTACTGGTTCGTCGCCTGGTCGAGTCCAGAGCCGAGAGAGAACACGGTCAATCCGTTGGTGTCTGGCGATCAGCGCAAAGGGACGGCTTACGTCGAGGAGCCGCTGCAAGAGTTGCTAGCGGGACGAGAAGAGTCAGAAGGGAGAAAAGTCTCGACGGAGAGGCGCAGCACCTTCGTCAAGAACGGGTCCTCCGGCGGCCTCAAGTCCGACGCGCCCATCACGAGCTCTACACCCACCAAACCCACCAATCAGCACCGCGCCACATCACGCCGGCCACCTCGCCCGACACAGACGGACTCACGCTCGAACGACACCCCCATCTCGCTCGCCTTCTCCGGCGTCGGCTCCGCGCCCCTCGGGCCTCCGCCCTCCGCCTCCGCCGGCGGGATCCGCAGCACCCACGTCACGACCTGTCCCTCGCCCATCTCGAACTCCGCCAGCGCGCCCGCGCCGCGGTGCCCCTGCGCCCGCAAGTCGAGCTCGTGCAGCGCGACGCGCGGCGCATCGACGTTCTCGAGCAGCGACTCCGCGACGAAGCGCAGGTCGAGCGTGAGCTTCGCTGCCGGCGAGGAGAACCGCACTTTCGCGTGGGCGGGCGCGGAGGAGGGGGAGGAGGACTTGTAGATCGCGGGGATGGACGGGTCCGGGACGATCTCGGTGGTGTGCGGCGCGCGGGCGTAGTCGAAGGCGGGCGCGCACTCCATGCGGAGGGGCATCGTGCCGCGGATGACCTGGCAGACGTCGCGCGGGGCAGTCAGTGTCTGCATGGACGCATAGGCGAGCGGGAGGAGCGTACCTCGACGCGCCGGATGAGCCATGTCAGGAGAGGCTTCGTCGTCGCCGACTTGGCCTGGCGGGGCAGGTAGTCTGGCAAGCGTCAGCAGTCGTGCACGACGCGTCGGGGAATCGCGTCCGAACCTGTCACCGTCGCCACGCCCTGGTCGTTCAGGAACCTATTCTGCTCAACGGAACTGAAGTGCTCAGCAGAAAGTAAGAACTTACTTGGTTTGTAGTACCTGTTCATAGATGCGAATGTCAACACACGATCAAGGGGAAAAGAAAAGCAGGGAACTCACGTTCGAGTTGGGGATGTAGTTCTGCTTGGACGTGAACGGGATGGTCGGAGTGATCGAGAAATGCCCGCCCTTGAGTGCGCGATTCCTCCGATCGTTAGCGAGCCTTCAAATGTGTACGCTCAGACAGACCTTCTTGTCGTCCAGGATGCGCGCAAAGATGGACGGCGAGTCGAAGTTGGGGACGCAATAGCTTTCAACTGCATGCGCACATTAGCATATCACGGTATTCTAGGCAATAGAGCGTGTGTTGAACGCGAAGGACAATGTAAGTAGCTGCGTGCGATCGACTGAGCTAGCGGAGGGGTTGTTGGGAGTCGGAGCCAGAGAAACAGCGTAGGAATAGACTCGGGCTCCTGCGGAGGGAGGTACCACTCTGCTCGGACCTGTGTTTTGCGCATACGCAGACTGCCCTGTTCAGTGCACTGTACATCTCAGAAGCTGTGTGCTGAAGTATGCGCAGTGTCCGTGAACGCTGAACGCGCCCGAGAGCAATAGAGCGTTTCCCCGGTAGAACTCCGAGTCCTGCGAGGCTTGGTATGCACAGAAACCAGTACAGCAAGGGAGAGATGAGGCGGGAGCGCGAACCCGTCCAAGAGAGAGTAAAGTGACGACTTACTGGACCCATCCGTGCTGACCTACAGGACGTTCGCCTATAAGCTGGAGAGACGCAGCGGCGGAGGTGTGGGGGACGCACCAAAGCGGCCGTACGCAGGTTACCAATCCTAGCGCAGCGCACGCCCCAGTCAGAACGCAGAGCAGCGAGCGCAGACGAAGGACTCACAGTCCGTGGTCTGCAAGGGGGATGTAGCCGCGGTCCGGCTTGGGGTCGTTCGGGGTCGACATGGTGCGGCGATGCTCGTGTTCTGGCGGTGTAGGTGTTCTCGCAGACTCGCAGCGAGTGAGTGTATGCGGGGAAGAGACGAGGGGACGAGCAGAGTGTTGTATAAGGGTCGAGATGGGCGCGCAGGCTTGGTCAGTCGGGCGTCGGCTCTCCCGCCGGACGCGCCCCGCGATCGACCACGTGTGTTCATTGAACGCGTCCGTGGCTGAGCCCGCCCGTCCCCCGTCCCCCCGCCCGACGACTTTGGCAGATGTGGATCCGCCGCCGGACGACCCAGCCGCACAACGCCGTCGCACGTTCCTCTCCATCCGTAGCTGACCGTTCGAGCAGCCACCTGCTTATGTACTAGCAGTGCAGTGCACGCTGCGACTACCGCGACTCGCAGACCTGCCGCATACACCGTGTCCAATGCCTGACGGTCGCCGCCCGAGGCGCTCCTGCCTGAGGCTGCACCTAATACATCTAGCAGCTTACACACGGCGACAAGTACTGCGGCGGGTCACACACTCACGTACGCGTCAAACTCAGAGTGCCAACCACAAACGCCACTCACACCGCCCACTAAGAGCACATCAGATATATAGCACACCTCCGTCAGTCTCGACGCTATATCAGAAATCAGTCAAAAAAGATCAAGGAAACAATCGGGTCGGGGCGGGGTCGTAACAGCGAGCATGGACGTAAGGGGGCGACAGTACCGTAATGTGAGAGCTTGGGTCACCCGTCTGTGTGGGATGGGGCAGACGGGCTGGGAGTGGGGAGGGGCGGGTGCATAGGCGTGTGTACGTACGTATGTAGCGAAGCAGCAGGCAGAGATCACAGGTCCGTCCGTTCGAGTATCAGGCGCGAGAACATGAGCGAGCGAAAGGCGAGAGACGATCGAGAGATAGATGGACAGATGGCCAGACGTGAGCGTGCGGACGCGGGCACGTGGGCGTCCGACCCGGAGGGAGATGCAACGAGCGAGGGGCGACGCGAGGCGACAATGAGGGTGAAAGACGAGAACGACGGGCGGGCGAGCAACTGCAGACGACGACACGGCACACAACGCCCTATCCACCCACTCAGAATCAACTCGCTCACCCAGCTCACTCAAGACGTACCTCCACCGACACCCCGCATCCTGTGACACTACTCCTCGCCCTGCGACCCGTCCCCGCCGTGGATCATTCGCCTAGCACACCACGCAACACCCGCTCTTCGTCCCCTCAACGTTCCGCGCCCGGCTCCCCCGCCGCTCGTGCCCCGACGACACATGCGCAGGCACGCCCTCCCGCATCAACATCGATGCCCGCGTCGCCGCCTCGAACACGTCGTCCACGCCCTGTTCGCGGCGTCAGCGCGAGAAGGGAGGGTGGTGAAAGGGCGGTAGGAAGAAGGGACGACACGCACCTCGATCTTCAGCGCCGAGCACTCCTTATATGCCCGCGCCCCGATCGCGTTCGCCACGCGCTGCGCATCCGCCGTCGTCACGTACGACCCCGCCGGCGCGTTCCCGCCTATCCGCCACCATCGTCAGCACGCAGACACGCAGGTCCACTCCAGCCAGCGAGGCGCACCTTGTGGCGGGCGCAGATCCGACTTGCACCCGACGAGCAGCACGGGGATCGTCGGCCCGCAAATCGAGCGCACCTCTTCAATCCACTGTCCGTTCCTCGTCAGCAAATGTGGCTGCATGAACGAGGCGGGACGTACCTTGACCGTCACGTTCTCGAGCGAGTCCGGCGTGTCGATGGCGAAGGCGATGAGGATAACGTGCGATTTCGAGTACGACATCGGCCGCAAGCGCTGTCCGCCGCCGTCCGTACGCACCACGCATGACCAGAGCCGAGCACGAGCGGGCGACAAGAGCAAACGTGCGCGGAGTGAGATGAGACGAGAGGTCGGGGTGTCCAGTCGAGTAAAGCAGCCCAGAGCGGAACGAATTTCATGTCAATTTGGAAACGCGGGAGGCGCAGAAAACGCGTTGACCGCAGTACAGAGCGCGCACAAACGAAAGCGTAGTGAAACCAACGCGGTATTGACGGCATATTGAAGAGTCCGAGAGCAGTGCATGAGCGGAGGTCGACCCAAACCAGGTAAACGTCGGTACCGGAGGCCGGGTACGTCGGATCAGACGAGTGGAAGGACGGTGGAAAATGACCGGGCGTGCGTGCGGATGGGCGTACGGACGATGACGCCATGCGTGAGAGGCGTGGGGGTGGTGTGGGAGGCAAGGAGGACGGGAAGGCGCGAGTGTGCGAGGGCGTGGTGAACGAGATGGCACGGGGAGCGCGAAAGGGCAAGCAGAGGACGTGCGAGGGGGACATTCGAGAGGAAAGGGAGAAGAGAAGGGTTGGTGAGCGAAAGGGAGATGAGAGGGAGAAGTAGGGAACGCACCTCGTATTCTTCCTGGCCACTTCACATTGTCACATCAGCCGGCAGTCGTGCGAAGGGTTCGCCGTCGCAGGGTGAGGGAAAAGGAGGGAAGGAGGACGTACGCGGTATCCCAGAGGGCGAGCTGGACAGGCTTGCCGTCTAGGCGGATCTCGGCGACGTAGTTTTCGAAGATGGCTGCGGGCAGGGAAGGCGGTTAGCGAGCGGCTGAAAGAGCTGCGGAGGGCGCGTATACTTGGTTGCTGGCAGCGCAAGGATGCGAATACGATGGTCAGCTAGAGAGAAGGGGGAGGACGCGCGACGGAGACGAACATATTCCTTGGGGAACTCGCCGAGGGCGAAGGAACAGAGTAATGAGGTCTTGCCGCAAGCACCTGTACGCGTGCCGTTGAAAGCACAGAGCGCACGGAGGTCAGGAAATTGGAGGGTGCAGAACAGAAGGAAAGAACGAACCGTCGCCAACGATGACGAGCTTTCTTCGGATCTGAGGATCATCGCGGAGCAGGTATCAACGGTGGGCATTCTGCGGGAGAGACGGGGGACGCACGGGGTTCTGGGAGGACATGGCGAGCGTCGTCGAGGACTCTGTGCGAGCCTGAGAGGACCGCGAGGGGGAGGGAGGGTTAAAGAGGAGACGGGAGGAGGAGACGGAAGAGGACGACGACCGCGCGCACCGGCCACAGTGCATTCCCCTGCTTACGTCAGCTGCACCGCTCCTCGCAGCCAATCACCGCCCGCCGCCCGCCTCCCAGTTCTGGTCCTTTCCCCCGCCGACGTCATCCACCCGCCGTTTGCCCCCGCCGTCGCTGCCTTGGCCCTCGTCGCCGCCGCCCCCGCCATCGTCGTCGTCGTCGCCAGCACTGTTCTCGCTGCCCTTCCGCTTCGAGACTGCGCGCCGCGGGTCTCTCACGGGCTGACGTCGCGGGCTGTGAGATTTGGACGGGCCAGGAATGGCCATCTTCCCTGCGCCGCTCGCATGTGGCCTTCGCCCGTCTGTGTGCTGCGCTCCCGCTGTGCTATCGTCGCTCGCACCGCGTCGTACGACTCTGCGCCTCGCATTTCCACCCCGGCCTGCCAACCCCGTCGTCCCCATCCCTCCCGGATCCGCGGCGCGACAACCCGCGATAGCAAACCGGGGCGCGGGTCGCCCAGCGCTCCCTCCCAGGAACGCGCTTCTCTTCCTCCTCTCCTCGGACGTGGATGCCAGATGCGTGTGCCGATACTTCCGTCTCTTCATCCTTTCTTTCACGGCTCGTCTGCGATGCCCGATGGCGATACTGCTGCGTCTCATCCTGTCTCTTCTACGGACGGTCAGAGCAAAGAACATTCGACGCGTTCGTCGCTTCCGTCTGGGCCAATCGTGAGGATTCTCGTGGGAGGGCTTTGTGTGGATGGACGAGGACGTGCTCATGCTACTCTAGCCTCAGATACATCTCCCAGACGCGACGACCGAGCTCAGACCACCCCATTCGTACGCATCGCGCCTCTCGAAGTCACCCTTGCACTAAGCGGTCATTCAACGTGCCGTGACGATCTTGGCTCTCTCATCGACCATCCTGCCAAGCTTGGTCTATTCGATTCATGCTATCTGCAGGAACACTCGCCTGGGCGTTACAGCGCCACAGACCCGTTTACGTCCCTCAGCATCTGTACCATCGTCGAGAATATGTGCCGTCGTGCGCAATCCGAGAAGACCGTCACCGAGCCACTCAAGTTCATGTTCACCCGTCGACGCGCGCCGCCGTGAACTGCAATCACTGTCCTCGACTTCGCGGTATTGCACTCCCACAGATGCGCCTATTCCAGACCTACGCTCGTCGACCCTCGATTCCGCGTCCAAGTCGCGTCCACTCCCAGTGGAACAGGTATTAGTGCTCGGACAACCTTCCACCGGCAAGTATACTCTGGTTTCTGCTCTGCTCCTAACCCTCTCGGCCTGATCCCCCTCGTCGTACGCTCTCCCAGCCCCCCGCATTCGCTGTTCAGCGGCGAGTCGCCGACGCGAGTGACACATCTCGTCTGTCTTGACGATTCAAGTGTACGTACCGCCTAGTGTGCCATATTAATCTACGTTTATCTCATGCACTCACCGCCGCCGGTCGTGACTCGCATCTACGAAGTCCTAAACTGCGTACTCGCTGCTGGGTCATGTCGAATGCCATGTACGTCCTCTCGAGCCCTCCTCACGCTCCCCGCAGCGTCGCACGCCCGCTGATCAAGCCCAGTCATGTCTTGCTCGATTTCTACGTGCCTCCCACCAACCCGCCAGGAGTGACCATGCTCCCCCGCCTGTCCGTCTTCCTGACATGTGTCGTCTGGGCGCGGCCTGAAGAGCCTGGCATGCTCGGTAGGGCAGACAAATTCCTCGTCGTGGCATGCCCACAGGTGAAGATCAGCGGCGGGCGTTCAGGCACGAGCGCACCGTTCATGTCGCTGTGCAAGTGAACAATGCATCGCTACACGACCACCCACATTTCCGTGACTCTCGCAAGTCGTCTGCGAGGACCCTGGGCAAGGCGCTTATAGGTCTGATCCGAAAATCCCGGATTTTGGGCCCTCATGTCTGCACAATTTCAACCCCTGTCATGTCCGCACCAGCATAGGACCCACCTTTTAGGGGTGCTTTATGGCTGCATGACGGATCGGACCTCTACAAAATAGAGAAAATTGCCAAACAATTGCCAAAAAATCACTGTGTGCTCTACAATGTATTACAGACCAAGGAGGCCTGCATAGAAGCTATGATTCACTCTCATCACTGTCAGAGCTCCCTTCAGATGCATCACCACATCAGGAAAAACGGATCTGTCTTGGGCGGCATTACAAGAGATATCAGTCATGTGAAAGGCCTTCAAGATGTCGGGCTAGTTTGAGAGGCATTTAAGACAATTCAAAGACCTGTTACGATCGTGCGCTCGAGACGAAGTCCGAGGTCAGAGTTACGAAGTCCGGACTTTCGGAGCGCAGTGGAATGAGGACTTGGCCAAGCTATTAACAACGCCCTTGGGAGAACTCGACGAGGTCCTCTATTTGGACTTGGACGGAGGTGGACTATGACGGAGTCCGGAGATAGAGTCGGAGGAAGGAGGAGGAGAAGACGAGAGCGAGAGAGAGAAGAGAGAAGCTAGACAGAGGTCGGACGGAAGTCCGGAGTTCAGACAGGAGTTCGGAGGGAAGGAATTCGGATTGGTTAAATGAGATATTCGAACTGAAGTACAGCAGTGCTACAGTTCGATCTTCATATACAGCGAGTCTAATTGTGAACGGAAGACAATAAGACGGAGGAAGGGATACGGAGAACAATAACGGAAGACCGGAGATGTTAGTAACCGGAGTGAATACAATAAGCTAATTGTCCTTGCAAGATAGAGACCATTAGGTTATGAGACGAAAACGGTGTGGGGTAGGCCCACATGGGAGCAACGGTACGAGCTCGGAACAACACTCTCTCAGGTGGCGGGCAACGCGGAACGAAGCAACATCGATTAGTGAAAGGACGACTCGGCGAAGGACGACCAAGTAAATACGCGGAACGAAGACAACTACTGTACATGGACATCAGGTTCCTCCGCCACCTCATCCTCGACCTCTCCCTCCTCCATCGCCTCGACGTCCCGAGGGTGCGCGAACCGCAGGCGACGCGGTATCCCGGAGTAGCCGTCCGGAACGTACACTCCTTCCGACAAGCGAGCGTGCAAGTCGCGGACGCCGACCTCAACCGAACTCAGGCCCCGGGCGATACGGATGGCCTCGGAACGGGCGTCACGGTTAGCGGCGCGGCATTCGTCAAGAAGGCCTTGGAACCGGGTGAGTAGACCATCGAGGCTGTCGGAGGAGGCGCGGAAGGAAGACAACTGCATGGGACGCTCCAAGTACCGAACCGGAAGGAGCGGGCGGCCGAGCTCGGCGTCGGACTGCTCAGCGGTGACACGGTTCGGAGCCCAGGCGATCAATGGATAGGGTTCGCCGACGTAGCTGTGCTGAGACGGGAGAGTCAGGAACACCTGGTCGAGGTATTCGATCAGGTCCTGCACGTCGGAGTATCGGCGGACGAGCGGAAGGGACGCATCGCCGTGGGCAACCGCGCGAGACCGAGAATCGAAGAGCATCCGCTGCGCGGAACAGAGGAAGGTTGGCGAGACGTGGAGGACGAGGCGGAAGAAGGCACGTACAATGAGCCATCGGGCGCCATGGGCCCAAGCGAGCCACTCCAGGTCGCTATCGGGGTTCAGACGGGGCTCTACCACACGCTCGTCACGAATGAGGTCGATGAGGCGGTAGAAACGGGTGGTGTAGACAATGGTCGAGGGGTTCGGTGGGATGTCGGCGGGCATCGAGGACTCCAACGACGGTGGACCGGTGAATGGAAGAGGACGGCAGGGACGGCGGAGGGAGATCCACGGGGGCGGAAGGAGTAGGAACGGAGGGGAACGGGTGCCAGCGAGGTAGGGACGTGGGAAAGGCAGCGGAAGGGGGCTAGGAGGACGGGGCGGAGGAAAGAGTTAGTCAGTTACCTACCACTACCTCTCAGGACTCAGTATCTAGGTTGCACCGGGCAATCTCAGGCTTCAGGTCCCGTCTCAGGCTCGCGTTCAGGCTAAGGAAGGTTGCAGAAGTTAGGCTCAGGCTCAGGATCGAGGAGAGCTCAGGTTAGGAACGTCGGAGGGAAGGCTATCGAGTATACCAGGCTTAGGACAGGCGGTCTTCACTAAAGGACATCGCGGACGAAGCGTGCGGCGCACCACCCCATCTCCCCTTTTCCCTCCGCGAGGTACCACGGACCTCGCTCGCTTCCTCCGCAAACCGTCAACTTGCACCAACGACCCCCGCCCATCGTTTTCACCGATACCAAGAATTCCCTTCCGCGTCGTCCACGCACCGGGGACTCGCAATCACCACAACTGGAGCCCACCGCGAGGGGGATTTCGTTGGTAAAATCTTGTTGACCCAACCCCGGGTGCCACGTCATCCTGCCTATCACACGGTCCCGAGTGAAAACTCTCGCTACCGTCCCTAATCGTTCAGAGCCTCGCACCCCTACGAGAAGTCTACTCGAGGAGCTCGCTATCGCACATCACTCCCCGGACTCGCTGTACGACCCATCGCTCAGGGTACCCGCACTAGACGGCATTCCCCTTCCGCGCGCTGACGACAGTGACGGAGAGAACCCGTTCCTCGATCCGGCTGACAGCACCCTCACATCAGGAAAAAAGCATTTTACTTGAGCGCCTTGTGCAAGTCGCCCAAGTACAATTGGTTTAAAAGACAAGTCCCCTGCCAATTTTGCTCGACCAAGACACCCAAGGCACGTAAATGGCATGAGGGCCTTGTCAACAGGTCAATGTCATGGCCCCGCACAGACTACTTGTAGTTCATGGTATGCTTTCCTGCCTACAAAGCCTTTTATTACTAATCGTACTTACTGTCCTTAACAGCAAGGGTGGGTGTGATATTTGGGGCTATTACTTATTATCCTTGACAGCAAGGTGCATGTGAAACACGTCTTTGTGTCAAGGCATCTTACTAGTTCATTCTCTCTGGCTTTGATTTTTGCATTGGTAATCAGATCAAATTTGCATGGTGTACAGCTACAATACAACATCACGACGAACGACACAGTACAACAGAGCATACGACAGAGCAGAACAAG